CTCGCTAGCGGGATCACGACCCTCGCTACCGGAACCCTCGTCATCCGAGTCGTTCATGGTGGTCCGGATCAAGTTGGCAACTTCACCCTTCATAGCCAAAAGTTGCTCGTAGGTTCCCTTCTCCACCAGGGTCTTGTTGCGAAGTAGCCCGATGAAGTCCGCTTCCTTTAGGACGGGAATGGCGTTCGTCGCGAGGATTCTTGTCTTGCTGCCGAGGATACCGTTGCGACCCAGAACCTGGTTGATGAGATGGCGGCCCACATGCTGGTCGACCGCAGACAGAACATCATCGAGAAGGTAAATATCCGCACGAGCATACACAGCGCGTGCAAGGGTCAGGCGGGCTTTTTGACCACCGGAGAGAGAAATTCCTCTTTCTCCAACCTCGGTCTGATCACCGTCGGGCAAGTTCTTGAAGTCGTCCGTCAAAGCACAGGCTGCCACCGTAAGCTCGTAGAATTGAGGGTCCCACCGATGCCCGAAGACAATGTTCTCGCGGACGCTAGCATTCATGACCCAGGCCTGTTGCGCGACGTAGGCGATACGGCCTCGCACAACCACCTCGCCTTCCGTCCGCCACAAGTCGCCCAGAAGCGCTTGAAGGAGAGAGGATTTTCCAGCACCAACGCGGCCAACGATACAGCTCAGCTCCCCCTTGCGAGCACTGAAGTTGATGTTCTCGATGACATGCGTGCCTTCGTACCTGTTCCAGGTGAAAGAGGCATCCTGAATCCGCACAGATTCATCTCCGACGTGGGCAACGGTCTCCTCGCGGGTGACAGCATCGGTCTGCAGCTCCTCTGCAGTGAAGTAGTCCGTAAGACGCTTGACGGCCACAGAGGCTTCGATCAAAGCCGTAATAACCATTGGCAAGATTGACAGAGGGAACGTAAGGAGGTTGAAGAGGGTCAGTGCTGGGAAGACAACGTCGGTAGTCAAGGGTTTCTCCGATGTCAAGGCATACACAGTGAAACAGGAGCACGAGACGAGGAAAGGAGTGGACTGCCAGGTGAAGTTGGCGATCGACTGAGTCGCTCCAATTTTACGAAGCGTGTTCAGCTCCAGATCGTTACGGATGTGACTAAGCTTATTCATGAATGCTGTGTTCCAAGCATAGAGCTTGATGCTCTTGATGTTGTTCAGAATCTCGGTCATGAGTCTGGACCGAGAATCCTTGTTCTTCATCTGAATAAGCTGGAGCTTCTTCATCATTCTTGCGATCACTCCGTTCAGAGGAATCATCAAGATCATCACACCGATACCTGCAAACATGCTGACACCAACAAGCTGATAGAGCGACAGCATGCACAGAGTGATCTGGAAGGGTGCAGACCAAAGCTGCACACCGAACTGGGTCAGATCAGATAGACGCTGCTGATCAACAGCCATGTGATTGACGATGTCACCCGTGGTCTTGGAGGAGCGGCCCTCGCTTGACAGCTTCAGAGACTTGGCATAGATCATGGCAGTCAGAGCAGATTTGACGCGCATGCCAGTGTCGAATGCTCTTTGGAAATATTGGTGCAGGCACATGGTTTGCGAAACCGATACCAGGAACATGGCAAGCGCAATGGCGACACCTCTGATGATAGGCTCCGGCTCGGGAGTCCCATACGAGTTGATAAACTTAATCAGAAGACGCAGAAGCTGGGGCTGGACGAAAGCCAGAGAGTCACTGCCGCACTTGATGATCGCACCACGAATGAAAGGGCCACCAAAGGCTCTGAACAGAGCAAGAGATAGGGAGGGCTTGCTTTTCTGCAACTCTTCATCCCATTCTTCCTGCAGAGCGCCCCCAGTGACACCGGTGGTGTCCCGACGACGAAGATTCCACAGATCATCCTGGGTGAGGAAATTGTTGTACCCGAACTTCATCATTGGGGTCATCCAACTGAAGGTAAGAACTGAGAAGATATCAGCGTATTCGTAGGGGCATTCATCCTCGTCTCCGAGCGCATCGTAATCACTCTGTTTCTTCGGAACCAAATACTCGAGAGCAAATTCCAACAGCGCCAGGCCCAAGCTGACATTGAAGCAGACGAAGTATGGAAGCCGATCCTCGTACAATTTCCGTGCGATGAGCGACCGGAGTTTGATCCCATAGCCGATGGAGAAGAAAAGCCAGTAGAAGAGCACGACGCCATTGGGCTGTCTGCTGCGCCAGTGTTCATGGTATTGCACTGCGAAAATTACTCCGAGAGAGACAAGGACAAGGACGGAGCTCCAGAACCGATAGTCGTCAAACCAGGTTTGCGGGTAGGATTCGATTTGTATGGCTGCCTGAAGAGCAGTGGTGAAGATCAAGGCGGACAGGACGGTCTAATAATGCGGAAATGGTTAGACTGCGATGAGATCATCAAGACCGGACGAGGGGACTTTCGCACCAATTTCGCATAGAAATGCCAGTTCTTAGAAACCGGCTGAGGCACTCTCTTCTTGAACAAGAGCCAAAGGGCTCCTGCACCTGCGATGATGCCCCATACCGCAACCAAGGAGACTCCAAAGTCGAGAAAACAGGGGGTCAGGTCGAATCTGAATTGACTGAGAGGACCCCAGCCTTCCGGATCGTGGCAAAATGGCTGCGGTTTCGAGGAGAGGAATGCTGAGTTCGGGGTGGACGACAGCAGAGACCCCCGGCTGGAATCCCCGAGGATGGACTGGGAACCACCGCCTTCCAACATTTTCCCCGGCTGAAGGTTACCGAATCCCAGCTCCTAGATCGCTCGCCCTTTCGGATCTGCAAAGGAAAAAGAGGGAACGATGAACAAACCCCAGGGTACCGTCTGAGGGGAAAGGCCTGGAGGGAAAGAGATCGTGGGAAGAAGAGAAATGAAAGTTCGAGAGAGGGACGATAACGAGAGGGAAAGGAAAGGCTGATTTGTTAGTGAGATGCACGCTGCTTACTAAATGTGACGGTCAAAGCTTCTGCGCGATACGGAGACGTTACCGGAGCCCGGCCGTAAACCGAGCTGCATGTACTGTACGCCCGGCAAGTTTAGTTTCTGTGATAGGGAAGTGTTCAGATTGATGAGTCACAAGTCTTGACAATTGATAAAAAAGGGCATGCAATTGGAAAGTCGGGCAGAGTTGCATCCCTGCGCCTTGATCTTGGAGAAGGAACGAGGAAGAAGAAGAAGAAGAAGAAGAAGAGGAAATAGTTAGTAGAAGTCGAAATGACATAATCCGATCTGCTCGTGGTAATCGGTCTTGGCATCGCCGACTGGGTCTCCGACTACTCCGGACCATCAGTCTGTCTTCAGAATACACCTTTTGTCTTGCGGGCCTCGATACTTCAAGGGTCGCTATGGCTATGGTATGTGCATTAAATGAATGAGATCTGAATTGCTCACAGCAGACATGCATGGTTACCATCATTCACATTAGATTTCTGCCTACGGAGAGCTACTGAGAGATGATACTTCCCGCCCTCGAAAAATTTGCGACATGACGTCCACGTGCTTGACCTAGACTATAGTATGAGCTATGTACTGTACTACATCGTTGCACCTCACGCTGTGTACAGTACCACGAGTCAACAGGCAATGACATGTGGGGTTTCTGGTATACCTTGGTCTTTTTCTCGTGTTCACAAGGCGTAAGCGCGCGATAGTGGGTGAACTGAGGGCAGGGCAGCCGATATCATCCAATAATATCTACTTGTTTTAGTCAAGCAACTTATGGATAATGAAGCTAGGAATTCTTAAGTCTAGGTCGAGCAGTGTTCTATCTGGATATAGCACAGCTAGAACGTTACAGTAAGTGTCATTTTGTACTTACAATACGCACGAAGATCAATAGTATCACTTCTCCACTTCTCCAAAGGGACATAGGGACATACTATCTACTGCTTCATCACACTCAATCTTATTCATATTCATAATGTCCTTGATGGCATCAACTGACCGCTCGAGAAAAGTGAACTTATAGTTTCAGGTAGTTTCCTCCGAGCAAAGTTTCGGGGCTTATCTCCGGGCGGGTCGACCTCTAGGCTGGCTAGCGGGTCCCTTCCCCCTCGACAATCCAATCACACCCCGAAGATTCCGGAGCATGCCATCGTGGATTCGGATTGCGAGCCTCATCGTGCAGCATTAGTGAGAGTTGCAGGGGCGAGAATGAGATCTTCAAAATCTTGTGCCTGACCAGAGTTGGAAGTCCGAGTCGTGAGCGATGCTTGGACTTCACGCCAGCAGGGGTCCTTCTCTGTCAAGCCACTGCTCATCAAATACGGAAGCTCGGCAGCCAAGCTGAGGCAAACCGGTCGGATTACATCATGATATTGGTGTTCGGGCCCGACGATCTAGGCCTTATCTCCGGAGTACGCTTTTCCGAGCGCATACTGTCGGAGGCTGTTACTCTCTCGTACTTACGTCCTGGGTAGCGATTTGCTTCTGAGCAGAGCAAAACCAATAAAGCGGTCCGAACTGCCCAACTGGGGTCCTAGTAAGTAAATCTGCTGCTCGCTGCCTGTTTTGTACGGGTAGCATCAAGCCTATTTTTTTATGATGTACTGTGATACACAGCTTGAACTTTCCAGACGATTACCAGAGCAGCTGGGATCTGTCGCGATGGAGATGCCCCGTTTCTCTTCGAGATCGTTCTAGGCTATGGCTTAGACAAATTAAATCGTTAAAGCAAAATCAAGACAGCGATCACTGGCATTCGACGGGTCATACTCAGTCATATCACAGGAAGTCGTGACAATTTAGAGCTGTATGAGCAGCCTTCGGCTCTCTTATAGATGGAGGATGCTCTGCCTCGAATCTAGAGTTCAGCAGTAAAGTATACCATGGAACATAGTTGCAGCTGGAATAAGTAGCCACTGGCTGCTGCGGTCTGCCCACCGCTCACATATGAATCAAACCATGCAAACTAGTCCTCGTGGGTGAAGGCGGTGAGAAGCCGGACGGCGGGGTCCATTCCGCAGCGTCATTCCGTCATTCCTTATGAATCATTCTAAAAAAAACCATCTACAGCAAATTCGATTTCTCAGTGGGTTGACGATGGTTGCAGAATCTACGGTGGAAGACCTCTTGAAAAGGCCTCTATACGGTGTGTAGATTACTCCCCCTTGTACTCTTTATAACCCATATCGTTCGTTTTCGCAACGCGCTTGCTGACACACATGAAGTTTATGATCTACCGCAGGAGCTTCTCTCCACCTTAACTACGAAAGGCGGCGACCAAGCGCTCTCAATCCAGAATGGTGACGATGTGACACCTGAAGAGTCGAAAGAAGAGGTACTGGAACATGCGATCGCCACATCGAACAGCTGTCCACTCTGCAAGGTCACGTACCTCAATGTGCAGGAGCAACGCGATCATGTGCGATCGGACCATCACAAATACAACCTGAAAGTGCAGCTCAGGGGCGGTCCCACTTTGGACGAGGTGCAATTTTCGAAGGCGATCGGGGAGCTTGACGAGTCGATATCCGGGTCCGAGTCTTCGGAAGGGGAAAACGAGGAAGAGGAGACCCAGCTTACGGCCCTGCTGAAGAGACAGGCCAAGATATCTCAGGAAGCTCAGGAGGAAGAAGATTCGCCTTCAAACAAAAAGACCGCGGGTCGACCGCCGCTGTTCTGGCTTTCAAGCTCCGCACTGCCGTCGAACGTCTCGCTCGGTGTCTACAGGGCTTTGTTCTCGGATGTTGAGCAGGATGAGCCCCAGCACCTCGTCGCCTCCCTGCAGAAAAAGCAACTCGTGCCCATCAGTGCACCCAGAAATGCTGCAGATGAGCAAGCGAAGCCACCTCCTCCCAGTCCTCATATCTTCATGTGCATGATTGGTGGTGGCCACTTCGCCGCAATGATTGTGGCACTGGCCCCCGAGATTCACCGGAGACAAGGTGGCATTGAGGATCGCCAGGCTCGGGTGATTGCCCACAAAACCTTCCATAGGTATACAACGAGAAGGAAGCAAGGTGGCTCGCAGTCTGCGAATGATGCGGCCAAGGGGGCCGCGCATTCAGCGGGTTCGAGTTTGAGACGATACAACGAAGCGGCGCTTGAGAAGGAAATTCGAGAATTGCTGTCTGAGTGGAAGCAATTGATTGACGAGGCGGAGCTGCTGTTCGTTCGGGCCACCGGGAGCACAAACAGGAGAATTCTGTTCGAGAAGTACGACGGCCAGATGTTGAGACAGAATGACCCAAGGCTTAGAGGGTTCCCGTTCAGCACACGCCGGGCCACCCAAGCCGAGCTTATGCGGTGCTTTAAGGAGCTTACGCGGGTCAAAGTGAGCCAGGTAGACGAAGCCGCCCTTGCAGCTGCGGCGGCCAAAGCAAAGGAGGTGGCATCAAAGCCGTCAACACCACGGCCGCAGCAGCAGAAGCCCAAGATCTCGAAAGAGGAAGAGGAAGCCATACTCCACACAACACAGATTCAAGCGCTGATCCGGCGTTCCAAGATCCCCGCTCTGATGGCATACCTTTCGAAGAATTCCATCCCTTCATCCTTCAGGTTCCGTCCCTCGGATTCCCAGCAAAACTTCCGCTGTCCAACGTCACTCCACTTGGCTGCCAACCTCAACTCCTCGGCCATGGTTCTAGCGCTCTTGACCAAGGCCGATGCGGACCCGACGACAGTCAACTCCGAAGGAAGAACACCCTTTGAACTCGCAGGCGACCGTGCCACCCGCGACGCTTTCCGCATCGCTCGCCATGAGCTGGGCGAGTCGAAGTGGGACTGGACCGCCGCGAAGGTTCCGGCACCCATCTCCAAGGACGATGCGAGCAGCCGGCTGGAGCAGGAGCGGAAAAGCGCCGAGGAGGAGGAAGCTACCCGACGCAAGGCCGCGATGGCGCGCCTGCAGAAAGAGGACGCCGCCCGCGCAGCCGAACAAGCCTCCAGAAAGCCGGTTGGCCGTACCCTGGGGGCTATCGAGAAAACGGCGCAGGAGAAGAGGGAGGAAGAGATGCGCGGGATGACGTCGGAGATGCGAATGCGACTGGAACGAGAGCGGCGCGCGCGAGCGGCTGAAGAGCGCTTCCGACGCATGCAGGGCGGCAATTAAACCGAACCGTGAAGTGGAATCTTGTGACTTGACTTACTGTAGCGTTGCGAAGAGAGCATATGATACCTTGGTATGAATATAACGAATGATTATGCTTGTCCACAAGCATCTTCTCTGCCTTACGAGTGCAGTACTGTACACTATCGAAACCCTGCAAACAACCAAACCCACCCTCTCCCAACCCCATCCCAACCAACCCACCACCACCACCACCACCATGATAACCATCACCACCTCTTCGCCAAAAAAACCAAAACAACCGGCCACGAAAACGCCCTCTTCACCCCCGTCCCCATCACCCCCTCCAACACCCTCCAAGCCTTCGTATCCTCGACCCCCTCGACCCCCTCAACCGGCACCAACGCCCCCACAAACCGCCTCAACTCCCGCACATCCCAATCCCTGCGCCACAGCCCACGATCCTCTACCTCCACCACCTTTTCCAGGCCCCACCGCACCCGACTCGCGGGACTCTCAACCACAAACCCGCCTGCCCAGCCCGAAAAGAACCCCAACCGCGCCCACCCTCGATTCCACTCATATCTCTCGACCGCGCGCCACTCGCCCGCCGGAAAAGCAAGACAATCCAACCAGCTCGCCACGGCATCGGCCTCGCGCTTGAAGCCTGCGCGCTGCGCCGCGGGGCCGCGCTGGATGACCGCGCGGTACAGCCGGTCCACGATCCCGTCCAGCAGTGGCTGGCACTCGGCGGCGAGGGCGGGGTCGGAGAAGTGCGGGAGGCCGTAGAAGGAGATGGCGAGGGTTCCGGCGCCGTGGGGTTTGAGGACGGGGTGGATGCTCCGTAGAGCGGCGGCGGGGGAGGGGAGGAGCGGGAACATGAGGGCGCTGCTGATCAGGTCGGCGGAGGCTGGGGGGAAGTGCGTGGCGAGGTGTTCGGCGCGAGTGAGGGTGTATGTGAATTGGCTGGGGGAATTGGAATTGGAGCTGTGCAGGTTTCTGGCGTAGGTGAGGTGGCGGGGGTCGATGTCGCTGACGTTGACGTGGGGGAATTTGTGGGAGAGGGCGAGTGCGACGTGGCCGGGGCCGGCGCCGATATCGTGGGCTACGGCGAAGGTTGGTGCTGTGGAGGAGGGTGAGGCTGATGCATGGTAGTTGTAGATCTGGTTGTAGAAGGAGGCGGGGTAGGTGGGACGCGTGAGGAGGTATTCGTTCCAGTAGGCGGTTGCGTCGATGTTTGGGGAGACTTCCCAACTGCGGTGGTGCGAGGTTGCAGTGAGGGTTCTTCGGGGCGGATTTTGGAGGTTGGAAGCACTGGTTGGGGTGAGCTGGTGCTGGGAGTTGATTCCGCGGACAAATAGCTGTGATCTATCCGGGATACGGCGCATTGTTGGGTATATGGTGTGTATGGGTAGATTGGTGTTTGTCTTTCTGCTTTCCAATGCAGAACTGAATCAACAATTGAGACTGTAGACTCATAGCCACTTTTTATAGCAACAGACGAGGGTATGAGAGTTTGCTACGCGAACCATGGATGATGCAGCTTCATTGCGGGATTATGCCAAGCTGTCAAGCCACCTGTAGATAGATCCATGCACTCGCCTATTTAACGGCGGTCAAATTGCACGTGTGAACCATCGGCTCGGAACGAATGACACCAGCCCTGTCTACGTTGAGTGTTGTCATGTTCGAATTGACTCTTACCTGGACCGGTAGGACGCCGACTGGGTTGAGAGACACAAAAGTCGATTACTTCATAACTAGCATTAGGGCAAGGACACCTGACCTGGTCCGTAGGATAGGACTCCGATAAGCTTTGAGCAATGAAGCTAGTTCAAGCTATTTAGGTGGGTATCAACTACAGCAATGGTAAAGTAGGGACCCCATTCAGTAACTTAGCCTCTGTGGCTTCGCCCGTTGTTTTTATCATGTAGTTCCTACTCATCCTTCATCTTCGCCTCCTCTTCCTCCTCCTCCTCGACGATTACAGGCAACGATGCAACAAAAGACGTGCGCGACGAGTCCGCATCAAGCTCCCCGTGATGAACACGATCGAGGCAGAAAGGCCATCGGAAACGGAGCGACAGGGGCAAGATCCACCGCCGCATCCTCTTCGATGCCAGTCGACTCATTCCCCGAAGTGGGCAAAGGCACATGTGTTTTTGTCTTTCAGGGAGACATGTAAAACGCAGGACAGAATCCAGCGCGTAAAAGCACGCAAAAGGGCTCTGTGGATAGAACAAACACAAACGTTTGGTTAGCCTCGACGGACAGCCCCAGAATCTCCCCAAGGTTGCCTTCGGCAGGGATGAGATAGTAACTGACCTCCTTTGACGTAGCGGAATTCCTCAACCCCTATGCGCTCCCTGTGTGCCTCAGGTGTGATCAGTTGGGGCTGTTCCTGTGTTTGTATGAAAGGGGTGGGGCACGAACATCTCACGTCGGTGGCTTTCAGCAATATCGTCCCATCCGCGCTTGGTGAGGTTTATGATGGCGTGCGCACAGTAGAGAAAGACTAGCAGGACGATGTTGGCCACTATAAGTATGCTTAGGAGGGAGCCACAGGTACTCGCCGCTACAACGACGGCGACTTCCTCGGCGAGCTTGCATCTGACATGACTTGGGGGATCGGGGCCATCTTTCTTGCGGCTGGGGAGTAGAGGGAGAGGGTATGAGAGAGATATAGTTATGGATTCTGGTGGGATGTGATACTGGTTTGAAAAGTGCGTGTGGTCTGGTAGGTGTGGAAATATAGGAGAAGAGAAGATAAAGGAGGAGGGGGGAATATCTTGCGGCTGGTACACCATCTGCTGCTTACTCCCAAAAAGAAGGCGAAGCTGTGGATAATTGAGTCCAACTGTCAAGATCACATCATCGCTTCGACAACCATGACTCCGCATGTCATCTTTTCTACCAGAGTATATCGAAACCGCGGAGAGGGTGCCGTTTCTGCACAGCCTGAACTTACTACTCCACCACATCGATCCTCTCTTACGCCCACATATCTCTGTTGGGCCGAGCATTTTGATGCAGTACTCGAATATGGTACATGACTAGGGTGTATCCAGACCATTCGCGGTATCCAAGCCGAGGGCTGAAAGCCCTGACTGGAGTCCGACCCGGCACCATGCAAAGGAAAATGTAGAATCGATGGCCATTCGATTTAGGCTAACAAGGTAGGTACATTAACCTGAAGACAGGCTGACTGAAGCAGATCTTAATGAGAGTTGGATGGTTGAATCACCATGAACAAAAGAATGACGACAAACGATAGCACACCCTCAACCTTCAACCCCCCGCCCCCGCTTCCAGAACCTCCATATACTTAGAAGTCGAAACGAAACACATTCTACGCGAAGGTGCGTGTCAGCCAGTGGAGTACCTCACAAATCCGCAGAACGTACCCAACTCGCCTCAAGCAGCATATCCCACCCCATTCGCGACCGACCAAAGCCACCACCTCACAGGCATTCCATGGACGGAGTGCCAGCCCCACACTGACAGCCCGAGTGGCCCTCCTCGGCCATACAGACACACCCATCAGACAGGGCATCGGTGGTGCCGGTGTCAAATCCCACGCCGGAGCAGGAAGAGCCCGTACAGCATTGGTTGAGCAGGGATTGGGCGTAGCCATGGATGTAGGCGACGTCGACCGCGTCTCCCTGGGGGAAGAAGGAGAAGGTGCAGGAGCCGGATGTCCAGTAGGTATTGTCGTTGCCGCTGACGGTCCCGGAGGTGGGGATCAGGGCAAAGGCCGCGTAGCAGTCGGAGCTGGTTGCTTGCTCGCAGTCGCCGCAGGTGATGGTCGAGCCGGTAATAGCGGTGGTGGCCAGGGCGGCCAGGGTGAGGCAGGTCTTGGGGTTCATAGTTGATGTAGTGTATGGAGTATAGTGTATGGAGTGTATGCTCGAGTCTCGTGTGAATTCAGAGCTTTGAGGGAATCTGAGGTGGTTGGAATGGATGTTGGAGTTCTGGAGTTGGGTGAGGGTATTTATACTTCTATGCTGCTATACTGCTATACTGCTAACTGCTATACTGCTAACTGCTATACTCCTAACTGCTATACTGCTAAATGCTATACTGCTAATTGCTATACTACCATACAGCCATACAGCTATGCTGAATCTATCTTTCCGACGGACGACTGGCCAAATTAGCCATCCTTCACAGAGGATTCAGCCCCCGAAGTACGGGGTTCTCCACCTCCACAGCCCGTTGGTCGAGAGGAAGACTAGAAACAGGTTATCCCCGGGGGCCTTACTCCAAGGCTGTGCCGGACATGGGATCTGGGCAGTTGACATCATATCCCATGCATGGCAAGACACAGAGGATACTCGCGTAGCCCCCGGGAGAATCGGACAGATTTGGTTGTACCTTGTCGAGCTCGATCAGATTTGTGGCCAAAGTGAGTTTCTGACAGCAGGAAAGCCTTCATTGAATCCAAACAGCCACGAGAAAGCACAATTGAGCAATTGCTATAGATACTAATACATACAAGAAAGAATCCCAAGCATCGCAGCAGTATGCGACCCGGGATTCGACCCTAGAACCCTATACAAGCCTTAAATATTAAGCTTTAAGCCGCGTACTAGGGCAAACTAAGCTTCCTCAGCAAATCAAGCTAACCGAAGAACAGCCCCACAAGTTCCTCCCAGCCTATAAGAGCCTGTATACAGAAGTCGCCGCGGTGAATAAGCAAGCCCTTGCGTCCAGACGGCGGCTTATCTGTTCGGCCATCTCCCCTTCAGACGATAAAGCCTAAGGTAGGCCGGATTAGTCGAGCGACCCAATCATACCTCTCTGTTGCAGAATAGGTCTCTCTATCCACAACCAAAGCCGCATCAGATTACCCTCAGTTTCCAGGTTTTGGAGAGGCTGAGCAGAGCTTCCTTAGTCCTTTCTTGGCTCAACTATACAAGTCTATCCGGCACGTCCCGGGCTCCAAGAATTCAGGGGTCTTCGGCAAACCTGCCATGGCAGGCTCAGGGTAAACCCTTCAGCATCCGAGGCCAGTAATAGCTACTATACTTGTGAGTGCACAGCCGTAAAGACGTAAATAATGACAAGATTGACAATTGAAATGGTTTCGGTCCTTGCTCTTGATTAGGCGCGTGAAAAAGGCAAAGGCTTATCCAACGGGCTGGCCTGCTTTGATCCCAGAGGTGGAGTGGTTATAAAACCTGTAAAGGTTGGTCCATAAGACTTTTTGATAAATCCCGAAAGGCTTGAGAGATATGAAAAGGTAAATGAGAGATGAAAACCAGGACGATGAGGAAGATGGAAGGAAGACCTCCTGCCTCCTGGAAGAAGTCATCCTCCGCTCCTACCTTGTCAGCGGGTATGCAGTTAATGTTTCTTTGGTGACAGACAGTGAACATTCTGCTTACAGACTAATGTATTCACACAGAGATCGATGTACTTGCACAAAGTAATATATCCATAGAAAGATCTCGTCTGTGAAGCGATAGCTTCGCAATTCTACAAGGGCCCTCTTCGATTCGATCCAACGGAACTTATTCAGGTTCCCTTTACTCAATTGAGGCTGCTTAGTACGGTCTAGGGCTAGTTATGCGGGTGCTTAGAGAGAGATACTTGAAAATCTACAAGGGTACATAGAAGTCATTACTAGTATATGTATAAAATTACTCAGACAGATATCCAAATAGTAGCTTAAAAGAGTACTCCAAAAAGGTGTAAGGGACCTGCTGGGCTACTAAGGGCGCCTCCACAACGCCTCTGTCCAGTCAAAGTCATCTGCAGACAAGCCCTCGGATCTATAATCTAAATCTATATCCCGGATGTGCAGAAGTTACAGAGAAACATAAGTCAATAGAACAGGCGTCGACCGTAGCGGGGGATGGTGCGCAATGACCTCGAAAACAACAAGACCACCAACGGCAGCGCGGCCCGTCACAACCCCCCGCTTGCCTTCCGGTTGGCCTTGGCCTGCATCCGCCGCATGGCCTCCCGATGCAACTCACTCATGTCGCCGCCGCGCGGCGGGCCTTCCCCTGCAGCGGCAGCGGTGTGGCGGTGGTGGACCAACGAACTGTGCCGCTGCAGCGACTGGACGTAGGGGGGCGGGCTGCGATCGACTCCCGTGGCCATGCCTACGGGCCCATCCGGCTGTTTTGCGAGGGGGTCCCGTTTGTCCCTCAGATCCTCCAAGATCGATTCGCGCCAGGCCGCCATCGCAGCCGGCATGTTGCTGGAGGATTGGCCATTGCTGGGGTGTCTTCTGGGTACTGCTGGTGGGCTGGGGATATGTGCTTGCGGTGGGCTTTGAATTGTCTGCTGGTGCAGCAATGTGCGGCGCTGAGACAGTGGCATGTTGTCGTCCGTCTCTTCGAGGTTGGGGCCGGCGAACGAGTACCGTGGCGGTTGGCTATCGAGCGGCGCTTGCCAGGAGCCGGAGCCGTTCCGCGAGAAGGGATCAAAGTTCAGCGAGAAGGACGACAAGCGGTTGCGCATAATGTCCTCCCGCACGGCTATGAGCGGAGGCGGTCCTCTCCACCGTGGCTTAGGAGGCTCAGGCTCGTCTCTGGGCTGTTCCGCCCCGACAGCATTGCCCAGCTGCAACGGATCTGTTGGAGGAGGCGATGGCTTCTTCTTGGACCGGCTTGGATGAAGACCCTGGTGCAGATATGGGTCCCCTGAAATTCGGTGACTCTTAGATCTGGATAGGTCTTTGACCTTGCGTTCTACAGCCGGAGGCGGCTGAGCATTCAGCGGCGTCTGCAATAGCTCCTCCACGTTGACCGGTGCTGCGACTTCCTCTACTTCGGGGACAACTTCGGGCTCCTCCTCTTCCATAGGCTTGATCGGTTCGAGCTCGGGCAATTCTGCATCAGCGAGGTGTTTTGCCCACTCATTAGTGCGATAGGATTGAACCACTTTGGATGTCTGCTTTGGCAGGTGTTTCACAGTTTTCTCATCGAGCTTAGGAGGTTCCGAAGGTTCCACGGGCTCTTCTTTCTTAGGTTTCGATTCGGTCTCGTTAGGACGAGTTGATGCCGCGCTTTTGCTGTGGTTAGTGCCCGGGGTCTCATTCTTGTCCGATGTTGATTGGTGTGGCTGATCTAATGCGCTTCCAGGAGCTCCTTCCTTGTCATTTGTAAGAGGTCGTTCGGGCCTGTTCTCCTCCGTTGGAAGGGCCGCGTAAGATTGCTGTTTTTGTGACGCCTTCGACTTTTTCTTTGATGACTTCTTCCCCCTTTTGCGCTTTGTGTTCTCTGCTTTTGGTTGAGAGGCTATAGACGTTTCGGTCTCTTTGCCCTCTTTCCCCTCGTTTGCTGGTTTCTGCTGATGTTTGTCAAGTACCTGCTTTTGCTCGGCAATGGCCTCTATACTCTGTCCTGAAGGAGGGCTCTTTTCACCTTGCTCTGCCTCCGGATGTGTCTCTGATACAATATCCTGTGGCTTCTCTTCCGTTGTTTCGGTCGTGGCCGCTGGCGGCTGCTTCTGGTCATCCTTGTGCTCGGGTTGATCACCCTGCTCATTTGAGGACTCAATCTTTGGTACTGTCTCAATTGCCTGCGGTTCGTGCTTGACCTCCACAGGTTTGTCTTTTCCTTTCTCATCCTGTAAAGCATTGCCGTCAGACTCTTCGGCTTCGGTAGGCTCCTTGTTCTCCGGTTTTGTGCTGTCTTTAGCATCATCATCATCATCCTCATCTCCCGCGGGTGTAGTTTGACTCTCCTCGGCAGCCCGATCGCTGCCAAAATCCGGGATATCATTAGAAGATGGAGCAGTACCATCAACCGAAACAAGCGCCTCCTTCGACTCCGAGTGAAGAAGTCCATTACCACCAGCTTCCTCGGCCTTTTCCACCAACGAAGCCCTCGACATCCGTCTCGAGCGCACCGATCCCGCCTCTGACCCAATAAGAGCAGTGACATCGGAGCTTCTATCATCCTTCATGCGGGCCGCGGCCGCGCCATCGAACACCTTGAGCGTCACGGCACCGCTATCTCCACCCGCGCCCTCTGGCTGTCCATCCCGACTGCCTGCGCTAGCGTCCGACGTATGGGAATCGGTATCGCTATCCTCGCCGCGCTCCCTGCAGTCTGAGCATCGATATGAGCTGTAAGACGACTCCGAGATACTTCGGACCTCGATGGCATCGCCCTTCTCCATGGCATCCATCTCGTCGATTGGCCGCTTGGAGTCCCCAGATAGCTCAGGGGTGCTTGACAACGGAGAGCCTTCCCCGTACGTGGCCTCCCACTCCTTCCGCTCCTGCATATTATCCTCTTCTAGTCGGCGGCCAACCTCGGCCTCGGCCTGTTCGTGGTGCTGTCGCTCCTGATCGCGCTTTTCTTTCTCCTTCTGGCGACGTTCGCGGACCACTTTCCACAGTCGAAGCTGGGAGACTACACCCAAAATGGCGACAATGACGGTGACGGCGAGTTCAACGCGGATGTTGCGCGTGACCGGGTAGGTGCTGGTGCCTAACGGGAAGATGTCGCTGTTGAGATCTAGAAGGGTGAGAACAAATTGTCAGCATCTCAATGCTTTACACTCCATACTCTGTCCCACCCTGTTTCTAGCAACTCAATCGAAAACTCACCCCAGATGTAGAGCCAAAACTCCTTCAATCCCGCGCGGCTAAAGCAATCAATCCCTAGCGCCACGGCGGTACCGCCGGATATCCCTGTAGATGCCATCAACCCGTACGGACGGGTGTATTGACTGAAGGACATCGCGTAGAAGGCAGCCGACATGGCCCCGATAAATCCGCTCTTGGCGTTGGTGTCCGTCAGGAGGCCTCCCGACTTCAGCGAGAGAAGCCACATACTAGTGCAGAAGCCACCTAAAAGGCAGCCAAGACCCTCCGTCAGCTCCTTGAAGACGATAGCTAGCGCCCCAAAGGTTGCGCCGGTAAAGACGATAGCGACCAGGTATGCGCCCTGGACGGCGACTCGCACTGGCGGACTCATCACGTAGACAATGAGGACCTGTGAAAAGGCAAATAGTTAGAAATGTAGAGCCATGTATATGTCGTGAGTAGCTCCTTGAGAACATACAGTAACACCAAGACTGGTCAAGAATGCCGTGGATAAGAAGACTTGAATCCTGGAAGTGAGGGGTCAGTTGTCTGTGTGTGTGGCTTAATCTGCGCTATCGACTCCGGCAATGACCAACCAAAGATTTTGAATCCCAATCAATGCGAGGACAGCTCCGGCAGCAAGAAGGATAAAGCCACCGATACCCAGAGCCGGGGTGACTTCGGGTTGCAATGGAAGATCATTCGGATTGGTGGGCGCCTTGTTGTCTGTCTCACGCAGTCAGTTCAGCTTGCCACGGCCCGATAAAATTCAACGCGGCGACTGCAATCTCGGAGAGAAAAGACCTACCATCGTTTGTCACAGATGAGTTTAACGAGGTAAGAGTTGTGGAGGCTGGAATGGTGGCATTGGTCGTCCTCGTCGCGTTACTTGCCACATCTGTCGCATGGCTAATTGCACTTGTCGTCGTGCTGTCATCAATGGCTTGCGTGGTGCTGCTGGGAGGAGGCTCATCTCTGTTAGTGATGAGGCCATTGAAGGCTTCGCGTGGGGTGTGCGGGATTTGTGCTGAGACAACGAAGAATAGACTTGGCACAAAGTAAACGGCCAGCGTTAGCAGGAAGAAGCGCATGGCGGGTGGCTTGGATGAATCGATGAGACTCAAATGTGATTCAAGATCCAACAGACGGCCAATGGGGATATTATCTGGTCCAAATTGATTTGTGGCCCTCTAAGGGAATGCCAGCCAACGTCCGGGAGATGCGATCGAGCTACCTGGCGGTTGCTATTCACATAACTGTCATGTAGGTCGCCGACAGCTGGAAAGGCAGCGTGGTTACCTGTCAGGGTTGACTGGAGACACGCAAGTAGGTCCGAGAAACGTGTCGGTAGACTCTGAGACAAGGTGATCGCTTACATATAATCTCAATTGCCACTATCTACTATATGTATCCATTGGCGGAGACGGAAAGGTATAAACGCGAAGGCTTGGACCTAGCATATCTGCACGGGACTTGGAGGGACGCCGTCATTGATTCGAGCTCAACCCTAGTCAGATAGTCGAGCACGCCTTCATCCAGAGCTCCAGAAGAAAAATAGACTAAGTGCACGGCAGACGCGAGATGGCCCACTTTTTGGAGTTTGGAGGGCGAAAAAAGCAAAGTAGTCGCATGGTCGTACATGATAATTGAAATTATTTGGCAAGGATCCGCCCCCTGGTGTTCATCATCTGAAATCTTTCCGGGAGTAGATCGTGCGAGACATGATAACGGCAGGCAGTCCAGTCGACAAACGAATCCAAAGGAAGACACACAAGAGGCACGCCCAAGGGATATTTTGAGTTCCTAGGCTCAAATTCATGGCCAATTGATGATGGTACACCATTGTCGACTGGTTCATTACAGTCTTTGTCCGCAAAAAAAAGTTTTGGAGGAGGCTTGCTAGCCTCGGCGCCATAGCATGCCATATACGAGAGGAGCGGCCTGGTTTGTTTCATTGGATCCGATGAGCCCAACGATTGGCTTCGCTTCAGAGAATTATGACCTGTTGCGCGAGAAAGACACCTAGCGTTGTCCGCGTCTCTTGTAGACTTCTCCGGGCTAAATTAGGATTCTGATAATTAGCGCTAGACGGTCCCATGTCGTACGGAAGAAAGAAGGATCTGGGGAGCTGATCAAGTTCATCCGTCACTGATAGAGAAGGACAAGCCCACTAGCCGCTAGTGGTTAGGCTGTCCGTGTGATCGGCTGCAAGAAGCGACATATCTAATTTCCTTCGCCAAGCGTACAGCCTATCAGGCTGGAGCACCTCAGAGAACAATGCTCATTGGGACTGCAACACCAGTCCCAAGGCGCGCCGTCAGTGGACGATGGGTTTGCGGCTAAAATCCGACGCTGAGTTTGACTCCCAGGGGTTTCCCGCGACTATCGAACCCTTTGAGCCATACAGGGCCACAGACAACCTGGAAGGCAGTGTGGAGGCAGGCGGGTTCGACCCGATGGCTATGCCGAGGTGCAGTCTGAGGTGCACAGTACCGTAGGCATGACGAACGCGGGTTGATCGATAGTCCCCAAGCTCCAGCGGTGTCGCAAGCTGCATCGCCTGGCCGTACCAGCAGGTAGTCTATCAGGCGGAAGCTTTCGCGGAAGCGCTGGGTTGTCAATTTTCGGTCAAGCACGCATCAATAGAAGTATGCAGGATAAGTGCGGTGAGAAGGCTAAGTGACCGGCTAGTCTTGAATAGAATGCATCCCTCTAGTAAGCGAGGGTTGGATGTATGCCTTGCTGTTTCCTCGGATGGAGCTGGGATCTGACGTCTCACAAGCGGACGCTGCACGGAAAGTGGACTATTTCATGACCGACCGTCTGGCACGGCAAAGAATTTCCACGCTTTGGAAAAAGAGTTTCTTACTTCTCAAAGTCTATGAATGATATATGCATGCACGACCGCATATTTGGTAGAAAATGGAAATGGGCTGAGTCTGGCCAGTGCAACCGGTGTGGAATTGACGATGATGGCGTTGATGAGGGGGATGGAGTATACTACGGAGTACGGGAGAGGAAGACTATCAAGGGACAAAGCAGATCACGTGCCGGAACCAAAACACGGCACTGTGCGGAGATAGTGATTCTGCTGCTGCTGCTGCCGTAGTCCCCGTCAACAATCCCCCCCTCATCACATCACGTCTCAAACACAAGATTGCGCCCTAAAGCAAATCTCGATCTTGACCACATCCACATCTCCCTCTCCGCCTACAACACACACATCATGTCTGCCTTCCTGTCTTCGCTGCGTCCTGCCATGCGCGCCACCTCCGGCGCCGCACAGGCTGCGCGTTCCTTCAGCTCCTCCTCGTCGCGCTCCGTCGCGAAGATGTTCATCACAGGCCGTCTTGCGACCGAGCCCGAGTTGCAAGTCACCGCCTCCGGCACGGAGATTGTCAAGTACTCTGTTGCCACGCAATACTACTCCAAGGGCGAGAAGCCGACGAGCTACTTCAAGGTCTCGGTCTTCCCCGAAGGCGGCCAGAAGGATTTCATCCTCGGCCTGCCCAAGGGGTGAGTTTCCTATTCCTTCCAAGAGAGAGAGAGACCATAAGCCTAGGCGAGACGCGCGCTGCAGCTCCTGCAACTCGCCAGCTCTCTATACAGCTAGCTAGGCAGAATAAAGACTGACTCCGCATACCCTATCTAGAACTCTTGTTTTCGTCGAAGGAGATGCCGCCATGCGCACATATGAAGACGGCAACGGCAACAAACGATCGTCGCTGAACATCCTTCAACGTGAGCCCCTCGCCCCTCGAACCCAATCACCTCTACATCAGAAGACTAACAACTCATTTCCCATAGGCACTCTTGAGGTCCTGAGACGCCCTTACATTCCCACCGAGTCCGCCGAGGGCGACGAGCAGGGCACCAACTAGGCCAGAGTCCACACCATGCACAAAACCCCTGCAGGGCGCAACCACTCCGTCGACGCAAACCAAGAAAAACACATACACACACCACACCCCACTCTGGATTCAATATCCGCTGCACAACGAAATAGGACAGATAGTTCTTTGCGAGGACCCATTGCCCTTCCCGTTGTGGGAGGAGTAGGATCGCGTATTTCTTGGAGATCAGGCCTTGGATCCATGCCGGTAGAACGGATATGTTGCTTGCTGGTCGACGTTCTTTATGTCTCTCTCCCTGTCCATCTCTCTCTCTCTCTGCCCGCTATACCCGGTCGTTGACATGACTGTATGTCTGTGGGTTCCGCCTATGTCTGCCTGTTTTCCACGGTTACAGCCATGCATCCCCCATTTGTACTTATAGCGCGATTTAAATAAAGTTGGAGACCAGTACGCTGTTCTTCCGGGAGGTAGGGGTTCTTGCTGAAGGATCTCTCGCCGCCTTCTATATTAATCAATCTGCGGTCTGAAACTTTAGCATGCGATGGGTCTACCGCATGTGTTGCGTCAGCATTGCTGATGGTTCTGCAACTGCATGTATAACTTACCATCTTTGTAGATCTTGGAAGGAAGCGTGGATCCCGTCCTCCCCGTGCTCCGTAAGCATGGCTTTAGTGAAGATGCTCGGGCTGGGCTTGCATGATAAACTCTCTTGCGCATCTCCAGTGAGTTGTTCGTGCATTACGGCCGAGAGTCTCACCCGGTGGCTCCCGGTCACTCCGTGGTCTATTGGCTCAGGAGCCGAGGATCAGCTGGTTACTGAGGAGTTTAGCTGTCGCTGTGAGCGCTAAGGCACCGAATGAATGGTCTAAAGCAGGCGAGGTTTATGTAGCCCATTGGCAGTAGAGGGTACGAATCGAAGACTTCTCTGATTTCCATAAATTCACCTCGCAAAGCCACCAACCACCATCCAGCTATTAGAACGCCTTGACATAAGGCTCAAGTAATGTAGAAAGCGTAGAGAATAAGAGATTAGGCCCTTAATCTACCCTGCCCTTTGCCGCACAGATTCGCCTATCACCCTCTTCCCTCCCTGGAATCACAGCATCCTAAGCATACATCTCGCTCTGCTGGGTGATGACCTGCTTGACTCGAATGTGGTCGTCCTTAAGCGGTGGGTTTCCAAGGTCGCTACTGTTCCGGCTTCGGCTCACGCCTGCCCAGGCATTGGTCGAAACTGTGTTAGCAGTTGTCTCAGCCAAGTGATGGAGGGGGAGCATCCTATCTCTGTTAGGAGACCCTTTGAGTCGCCACACACGCTTGTACCATGGAGTGCGCGCAGGTTGCTTGCTCTGAGGCGTGACCCCTTTTTCAACGTCTTGGGAGTCGTGACCTATGGGTTGCGGGTGCATGGTGTTGTTGACATTTGTTCTATGAAAGTTAGGGCTGGGGCTGGCTCCAGACTCTGCTGTAGGGGGGCTTACCTGGTTCCGGATGTCCATTTCCAGTTGAAGAGCAGCTTCGCCCGGCTACTAGTTGAACCGGTTGAGTCGGCCGAGGTGGTGCCTGAGGAAGTTCGTAGGCAGGTGAAGCAGTGGTGCATACCCAGGAAAACTAGGATTGCGCGGTACATCTTCGTGGCATCACGACCGCTGCCAAAGAAAATGAAGAACATGAAGCCCGATGCGGCTGGAATCCAGCGGTCGAAGTATACCTCGCCCATTGTGGGGACTTTGATGATCACGTTCCAGGTGGGAGGATGGGCACGATCCCAGGAGTACGCATGCCACGGGAGGGTACGCAGGATGTTGGTACACACGACGAAGGTCTGGACAGGGATAATGGCCAAGAGCATGAGAAAGGCGAGCAAGAAAAGCCGCAGGAATCGAGATTTGTTCATGTTGCTGTTCGAGGATTGGATTATGTCTCCGAACTGACTTCGATATTTGCTGAGACGATGCAGAACGATCACTGACAACGTTAGAGCTTGATGTGTGAATGGTGAATGAATCAGCTAACATACCGCAGTAGTAGCCAGCGATCAGACAAATGATCAGCGGCCAGATATAGGCCAGGACCAGGGTCACCCAGGTTTCATCGTAGCTGTTAACACAACCAGAAATAGCAAAAACAAAGTAACGGCCCCCCTGATAGATGATCTGCGTGATCGTTGCGACTGCGGGGGCCATGAAGCAGAACAGAAGGGTCATTCCACGATTCCACCACCGCTGCGACTTGGTAGGGACTAAAGCCGCACGTCTGGTGTCCAGCACGCAGGCCAAACCACGAAAGATACAAACGAGCGTCCCAGGAACGGCAATGTAACTCGCAATCATAATCTTGCCCTCAAAATCACATAGCCCCTTACCGTCCCACCAAGAACTCACGTCATCGGTAGGCCAGAGTATGGCATTGATTATGTTGAAGACGTTGAGAATCATGTACCAGCAGATCAGGCTGCTGGCAGCCACGTTGCGGTTGTTCCAGTGCAGCACCAGTGGCACCACGCTCAACAAAATAGAAACGAAGGATAGAACTGGAAGGAGTACTGCTTGCATATAGAGCGGATAGACCGGAGCTGCTTGAGCACTCATCGTGCGAACTGGGTGACACTAGTTGCGTAGGAGGAGATCTCGATAGAGTACGGCAGACTTGAAGCAATCCAGCTGCCTTTCTGCTTGGTATGGATGCGTGAGAGAATGATTATGGGCTCTTGACTGGAGTATGAACGAAGGAGGATGGTTCTGGGTCATCGTATCGGGTGCAGCAGCATCATATAGACCATATGTGCCTTGATCTCCTGAATAAGGAGTAACAGCAATGTCTTATTGACGGAGCCCAGAAATAGACAGGTACGAGAGCATCAGAGCCTTCACTGAGGGTCTAATTGAGACATTCTCTTGCCAATCGCCGAGGGGGTACAGAATCAGAGATTTGCAAAATGAGCCGGCAAGTGTTGTGACCAGGCTATAGACGCCGCTGCGGCCAATCGAACGGACCATTTGGGTAACAACCATTTCCACTGAGTCTCAAGAAATGAGTCAATACATCGATCCTCGGTTGATAGTCTGAATATGGGGGGTATGAGAACACAATTGCAGTCATAGAATGGGGCAGTGGAGGAGGAGTTGACAGCCACCTGGCAGGATAGACGCATAGCTCCGTCTTCTCTGCGCCGACCTTTCCTAATTCGGGTCTCAAAAGACTCAGTCAGTCACCTCCACAGCTTGCCTCATTCCTGCTGTGTTCCATCTATTACACTCTCTATCTTAACAGGCTCTGTTTCATGCACTCGGTTGCTATTTTCAGCTATGACTGTGTCAAATGACTATTTTCCATCGGGAATGCATCATGCATCTAGTCGGACTGAACTTCGCGGCCCCAAGCTACCAAAAATCACCTGCTAGGTCTTGTATACAGTACAAGAGCTCTCGCTGGTGGTACACTATCTCGGCGATATGCCAGCCCATGTCGGACTTTGTCGACTGCAGATTAGCTCAAAAGTGCTTGTGACAAAGAAACCACAAAGTACTTTGTTACCCCTGCCTGAGCTTAAATCGAGCTTATAATCACAGTTCCAAAGACGGCGGAGGTAGTTCAACTTCTTCTATGCGTCTATTATTCATCGGACAAACAGTCTCAAAACACACAAAGTGGGTTGCGCATACTTCGGCTAATTGCTCTTTGATGAAGGGTCGTACAATCACTAATGACGACCCGTGCCATATCGGATTGCCTAGCATGGATTAGCATAGTATAGGATGTCGACTCGCTAGTTGCGCCGATATGCTCACCCTTGAAAGAAATCCAAATGCTTGGTTCTCGAATCGATACTTCTAGTTGCAGTCGCTCCGCTCAAAGTCGACTCCGCAGTCGTATTGTGGCAACAAGCTAGTTATAATTCTCTTTGGCCATCATTGACAGTAATTGCTCAATTTGATTGAGTGTGCCAGTGTCGCGGTAGGCACTTCTCACAGTTCCCCTCCTCGCTTTGTTGTTTTCATCTTGATCTCCTGACATCGTGGGTCTGAAGATTCTCGTTCTCAATTGATGCCATCGTCCATGTAAGCAACTCCAGCTTCAACCTATTGTTGATGTGATCCGGGGAGCCATACAGGTCTAATTCAATAATTTTCGATACTCGCTGCGAATCCTCAAGTAGTTCCAATAGCTGGTGTCTGTCTGTACACCGACATGCTTGAGGATCACGAAGCTCTGCGATATATCGGCGCCTGGTCCACCAAATTTGCCGACATACGGATCTTTATTGGTTATCTACAGTCTGAATGGCATAGTTCCCTTGCTTGGAAGGATTGTCTTTGTGTCTGACTTCGGAATGCGGGGTCTTTATCAACGCCTTTCCACCAACTCGTTCTGTTAGCTTCTATCGATTGTGACGGACAACATGAATGATCCCAACATACCCTACACCATTCCTACTATTTGCTGGTCACCATCATGCCTCACTCAGCAAGTTACATCTGTTGGCATCTGTTCAGCAAAATGGTTTGTGCCCATGCTCTAATCTCTTGTTTTGTGAGTCTTTTCTCCTTTCCTAAACACAGGTGGAGCCCTGCGTCATGGCTAAGTAACTAAGACTTAAGCCTATAGGGACTAGTGCCCGCCCCCGGGCAGGCAGTGATCGATGATCGATTCGGGGTTCGAGCCAAGGCTGCTTTAGCGTCGTACAAGCAAGATGCTCGATCTGCGTGGTTCTCGTCTCCTCCCTTCCTTTCTCCCTCCCCGTCACTCTTTCTCCTCTTCCCCCCTCTGCTTCTCTTTCTCTTCGACTTCCCAGCTTTCTGAAACTTCTACTGCACCGCTCACTTTGACTGTGCGATGTCTGACCGACCTGGCCCATCGCGGTCACCCCACACACAAGACCAGAGCTACAGCAGTCCTCGCGTGCTCTCCCCGGATTTCACTAAACTTCGCCACCGCGGTCCAGCCCGCTCTGCAACCTTTGCAGAGGGCACGACCTCCAACCTGCAAACCCAGCGGCGTAATTCCACATTATCCGACTCGGTCTCAGAGGCTCGCCAATCGATTCGGTCCTCCACGGATGATATACTTTTTCCACGAGTGGCCAAGGGAGGTGACGTCGACCTGACAAATGAAGAATCGCATTGGCACTCGGCTCCCTTGGGTTTGGCTTTACTGCCTGCCATTGCCGGGATCTTTTTCCAGAACGGGAGTGCCGTCGTTACCGACATCACCCTTCTTGTTCTCGCCGCCATCTTTCTGAACTGGTCGGTTCGATTGCCATGGTAATTACACAGCCTTTTCTGCTAGCATGGTGCATCATTTTGATTGAAAGCAACAGGGATTGGTATCGTTCCGCACAAGCTGTCCGACAGTCTAGCGACAAATACTTCGAGGCTACTGAGTTTCCATTAAGCCCAGAGCCGAATGACAGCCTCGACTCGGGTGATAAAGCCTCGTCACCGATTGCCCAGGAACAGCACCGCTCCAGCAATGTTACTGCAGCCACGAAAGAGCTACAGATCCACGAGCTCGCCGCTTTGGCCTCTTGTTTCATCTTTCCATTGATTGGGACGTGGCTTTTGCACACTATTCGATCGAAGCTCTCTCGCCCCTCAGAAGGTCTAGTCTCCAACTACAATTTGACCATTTTCCTCCTTGCCTCGGAGATCCGGCCCTTTTCGCATCTCCTAAAGATGGTTCAAGCACGTACCCTGCATCTTCAACGCATCGTCGCATCGTCCACGGAAGACGAGGTTGACAAAGTCGATGTCCACAAAGTCCTCGACCTGACCAAACGCCTAGAAGAGCTCGAAGCTCACGTTGCCGAGACAGCCGCTGCACGACTCTCGCCGGACCCTGCAGCACGTGCCGGGCAGCCTTCGCAGAACGATAGCACTCATGCCCTCGTCGACCAGGCCACCGCCGAGATGCGCAAGAGCATTCAATGGGACATTGACGCGTTGAACCGCGCTGTGCGTCGCTACGAGAAACGCACCACCGTCTCCGCATACCAGACAGAGACGCGGTTCCAGGCCTTGGAGACCCGCGTGCACGACGCATTCTCCCTGGCGGCTGCCGCCCATCGTGCCAAGCCTCAGGGGCTGATAAATATGCTTACTGGATGGGTGTATACGGCCATTACCCTCCCTGGACAAGTCATCATGGGTATAGTCACTCTCCCGATGCAGGTGGCCCGGCGTTGCCTGCGGTACTGCGGAGAGAAGGTGCTGACGAGACCGACCGGATCCGCCACACCGCACAAGGGCAAAGTACCTAGGGAGCGCAAGTCGCAGGCCTCAAAGGAAACGAGACGTCCTGCGCCGCAGAACCACCCGGTCGACACACGGACGCTCGACTCAATCAAGGAATACAAATAAATAATACAGATAGGTGCATTTTGGAAGCCTACGGCGATTTTCTTGGCGGTCATGGCGAAGAAAGAATGATCATATATCTCCTGGATTACTATTCTTTTCAGCGGTGACTTCGCATCAACTCCTTCATTCATGATTTTCAGACTCGATTGGAGGGTCTCGGAACAGCACGCGTGAACATCCTTGGTAGTGAAAGAGACGTACGCAAAACCTACTTGGCTTTCAATCATCTTACCCCACGCCTTTCCAACACCTCCACCACTACATATGATGAAGTATATAGCGGTGCACTGTGTAAATACCATACTATACAATAGGAAATCTGTAATAGCCAGGAAGAAGCATCATGACGAGGGAGAAACAAAAGCACCGCCCTTCGCCTTCTCTGCATGTACACTTAAATCCAAGAAAAAAAAGAATTCGGGCCAAACTCCCATACACCTCATCGCGATATGCTTCTTGTCTACACCCATTGATAAATTTAATTTTGAAGCCACTTACCAAGAACGGCAAGATGGCCGAGTGGTCTAAGGCGCTGCACTCAAGGACCCCCTCCTTCTTCGGATCTTCAAATCCGAGGAGCATTGCAGTCACGCAAGTGGCGTGGGTTCGAATCCCACTCTTGTCATTACTTTTTGGTCTTTTTTGTTCCAGGGTGAGCGAGAGGATAACCGTCTTTACGTCTGCCCACATATTTTAAAGCCCATGATACAGATCATATCATATCAACGCGCAACTAGACGGACGCAGACGGCTTGTTAATTATGGAAAGAAACAGACATGTAAGTAACCCTCCACGCAATTGAAACCTATTGCCCGAGTCCGGGAAGATGGGTTACTGCGTACTCGCGAGCAATTTCAGTGTTTGGCTACACACCTCTTGAGTGCAGTATATACAAGGGCGAGTGGTAATGGCAATCACCATGTCAATGGAAGGGACCCTATACACCTGTAATCATCCACTCTGCTTGTCATCGACCTCCCTGGTGGGTATTCCGGGAAGTGAGCAATGGTAGGCTCCGGGCCGCACAGGAAACAGTGACGAGATGAATATATTCCCCTGCCTAGCCTCATCTGCTGAAGAGTGAGCTTATACTTGGTCTTGACTCTAAGCATGATCTCGGTGGCTAGCTGCTCCTACAAGGGCGTACAGACTCGCCTATCTTCCCCGACCCTCCAATTCGCAGGCAGGATATCCTACTTCCCTCGCATCCACGACCCTGGATCGTCCAACCCAATACAGCTACACACGTAATCCGGGATAGACATCGTTGCTCACCGCAGCGGTTCCCGCAGAATGGTGGTGGACCCCGCCAGAAGCATCGATCTTCACCCTCTCGGAGGATCTCGAGAATAATGCGGTTTATCCCGGAACATAGCACCTATGCATCAATATCTTCCTCCAGCCGCCAATACACCCAACATACGACAGCTGCCATCGATGCAGACAGACCTACCCGTATAGCGTAAACCGGGAGAGAGTTCTCGTGCTATGGCCTGCTGCCCCCCCACCCCCCCCCACCACTGTAGCCCAACATGCAAATCACGAAACACGGTAGCTGTATGTACAGCGAAACGAGCATGAATACGCACACGCCGGCGACACAAGGTACAAGCGAAGCTGATCCGATCTGATAGACGTGGCACGGACGCGTGCTTTTGTGCTTGCGCGCGGGCGCGGGCGCGGGCGAGACAGGCGCGGGTGGAGTGTCCGAGATCTGCATCCCCCTTGCATGATGTCTACAGATTCTTGGAAGAGGGGTGAATGCGGAGGTTGGGAGAACGTACCTGAGTTGAGTCTGGGTCTTTTTTTTGGTCTTGGTGTAGGGATAGGGTGTGTGTGTATGAGGTAAGAAGTTGGGGAAGGGAGAGAGGGAGCCCCAGGGAGCCCGGGGATGGTCGAGTTGATATCGTGGGGATTGAAGGGATGGAAGGGGCCAGTGGTGTTGATTCTGGCTGTAGTGGCGAGTTGTTGGGATAGGTAGGGCTGGAGCTATAGTTCTGATATACTTGGGGAAGGGAAGAGGGATTCCTGGGATTGCATAGTTGGCTGTGTGAATAGAGTGGTGAGGATCAGTTAGGGCTTCGGTATGAGGGTTGCTGGATGGGCTGCGTGGTGAGGGTAATAGAGATAGATGTCAGTTAGTGTTTTGCGCGTTTGATAGAGTTGGAAAGGCACAGTGCTGCTGCGCTGCACGTTCTACATCCATCCGTCTGTGCGTAGCATCATGCGGGATCATCCAAAGCCGCTGACTTGTAGTCCTCCTCTCTAGTCTTCACATGACATATCAAAGAAACAGTCTCGTGGTCCAGCTACAAGAAACCCCCTTCTACCGCGGAGAAGGGGTCGAAAGGGCTTAGCGTAAAAAGAAGCGCAGAAGGAACCAGGGGCGGGCAGGGTAGATGGCGTGACTGACAATGCGATCAATGGGCGAGGCACCTGGTACGAGTGCCACCCATCCCCATGCGAGGCTAACTATGAGTAGCAAGTCAAAGCCAGTGAACGTTCTCGGAACTTGAGACACGAGCGTCCTGTCTTCCGACTGCCAGGGCTTGACTTACCGTCTAGCCACCAGCAACAACGTCATTTGCTATCCTTGCCCCGACGAAGAATGCGGGGTGGAGAAGGCCTTCCGAGGTGGACGCAAGGAGGAAAGGGGGCATGTCGCTGATAAGATCGAGCGATAGGAGAGAGCTCAATCGAGATGCGCTGCTTCGGTTGCTTCACGAGAATCTGGAATCCACAATTGTGTACAGGGATGCTTGCTTGCTTTGTTTCATTGATGACGGATGATGTTAGATCGCAATGATTGTGGTTGGAGTTGTGGTGGCTGCATAAAGTAAGGTACAGAGAGTATCGATCAGGTGCTGAGGCAGTCAGGCATTAATTGGTGGAGGAGCCACTGACGCGAAATGGAACACGGCACGCGTCACGCGTCTTGAAACCCCAATTTATGCCGCTTTGGGAAGTCTAGATATGAAGTGTGATATCATGCGGGTGATCATGATATCCTCATATTGTCCTAATGCTGGAAGAAGAGTATTGATGATGCCCTAGAGGATACGGGAAAGAGTGCCTTTTAATATATTGGGTAATAACCCTGGAGGTAGAGGGGAGCTGGATGGGATGAATCCAGGTGGATACTAGGATTGAAGGAGGGTGTCAGATGGAAGTATCCCACCTTCCCAACCACTGAATAGAGGAACGCGATGTCTTCTGAGGCCACAGGTCACCAGTGTCAAGGGACTGGGAGAATCTGGACATTCTCAGTAGTGTAGCTGACAGAGTACTTTGATGACCATGAGCATGTCACGGCAGCGGATCGCCGCGGAGCGCGGCCATCATGACTGTAGATGCAATGCAACGCAACGCAAGTTCACGTCGTCCCACTCTCCACAGCACGGGCCAACCTGATGACAACCAGAGCAAGGCAACAATCAGTCCATGACATCGTGGTGGACACGGCGATGAATTGGTGCCTTGCAGACTGCAGACGGCATCCCTTCGCAGTGGCTCCTGCGCTCCTGTATTCCCTTCACCCACTAGCAGGGGGCGACGTTTTTTGCTCGCGTCCATGGCCATTGTAGCCGTTGTAGACCTTCTAAATAGCCCATTCCCTGTCTTGACGAGGGGAGGAAGAGAGTAGAAAAGCAGAGTTCAATCCTAGTTCCTAGTTCCTAGTTCCTAGTTCAGGAGGGAAAGAGGGCGCAGGAGAGGGAATGAGAGAACCCTTGTCACTGCCATTTTTTATTGACCATCACTCTGATTCATTCCTTCACTTGATCAATCAGTGGAATCAATCAATTGATTGAATCAAGCCACACCAATTGAGTCTATTCCTGCTTGACAGCTTGCAGTCAGCCATCATTGCAATCACTTCAACTGAATAAACTTTCATTCAGCCCATTCCATCAGGCATCAAACTACCCAATCCGGAGGGTGGTTGCATCCTGAGGCTCCTCCGTTTGCGGAACCGAGAAAAAGGGAAAAAAGTTTGAAAAAAAAAAAGAGACCAACTCCTTTTCGGCGCCGTGCGCCGCCATACATCATTCCCCCATCATCTTCCTTCCCACCCTCAAACCTCCCCCCTCCCCCAATAATTCCGCCCGCCGCTTCGCAATTCTCCTCCGTCTTCCGTCGTTTCTTTCCATCAACCATCATCGTCGCTCTCTCGTCGCATCATTCGGAGCCATCTCCGACTGAAGCGCTTATCTTTCCTATCACAATCTTTTGCTTTTGAACCCGGCAGCTCGTCATACTCGTCTCAACACCCCTTCCGGCGCAAAAACAAGCCCGACGCGCGCAATCCTCTTATTTGGCGCACAATTCGCCACCATCCTAAATTACCACTCACCACCCTTATTCGACTCCCTATCGCTTGTTGTCACTATCAACTCCACCCCAATCGCGAATCGCATCGTATACGTCACATCATGTTACTTCCATCTGCTCTTTCCTGCGACGTACGGCGACCGGCGAGCCGCTCGCGCTACACTCCCAACCGCTTGTTTTCAACACCTCCCCCGTCCGACGACGATTTCGTTCCTTCAGGCAACGGCCTCCTCGGAACCTGCCGCGCATTACAATCACTTCTCCACGGATCCCCAGCGCCTCCTTCCCGAGGCGCAAATCCTGAGCTTCTCCAAAGTCCTGTCCAGATTCGATCGCGCAAGCCATCGTCGCGCCAACGCCAGCGAGAAACCAAACACACACAGATTCCCGCCTCCCGGATAACCCCACAAAGCCCTTCGGCTGGCGCTCTCAAGCGCCGCCGCGACGCATTCGAATTGGAGGCAGAAGACGAATTGCCCACAGTCACCACTCCTGATCACAAGACCGATCCCGAGATGACATCAACAGATGAACAATCGATGCGTTCGCAGCGCTTCGCTACACCCAAACGTCAGAGACACCTTCCCTATGATCTGCCTCTCGGCCTGTCACATTCAGACTTCTACTCTCTCCATTCACCACCCGTGTCGCAATCCCCAGCGTCACCGGCGCATCAGCAACACGCAGCCCCAGCGGCCCGCAAAGCACGCGCAAGCGCAAGCGCAACAACGCACCCCTACAACCCGGACACAGCGCTTCCCTCAATAGAGGGCTCAGAATCCGCGCTGTCCACCTCATCCACATCCAGTCCCGATCTCACCTGGGCCGAAGAAGACGACCAACGCCTCATCGGCCTCGTACTGGAGAAATTCCAACTCTCCCAGCGCACCTGGGACGAATGTGCCGAGAAACTCGGCAAGGATCAAGCCTCCGTCGAAGGCCGCTGGCGATCCCTACTCAGCAATGGACACATCGGCCTTTGTCGCGCCAGCGATCGTAAAGTCCGTCGACGATTGGATGAGAGCTTAATCTGATCTTCCCTTCTCTACTTTCTCTTGTTATCTTCCACCCATACTTTCCATTCTAATCACTCTTTCCTCTGCCTTCTCTCACCGACCGACCACAATCAAGCAACCCACCTCCTTGACGGAGAGACTTGATCTATCAAACTTACAAAAGTCCCTCGATGGGACCTCAGGGACTCTTGTCCAGCAACTCCCAACTTTACGTTACTAATGTATCTATATCCATCTATGTATTCTACAGCCTACAAAAGGGGGACACGGTTTATACGGGGCGAACTAAAATCTAGGCGTGTGTTTGGCTTCTGTGTTTGGCTTATGGGATATGGGTCTCTTTCTTATTGTTTTTGGCGGATATTCCCCCTTCAGTTTTTTCTATTCTCTAGGTTCGAGGTTGGGTTTTTTGGGGGGAGTTAGACACAAATTCATTCCACTGAGGCCATATCTGGTCTCGTTTTCTTTTCTGAATTAATTTCCTTTATGGAGTAGCTTAGGATCGTTGGCATATAAGCTAAGCTAAGCTACCTGAAACACCGTAAAGTGATAAAGCTCTTCGTTGATTGCGGATCTCCCGGGGAATCAACACTCTATGTTGTGTATTGGGGAACTCGTGTATGACATGTTGGTGTCGAGGTCGGTCTCCGTAATCAGTAGCCTAAACAGGGATTTCGACCGATCCGAGTGATCTATCTGGTCGGGCGACGCTAGTTGATTGCGAGGGACGACGAACAAGTAATCCGCACAGCCGATGAGTGGGGATTCAGAGGGCCCGGCCTGCCTATTTACATACCTAGGTACTGTACATAAGGTACACTCGCTCGGCTTCCTTGTACTACTGGACTCCAGGACAGAATCTGGCCATTTCCCACCACCGTGGGCCACTGCTTCTTTTCTTGTAGTCAACTGTTGCTTGTCCGGCTTCTTCTGGAGTTCATGATACACGTCGGGAGTTATTGGAATGATATAAGCATAATCAGATGAAGTTGAAGTGCTTCGCATGTCTTCATTGTCCACGGGCTGATCATGACTCAACAGATAGGCGGGACCTTGTCGGGTTGGTTCTAGATGGATCGGCTTACCTTGAGTATAATATGGATGGAAAGTTTGTATTGAAATTCATTATGCAGTTCTTGATATTGTCTCTTTTCACCTCAGCCCGACCAAAGACAGAAGATTTAAATATGCAGACACGGACAAAAAAAAAACAAACGCCAGAACGCCCAGCTCGATGATGTGGACCTGGAAGTACTAATAAAATGTAGGGGTGGAATACATGGATATCGGGTTGAAATCTTCGTTTTGCTCGCATTGGCCCTTTTCTTTCTCACCGTGAGTCGGAACCGCTCTGACCTGCCCTGCCTGCAGTAACAGTGAACAAGCTAGAATCTGCACATCCATCACCAATTAGCCAGGCACAAAGGACCGGGTGAGCAGGCGCACTTACCGAATCTCATAGCTTCCCGCCCGAGTCATATACCGCACCCACTTGACGCTGCTGTAATTACTCTTCTCGAAGACCTTGAGATAGCGCACCAGCAGCCCCGAACTGGTGAACATGAGCAGACTGAACGACAGGCTGAGCGGGGGCCGACTCCAGGCCTTCTGGTGGGTCATGCTGGTCAGCGTCGCCTCGGCCGTGAGCACGTACTCGCTGCCGCCGGAGAAGCGGGCGATCTTCCAGACGATGTTGTTGTGTTCGGGCTCGTACTTGGCGCGGCCCTGGCTGGTGCGCTCGGTGGTCTTGGCCGTGTTGAGCGGGGTGGGGATGCGGATGACGACGTTGGTGGCGAACAGCTTGGAGCTGTAGTTGGCCTTGATGGCGACGCTGTACTCGACCTTGGTGGTGCCGACCTCGCGCACGATCGGATGCACCTTGAACGGGAGGTTGACGTTCTCCGTGGCGCGGTAGCGCATCAGCTCGAACTCCCCGTCCGGCGGCACGAACGAGATGATGCGGTCCGCGTCGAACCGGCCCAGCTTCACGCACTGGTGGAACTGGCAGTCCTCCAGCGTGACCGAGCCCGCCGCCGCGCGCGTCGCTTTCGTCGTCCCATCCCGGTTGCCGGACACCATCCCGCTGCTGCCGCCACCGCCGAACGAGCTCCCACTCCCACCACCACCACCACTCCCACCCCCGGCCGAGTCCCCATCCAACAGCAACCGATCGTTGAGCCCGAATTTGCACTCCGGCGTGCCGGACAGGTACGCCCGCATCACGATCTGCCCGTTCACGTCCGCGCGCAGCACCGTCCCCGTCGCCGACATCAGCAGGTTCACGTCCTCGATCACGTCCACAAACGCCTCGTTCTTGCGGTATTTCACGTCCGACCGCCGCCACGACAGCGCCCCCGTCGCTTGCATCGTGATCCGGCTCGAGTCCGTCGCGGAGTTGGCGATCGCCGACCGTACCCCTTCCGTCGTGATGTACATCTTCAGCGTGTCGGTTTCCGTGTTCTGCGGGTAGCCATAATCGAGAATTTCTGTTTTTATTTTTTCGTTCCGAGACCGTAGTTAGCCAACCATTCAGTTTCCGCGAGCAAAGAGACGGGGGTAAATCGGTTCGTTGAAAGTCAGATAGTGTGCGGTCTAGGAAAATTGGAGAGGAAAATTGGAGAAACAAATGCTATGGAGGGCCTCTCTCACCATCCAACAACTCGTAAATCAGCACAAAGTTATTCTTCACGGCCTCCTCGTCGAACTTGCCGAAATAGCTCCGCCCCAGCATCACCAGGCGATACAGAAACTCGAAGACCAGCGCGGCATTGGCGTTGCTCTTGGTCACCGCGACCAGGTAGATGTTCTCGTGCTTGACATGGCTGAAGGTTGTTGAGCCCAGGGTCAGGATCGGCGAGCGCACCTGCGGGTTGGAGATGACCTGGATGCGGAAGATGTCGGCCAGGCGCGGCCGGCAGTCGCTGCGGAACGAGCGGAAGATGAGATTCTCGCCCTTTTGATTGAAGACGAGGATGCCGGAGAGCATGGTGGAAAGTGAAGGGGATGAGGTTGAGGGGCGAAAAGAAGAGTAGGAGGAGGAGATAAAAGAAAGAGGGGTGAGGGGAATGAGGGGGAGGGTTGGTTTGGAAAAGGGGGTCTCTCGGTGGGTGCCGGTGGATGGACGCCGGGAGAACTGCAGTGCACCCTTTCGGCGGCGGAGGTTCATCCAGAATCGGCGATGGGGCGGAAGGCGGGTGTGGGTGTGGGGGAGTGAACTGCACACTATCTATACGAATTGCATGTAAAATTATCCCTTTCTACCGCAGAATCTATTGAAATGAATAAAAAGGAGTATATAAGAATGAGATATTTCAGTGTTTTCACTACTGAGAAAGGCGATTTATAAGGCCTTGTTTAATTACTTGCTTCTGTGCTAAGAGACATGCTGTCTAACATAAGACCTTGTTTCTATACTTCTATACTTGCTTAACGACTGACTTGGAGAGGTACATTGTAAGGCTTAAGTCGTGAACTTGCTTCAAGAAGTATCTCATAAAGCCTTATTTACTATAGACTACCTACGATAATTAGTGGTGTATGCTCACACTAGTTATGTTACTTGTGTAAATTCATGATCTTTTTCTTAAATGTCGATGTTTGGCCACAGAATATATCGTGTAGAAATTTGGTGGCAAAAGCAGACTTTCGGAATTACATAGCATTCTCCTAGTCAGTGGGCTCCTCTACGCATTATAGGTAATTGATTTGTTTGGTACTATGCCATCCAAATCACGTGAATCTCAGTGTACTCAGTGGTACAATGACCAATCCTTGTGCTCTAGACTTGATGGCAGTCAATGATTGCCTTTATGGCTCTGCTGCTCTAGCTGCATCCATCAACACACGCTCAACATCTTGAGTACAGTAGCCTGCCTTTCGCTCACCCACATTCAACATCTAACAGCACATCCGGGTCAAGCTACCCGCGACGATCATCAGGGAGAGTATTGTGAATCTCGGGGGAAGTGAGTTGTAGAAGACAAACAATAAAGTAATAGAACCACAAAGGTGGGAGAAAGAAGGAATGGTAACATCAACAACAGGCATCTTGAGGATGCTCCAGCTGGTGTAAAAACCAGAACATCCAGCACTTGTTTCATACAAAACAGTCAAATGGTATCAAACACTCTGTAACCAGGCATGGATATCGTGCATGTAAAACAATCAAAGGAACAAGTGAAAGTTAAAAATTAGAGTATGTCTCGCAGCATCGCGCACATGTGCAAGGGGGCAATATATGCATGTGTGAAGAGAGCGATGATTAGAAAGAAGTAAGCCTTTAAGACATAGAAGGCAAAATATGAAAAGTGAAAGAGAAGAGAAGGAAAGGCAAAGAAAAGAAAACGACGGCCGTAAGTTTCACACCGCACCACTGCTCGGGCGAGTTCCGGGCAAGGAGAAGCCACTCTCACTAGGAATGATACCAACCTTTGGATCCGGGATTTGGATATCTAACGAAAGATAGGCCGTCCGTCGTAGACTCCAGATGTGCACTCCATCCTTCGCCCCAACCTCCCTATTCCAGTTCTCTAGCCACGATTCCACGCTGTTCAAGTGACTCTTGATCGCGGGAGCACCCACGTCCTCCCATAACCAGCCAGTAAGCAAGCCCAAGACGCTGTCGATGATATTGCGGAAGCTGAAGGGATCGAAGGCTTTGATGAGCTCGTCATTCACCGTAGCGATGACTCTGCGAAATTCTTGCTCCGGAAGCAGCGGATCAAGAATCTCGGGATATAGATTCGAGAAAGTCGGAGCGAGATCCCCCTTAACCATCCAATCCCGTCGAATCCGGATGATACGCGTTGTGAGGAACTCTTCGGAGTTGATCGAAACATGCGGGTTGAAGTGAGGAAAACACGGGTGAGCAGGGCCCCAAGCCAGTTCTTCGGCCATCTCAGGCTCTCCACCGGCGGGCAACCCCGTATTTGAGGGCACGGAGGCGATATGAGATTGCGATCGCAGTGAAACTTGCGACCGGACATGACGGGGCCGATCGTCCGGGTGCGGTCCTGGGCCGTCGGGCATGAACTCCAAGCCTAGATGCGCCCGCTCCGGGGTGCGTGGTTTGGATGCATCCTGGGCGACATTCGACAACCCCAGATCGGACATTTCTTGCGAGATCAAATATTCTTCGACTGCGCCACTGCGCCTCTGGCCTCGAGGCACTGCGATACTAGAGCGGCCACTCTCGGTTTCTCCTTGGCTGCGCTCGACCAACAGACTATTGGGGGACGGGTTGAGTCGACTCCGGCGTTGTTCGGGGATGGTCAGAAGAGGATAGGCGTCCCGATGCGCCTCGAGCGGCAGATCCTCCTCCGATGGCTGCGGGAACCGAGGGACAGTGACTGGGGTGATGCGCGGCACGTAATTGATGGGATTTGCGAGTCGCACCGATGGCGGCCGTAAGATCGACGGAGAGATCCAGGAACTGTTCCGGCGGCAAGAAAATTGGGCTTGGGAGGAGGTTTCGGCGGCGTCAACGTCGGCTGATGTGGTGGGATGGTACGACTCGAACGAACAGCGGCGGACGCGATGGGCTCGGGGGGCAGCACGATCTTTAACCTCGGACGATGGTAAGGGTGGGTCCAACGGCGGCCTAACGGGCGTCGTAGTTGTGGGGAGAGACGACAGGTGTGGCAACGGGATATGATGAGGCTGTGGAGGAGAGGCCGTGGTGAAGGAAGAAGACGTGGTGGTGGTGGTGGTGGTGGTGGTAGTAAAGTTGGAGTTGAGATTGCTAGTGCTGATTGTGAGAGGCTGCGGAAGAAGAAATGATGTCGATAAAAGCGACCGTGTGGACGAGCGGTGATTGGCTGGCAAGGATCGAAAAGGGGCGCGGCAAGGGACAGAGCCTGATCTGAGCACGACGACATTCAATGCTGCTGCTGCTGCTGCGGTGGTTGAATGATCGCTGGTAAGTATCCTCAGGTAGGTATGATTATATGTCTTTGGGTTTATCTCAAGCAGTGAAGGAAAATTTGAGAGTAAAGGAAGGTTAGGGAAGAACGAGTGTGATGGTAATGTGAGAACTGAGAAGGGAATGACAGCCGATGTGAGTGGGATCAATCAAATCTCTAAGTGTATACTTCAAACCTCCACCAGAAGCTTATATAGAGTACAGTAGGCGGGATGGCAGGAAAGGAGCAATGACGATCAATGATCCACAGAAAGCAAAGGAATGAACGACAAGAAGAATGAAACAGCACAGAAAGCCCCCCCCCCTTCCCCAGGGGACTGCCATGATTCTTATTACAACGGACGACTTCCCCCAAGACCAGCCGCTATCCACTTGGGCCCGGCGCAGAAACAATAAACGAGTCAATAGCCAAGTAAGGCTCCATCCCATTCCATCACATCCAGTCGGCAGGGGAAGCTTAAAATCACTTCCAGTTTGTTCAGGGCGCCATTTCCGGCGAAGAGAGCCATTGCATCATTTCCCCTTCTTTATGTGGTGGAGTTGGTGATTGCTGTAAGGTTTGCTGATTCATTCATTCATTCATTCATTTGAGAAGATGGAGGATCCCCTGCCCATGACGACATCCGCCCGGCCTGGATCTTCAATCACGTGTTGCTGCGGTTTGCCTGTTTGCATGGTTGCGTGCCTGGTCCTGTATAGTTAGTACTACTACGACCAAGTTGATTGCTACTCCGTACAATCAAATGTTCTGACATTGCTTGATGCAAGAATCCCAAAAATAGTCTCCAAACTCGAGTAGTCATCTCATCGTCAACATCATTGCGCCCGTCAAGCTACTCATCTCGGTCCGTCTTGGAGCTGGTCTCCAACGCTGGGTCCGCTCCTTACCCGTCATCCTCAACCACCAGCACCAGCGCCAGCACCAGCACCACACTGCTACTATCCTTCTTCATCCTACCCGTGAAACTTCAAATATCTGCTCGCTAACAACCACCACCACCACCACCACAAACAGTGCCTTTAGACAGTGTCTAACCCACAACCATTCCAAGGGAATGAGGATAGCGACACTTCAATTCGCCCCACAATTAGGCGATGTCAAGGGTAATATAAAGAGAGCCGATGAATTACTGAAGAATGGGAAGGTGGTGCGAGGTGTCGGTACGGGGGCGGTTGGCCTGGACATTTTGAAGCCAGACATTCTGATTCTGCCCGAGCTGGCCTTGACGGGTGAGTGCGACTTTGTCCTCCCTTTGACTGTCACACCATGCATGGGCTGCGGGATGGTTGGGCTGGGTGGCTTGTGTTGCTGATCTACCTCCACCTCCACCTCCAAGCTCCCTCACCTCAAACTCTCCCCAAGACAGCTTGGTGAGCAAAGCTTGCTGACGTGAATAGGATACAACTTCCCCTCCCTGGAGGCCATCAAGCCGTATCTGGAACCGGCAGGAGAAGGTCCCTCGGCCGACTGGGCGCGGCAGACCGCCCGGCGCCTACAGTGCAAAGTCTGCGTGGGGTATCCTGAGATCTACACGGAGACGGCGACCCGGGAAGGAGAGGACTCAAGTAGTCAGCACGAGACTTATTACAATTCTCTCCTTGTGGTCGATGAGAATGGTCGGGACATTCTCAACTACCGTAAATCCTTTCTCTACTACACTGACGAAACCTGGGCATCAGAAGGTAGCGTGGAACGTGGCTTTGAGAATCTGATATTCCGGAAAGGGGATCAACACTCCCACGAGTCACACATAGCCACCTCTTTCGGGATCTGTATGGACATCAACCCGTACAAGTTTGAGGCCCCGTTCACGGCATGGGAGTTTGCCAATCGAGTCATGGACTCGAAGTCTCAGCTGGTCATTCTGTCCATGGCTTGGCTATCTTCCTTGGGTCGGGAGGAGCTGGACCTCCTCGCGGATGAGCCTGATCTAGATACGTTCAATTACTGGATCCAGCGGTTCTTGCCACTCATCACGAAAAGAATGAGTCATGAAGTTAATTTGAACGAGGATGGCTCTGATCGAAGCAAGGATATCGTTATCGTCTTTGCCAACCGAGCGGGAGAGGAGCCAGGAGCAGCGGGGGCGAACCCGGTGCATTATGCCGGTACCAGTACCATCATCGCCATCTCACAAAGACCCAAGACTCTTCCCGTGTCAGGAGCTACTTCTTCAGATAATCTGAGCAGTTCCAAAGCACAGACGGACGCGGAGGATGACGGAGAAAGCCAATTTGACGTCAAAATCCTTTGTTGGGACATGATGGGCGCAACAACGGAAGGGATATGTTTTGCTGATACTGCGGCAGACCCAACCATGGTTTTTGCGTTAGCAAAGCGATCGTCGAGCTAAGGGTGCGACTCAGCAAGAGGTCGGCTTTCTCTAATGTGGGTTGGCTGGGTTGCAGCAGGGCGCTGTTAAGTTACGACCCATGCCGGGCGTTGCAGGCTAGTATCTCGTTACCTACCGTCTGCATCCCGTGGTTGGAGTGATATCATCGTAAAAGCCGACTGTCATTGTCAGTTGTACTCTTTGGTACTCTTTGGTTTTAAGTAGACTAGAAAGCATGGATCCGTTCCCTTCGACAAACCTTTCTCCTTCTGCGGCCCATTTTCCCCCGACAGCACGCCGTGCTCATATATGGTAAAACTATTTTTGGCTCCCGTTTTCTGTTTATTTCTTTTTTGCCCCTTCAAAACACTCGAGGAGCCCACCACACCTTTAAATTCCAGCCTTGCTATGGTCTCTGCTGCGCTATCATGTGAGACATCAAGTTGGGTGGTGGTGGGGGGGGGACCCATTATTCTGAGCAGCCATCCATGTGACAGGAGTCATCAACAATCAACTTCAAATGTCTTGCAGCAACACTATCAGAGTTTTCATGCCCCCATATTCTTCTCATGCTCAAGAACCACCATTTTGAAGGCTTGCATTGTGGCCAAGATTTCTCTCGAGAAGTGCATTCTTCCGTGCATAAGCAAAATACTTGCTGGGTGGTTAATTAGTTCTGGATCCCACACAAGCACCTTATCTCATGACCCAGCGATCCACCACTGTTACCATCATATGGTTCACCACCCCGCTCCCTTCTTGACGACCGGGCATTCAGACCTGCTCTGCCTTCTTGGCCTCGTTTCTCCATGTAACCCTCGAATGTTTACTCCAGAGTCCTAAATCCGGTCAAGAGAGCAAACATGTGATGATGGAAGTCAGCGGACAGATGGGGAGGGATTGAGAACTCATCCACGGCAAAGGACATTTCTTCTGCTGGAAAGATAGTAAAGGGGTCGATATCCTTGTCGGTGGAAAGTTCAGGGACTCACTCTTCGAACTGCATGTTTACAAACCCCTCCCAGCAGGTGGGTTGACTAGATGTATGTGGACGAGCTGGGGGTCATGGCGGACAAACTGGCAGTAGCTACAGTTCATCCTACTGGGTGAGCGGAGAAGTAGATCATGACGGAGCCCATTCAATGAACAGCGTTGCTGCTGCGCAAGGACGAGGGATCGGCAGCTAAGCGAACGGGCATCAGGGAAGTTAGTTATGGATTGGACTTACATAGCTACCTTACTTACCCATACATGCTGACTACCTTAGTCTAGTTAGCCTTGACTCTTTGACTATCTAACTACATAATGTTAAGTGACTTTACTGACTTGCTGTCCAAGAAGGAACGGGCCGACCGGGATGAGCAGGCAACCTATTCTCCCATGGCGCAGCAATGAAGGTAGTCTATACGCCAATAGCTGAGGTTGCAGATGGTAGGATTGCTCCTTCGACTATTGAAGCCTTTTTGGCGATGGCATTGACTCCGACCATCTTCCTCCGCTCTTCGGGCAGTGCAGGCACTGGGCACTACACCTCCGGGCTGATAAATTTGTTAACCCTTTCGGGCAAGGAGGGTTGTCGAATTCCACGTGATTCCGGGTCAACCCCTCCTCCGGCTACCGGGAGAGCATAGGCGGCTAGCCAATCAAAAGGGTAAGCTGGATAGCTGAGAGAAGAGGGGGGCACGGGATGGCAGCACATGACATGTGGATGAGAGAGCGGTTGAATTAGGTTGAATTCGAAGGTGGGTGGGAAGAAAGAGGGGGGGGGGGTGGGAGGAGAAAGTGCAGCAAAAATGTAGATAATCACAGAATCATGGTGGTATGATGGTCAATGAGTGCAGTGGTCCAAGGGGGAGGACAGTCTCTTTTGCACAGTGTCAGGTGACTGATCTGCGCCCTAGGTCGCTGTCCGCACCCGGAGTTAGTGGTTCTCCTCAGTCCTACTCTCTGTCCCTCTCCTCGATTCTCGTCCTCGTCCCTCGCCACGTGAGCAGTCCCTCTCTACTCGACTCTCTTCTCTACTCGAACTCCCCATATATCCCTTTTTTCCATTGTAATAACCACCACACCTTTTTGTTTGGGCTCTAATCCGGTCTGCTCGCTATTTCCAGCTCTGACGATTCGATCCCAACTTTTCTTTTGGGAATCAAATTCGTTTTCTCGACATCGCGAACGAATCGGTATCTCATCGTCTTGTTGTTGCCCGTGGCAGGTGACTTGCTGTCAGGTGATAGAGACACCATCCCAAGGTAAACCAGCTCTCCCCCTTTCCTTCTTGAACTCCAACTTCACCTCTGGGTACTTCAACGGACTCTCCTCTCCTGCTATCCACCTTCTCGTACCTCAGAAGTCTCCCTATCCCCACATTCCTTCGGCCTCATGTTGGCCAAGGCTGGGTTAGGCGACGGTCGGGGATAATGATGCTGTGTTTTTTGCGCGGTTCCTTCGGTCGCAGAACCACCCGGACGCGTCTCCGATGCTGCTGCTGCTGCTACAACGGCAACTGACGAGCTGTGAACATGTCTTCACCTTTATTGTTTCTTCACCACTGTGTCTTCTTTCAAGAAGAATTTAATGTAGTTGTATTCTATGCTGCTGTTATGCAAGGTGCTTTCATCTTTCGGGCAGACCATGGCTGTTTGTTGCGCCGCTGTGCGCGTCACTCACGCGTGTACCAGGCAAGCATCAACATTAAAGCTTGTTGATCACTATTTGCTGAAACCCCAGAACATCTGCACTAATCTTCAGCTGACTCGATGCACCGTTGCCTGTCTGCATATGCTTGCACTCGCATGTCTTGCTTTCCTGCGCCGTTGATTCACATAAGGTGGCATGTCAACTAACAGGAGCTACAGTGTCGCACAACGACCGAGTCAATCTCGATTTGGCCCTGGGGACCTGGTAACGGCTAGATTCGATACCATCGAGTTCTATCATCTCTAATAGGTACCGATTCTTGGAGGCTCCGTCGCTGCGCGATTGGCTAATAACCATCGTGAGTCGCAGGGTACAGAGATCGGCACGATGTCTGATCCATCCATGGGTACTGCTGATGGCAGTGTCGCCATCAAGCGCAAGCGTGACAGCACTGATGAAACTGGCCCCGATGCCCAGCGACTTAACCGCTCCTCGAATGGGAGCAACGGGAGCCTCCCCCCGGCGGACAATCAGCCCAACTTCACGCACAGTTCACTGGGATCTTACGATACCCACGGCCTCCCGTCCACAGAGTTGAATATCGACCAACAGATTCTTCAGCACGTCGGTCCGCAGAATGGTATCTCGGACGACAACGCCCTGACAGCTAAAGCTGCGCTCGCTGCCCACACTCCTCAGAACAAATACCCACCTCCTCCCGACAACACCTTCGACAACAACCTTGCGCATGGTTTGACCTTCGGAGATGACATCAGCCAGGCTATTGGATCCACTCATGGCCACAACTCCACTGCTGCTGCGGTGTATGCTGCGCGTGAGGCACAGAGTATGAACCAGAAGCCTTCTGTTGGCTCTCCTGAGTGGCACCAGATTCGCAAGAACAACCATAAAGAAGGTAGGATTCTCCAGACGGCAGTGCATGATCAGCGATACTAACATGTTGTTTCAGTGGAGCGTCGTCGTCGTGAAGCCATCAATGAGGGCATCAACCAGATTGCTCGCCTTGTGCCGAATTGCGACAAGAACAAGGGTGCCATTTTGCAGCGTGCGATTGAGTACATCTGCCAGTTGCATGAGGAGAAAAAGGCAATGAGTGAGCGCTGGGAACAGAACAACATGACCACTAGTCATGCCATCAGCGAAATCAGCTCTCAGAACTCGAAACTGAAGATCGAGGTCAACCGCCGTGGGGACATTGCTCTGAAATGGTTGCAACGTTGCCGCGATGCAGGTCTTGAGTTCGATGACTATGAAGAAGCAAAGGAGCTGGAGCCTCTTGAGGTGGATCCCGGCCAAGTCTAGTTTCTTGTTGTTCGTTAAATTTCTATTCCTGTGGCTGCGCGGCGTTCTCCTTGGGCCATTCCATATGTGCTACGACTTGATCATTCTCGGGGGCTGAGTTGTGACTTGCTCGCTCCTTTTCATTTTCCTTTGCGCTTGATGTTGCCGGTTGATATTACAACGTTTCTGCACAAATCCTACTCGATCCCCACCTGGTTTCTTTTTCTTGTTTTCGTTTTTCGCAAGGGTCTTTTCACTGGGTACAATTATTTCATGGTGTTGTTCTGATGGTGAGACAACATGAGTTGTTGCTAATCTATTTGCCATGGTCGGCTTTCTGATCCCCCTGCTCGTGCTCTTATTCCCTGTTGTATGCTAGTTTTTCGAACGGATGGGTTAGTCGGCGAATCGCATGGCCAGCAGTGGGGTTGCAGGCTTTGTATGTGGTCTGTAGTCCGTTGCTCTTATCGAAATTCAGATGACTAACTATTTCTCTGGGTGTGCCGCTCTGGGTGTAATTGAGGCCAAGGTGATCCTTGAAACGTCATTGGATGCACAAGTAAAACGTCTCGTGTATGAACCCGCGTCTCAGCCGCAACCCTGCCGCGGGTCTAGTTTCGTCTAACCCCAGCATTCCGCTGTCCGGAAATGTGGAGACCTCGGGTGATCTAGCATTTAGGTGGGGAATCGGTGAGGATGACACTACTAGTTATACACTGACTACAGCCATAGATCCGAGCTCTCAATGGCGATAAGGTATGCATGGCATACTGTGCACCAAGATAAAGCAAAATAGTACGTACACATTGACCTGTCAAATCCCGATAGCATGAGTCTCGAATCTAAGACAGAACCAAGCCACCGAGCCTCCAAGATCCTGTGGGTGTATGCATCCCCATACCAGAAACTGATTCTATCAAGCTCAACAATGACTCCAAAGAAGCATCGTCCGTCTTGCATACTGCACACACACAAACCAATCAATATGATCCACAACTGAAGCTCCCCCACTCCTCACTCCCCATCCTCCCCATCCTCCCCATCCTCCCCCTCAACACCCCAATGAACCCCCTCCAGCCCCCAAACCCCCAACACCCGATTCCACAACCCAACCGGCACCACCCGATCCCTCTCGCCCAGCACCGCGTTCCCCAAACCCACAATATAACACTTTCGATGCTCCCGGTCCCAAATGACATGCTCCGGCCCGGGACGCGTATGCATCACCCCCGCCGCGGCCAGCGCCAGATAAGTCTCGCGGAACGCGGAGCGCAGCGCCTCCCGCTCGTTGCCACCGGCATCCCTCCACATCTGAATATTCCGGCAGTCCGTCCCGACCGGCATGGCCAGGAGGAGGATTGTGGCAAAGCTGTCCTCGACGGATACCGCTGTCGCCATCGCGGCGGCTGTGAATCGAGTGTCGCGGGGGTTCGCGGCAAGGGAGGCGAAGGCGCTGCGGTGGGTGGTGATGAGGTAGGGCGCGTAGATCTTGGCGCTGGGGAGGTGGGTGAGGGCTTGTTTTTCTTTGTCGTGGGCCGAGGTTGGGGATGTTTGGGTCTGGGTTTGGGGCGCTGAGGCTGTGGAGGCTGTCTGGGCCAGAGGGGCCGGGTGCAGTCTCATCTTCAGGATGGCTTCGCGGCCCCGGATGGGTCCGGTGAGTTGCTTCACGCGCGCGACGAGCGAGGTCATGGTCGTGAAGATGGGGGGCTCGGTTGCTGGGATTGCGGAGGGTTGGGTGCGGATGGAGAGGACGGTTTGGATCTGCCAGGTTTCTTGCGCGGGTTGGGAGGGTTTGGCTTTGCGTTTTCCTTTCGAGGCGTGTTTTCCCGTGGGAGGTTCGGGTTGGCTGCTTTCTGCCTCCGGTTTGGTGTTCGCTTTCCCCCTTTTGGGGTCTTGTTTGCCTTTCTTGCGGTCTTGGGCTGTTCCCTTGGGATCTGGGGGGATCGCGAATTCGAAACCCGAATAGAAAGCGGCGTTGTGCCATGGTTGGTAGTCCATCGTTCTTGTTGGTTGGGTCTCGATTGAGCCAGTGGTGGTTTGAGATCTAAGGGAGTATGGGAGAGGGATGGGGTTCAGTGGGGGGAATGGTGATGAGTTCGAGACTGTGTTATTGTGTATGGGATGTGGGAGGGGAGGATATCGATCGTGCGAGGTGGTGTGAAATTGGCGTGAGTGTTTGCAGATTACAGAATGAGATTTGTGGACGGCACAGAGGGAGAAAAGATGGGCTGATGTTGGATTGTCTATGATAGAGACTAAGAAAGCGTTCTAGTTAAGCTGTGCTGAAAGGGTCTAGTAGCTGGCAGAGGAATTGAGTATTCAGGGTTGATACTCTAGCAATACGTTTAGATATAGGAAACTCTTAGTAGAACCTACATTGCCGCATGGCAGGCTCCACAGTGGGCCAGATCTGATGATACAGATCGCTGCATGGTGGAGATGTACCCCGATATAGGACAAGGCAGTTGCTAGGCAGGCTAGCACGAGCATGATGCTATTCACTCTTTCTGCCTACGGCGGTGAGAAATCTTTGACACTAGCATTGGAAGACAAAAGATCTCCGGGGACTGTTTCCTTCACAAGCCTTTGCAGAGCCTTGTTTTCTTTGCTACGCCCAGGTGCATCAACACTAATCGTGTGGATCCTTTCTTGTCTGATAGGTGGTCACCAGCATCATCCTTTCTCGGTCACCCTCTTCATCGTTGTGATGTTCTGCCATCTCCTGTGCTTGTTCTTCGTGTTTGTACTTGTCAAATATACCTGATTCCCTCTGTCTCTGACAATGTACGCGACTGCCTTTGCCTGCAGCTTTATCTTGATCAGCGTTCTTATATTTAGGCCCCATCCCGACGCACAGACTTATAAGAGCGTCCTCGCGATATGAAACATTGAATGCAGAAGCTACTCTCATCTCGCAACAAATCCTGTCAGTAAGATGAACTCACAGTTTGCAGCAGCTGCTCCTGCGGTCCGGGCAACGACCGTTTTAGGACCGAGAGAGAAGCCGCCAGTCTGCGCAGCACGAATACCATCAGCTATAAACCCGTCCACCCTCGATCCAGCATCTTCCCGCAGTTCAAGATGGTGATGAGTAGACCATCGCTTCCAGACTCGAAACAAATCAATGCGGATCAGATCCGCTTCGATCTTTATCAGGGCTTGGGGATAAGGCTCCTCGTTGGTGCAGACGAAATTGGCAACTGCAGAAATTCCTCAAGGCGATGATGAATACAGTAAGGATGCGGGAGTGTTCCTCGTTTCTACAGGACGCTGGATGAGTGTGAGTTTGCTTTGTTGTTCAGTGCGTGAGGATTAGGACCACTGTTTACAAAAAGTCTGACACATCGATCTGGCATTGCAGGCTGCGGTACGATATTTCACAGTTGTTCCTGTTTATCAACAGAAGGTTATGGTCGATGGCAATACCTCTCGCTACAATCCCAGCACAACCTGGAACATGGTCTCTGAGCGATGTCCAAAAGTCGCTCCTCTCGCCTCGTTCGGTGATTCGGATTGTCAGAAGCCGCCGACATTCTCCGTGGTTTCCACATTGCGGACAACGCCGAGGGCCGTATAGTCATCGTCAGCATCATCTTTATCTTCATCATCAGCATGAGCCAAGGAAAAGGAATTTGTCCGCTTCCGATTGAGTCAATAGGAAGAATGTTTGGGGATATGCATCAACGGAGTATGAAGGTGTCAATCGCGACGAGGAGACCTTGTGGCAGAATCAGATCCAGGTCTGAAGTTACCGCCCCCGCCTGCTTCTCGCCTACGACTTCCTTCCCCCCCCACCCACTGACTCGATCTAGCTGGCGTCTCTCATAAAGAAACCTAATACCCTCTGAATAAAGCGGCATGGATACCGTCCAGAGAATGTCCCACCGGGCGAGCTGCATCTCTTTGCCATAGCCGCTTTGCCATAGCCGCATGGAACGGCAATTCGGACCTCGTGCACGCTCTTCGACCGGATCATGCGGCGTCGGATGCCATAGTTACTAGAAGACTCCCATCTTCCGGACGGCGCATGCGCCAAGTCGAGGGCTCCCTCGCACCGCAGTAAGCATGATACTTCAGCTTGTTCACGAAGCCGCAACTACAGATCGGTCCTCCCGGTATACTTTCATGTATAAGTCTCATGCGCTAGCAAAGGGAGGGGGCTTAGTGGTCCAATCGCCCCACTGTCAGCGATGCATGCTGACGGTCTCATTCTCTCTGTCTTGCTTCAATTCTCCAATTCAGTCGCCGCTTGCTCTTTCCTTTTCAACGTCAAAGCATTTCTCATAATGCTTTGCATTTCCTCGCGACCAATAACTCTCCCCAATTTCATCTCTCGTCTCCGGGATCAAGCCATTGAAACGGCCGAAAGAGAGGCGTTGCAGGCCTGGGGCACGACTGCCGTCGATGCCTGCCTCAGCACGTCTAGCATACCGCAGTTGGCATGGGAGGCTGCCCGTCTCTCGGAAGTGCTGGTCCCCAATGGGTGGATCAAGCTGCTGCGAAATCTCGTCAACGCGATCATTGTCGGCAGCACAGATGGCACTTCGCTTTCTCCGGTTCTTCTACGATCGCTGGCGTTCATGATTCGACAGCGAGAGGGCCAGTGGTCGCCGGAGAGCACGGAGATTCTGGGAGCCCTGTTCTCAAGCCTGAAAGTGCGATTGGAGCAAGCAGATAGACTGGGTGGATCGGTGGATCGGAAATGTGAACTGGTCTGCGTGCTAGGGGTGGTGATCGACGCCATGGTCGACATCGGCGTGTCGGATATCAGCCACGAACGATTATACAAGCCGTTGATTGCCCTGCTCGATGGCTTCAGTCACGATCGTGACCTTCATGTGGCCCAGGCTGCCGCCTACACCGGACAAGCCTTGCGGGGGATCCAGGATGATGATACTGTCGGCAAAGCATCCTTGCGGGGGCTGCTGCGGGCCATCGACCTCGCAATGACCGTTCCGGCGCGGTCTCCTCTGTGGATCCGAGCAAAATCTGGGAGGCAGTCAAGTCTGGCATAGATGGAGCTTCGCGACTCCGAGACTTCACCTGGGACATGTTCAAGAAGCGGACGGGGAAGTCTTGGTATACCGCCCTACGAGCGACCAGTATCCTCATACACACCCGGTCCTGGGATGAGCTGAGCAATTTCATCCAACAGGCAGAATGTAGAGCCAACAAGGACTTTCTTTGCGGCTTGTATGCCCAACTGGATCTCATCAGCCAGCTTGTCCCTCCGGATCAGATACAACACATCTATAAGAGCATTCCCGAAAGCAAGTATGACCGTGTTCAAGCCTGGAAAATGCACACTGTTTGTGCGATCAAGGAACAAACCACCCCCCCTGAGCTAAAACTAGCCAGTACACTTAAGAGAACGAAAATATACGATTGGTCACTCAAATCCTGCGGATGGGAGGACGTCAGAGATGACCTTTCTGATAACGGCAGCGCCCTCCTCGATAATTCCTACCGGAAATGCATGCCGGCTCGAGAATATTACACCATGGATGCTTTGTTGGAGTTTTACTCTCAGGACGATGATAAAAGACTGCAGATCCAGCGTCTATCTGGGGCTAGACTCCCTATGAATCACTGTTACATCAACCTCAACGTCGTGGACTCCGATCAAGGCGATGAGGTGCCGCTGGAAAGCCTGTTTGACTATAGGGAACAAGGTGGCAGGAATATTCGGCCGAAAAAGATTTTCATTGAAGGACAGGCAGGTGTTGGCAAAACAACGCTTTGCAAGAAAGTCGTTCACGATTTCCTGTATCGAAATCTGTGGTCCGATTGCTTCGACTGGATTTTGTGGCTGCCACTGCGACATCTCAAGGGCAAACATACCGATTCTTATTCCATTAAAGACCTATTCCACCACGAGTACTTCTCCCAGCACCATGATTCGGAGCTCTTGGCAGACACCTTGGGTTCAATCGTAGCCCGGAATAGCGCTCGGGTGCTCTGGCTGTTGGATGGCCTAGATGAAATCTCCCAAGACTGGGATGCCGATTCACCTATGGGCCGCTTTTTGCAAACTCTGCTCAAGCAGCCTCAAACCATTATCAGTTCACGTCCATACTCAACTAGAAAGCTAAACATGGCAAAGCAGGACTTGAAGCTGCAAACGGTGGGCTTTCACGCTGAGCAAATTGAAAAGTACATACGAGCCAAAGGAATCCACCCAGACCCTGAAACAGCGGACAAGATCTGGGAGTTCATTGACGAGCATTCGCGAATTAGGGGAATTGCACAGATCCCGATTCAATTCGATGCTCTCTGCTACACTTGGAAAGAGCCTTTGGGTAATAGCAATACAGCCAGGACTATGACTACCATCTACCAGGCGATCTGCGTGGAGCTACTACGGAAGGACCTGTGGCGTAGGGAGAAAAGAATCGACGGCAGAACCCTGACAGAACAACAGACGGAAGAGTTGTCAGAGTTTGAGGTGCAGCTACACATGCAGGAGGAAATCAACCTCCTCGAGGCGCTGGCCTTCCATGGCCTAGTCACCAAGATCATTGATTTTGATGCTCCAGTACGAAGTCAGATCTATCAACATCTCCTGAACGGCAATGTACTTGTTCCGAGGCTACACGAGAGCACAATCAAAGAGATAAGCTTTCTTCGTTCTTCAGATGCCACCGACAATGCCCAGCAAAGCTTTCACTTTTTACACTTGACAGTTCAAGAGTTCTTCGCTGCCCGATTTTTCGCGAAACACTGGACCAGCCAAGCCACAATACATAGCTTGACACTGAATGGCCGCACAGACACTGATATTCCACCCCAAGTCTTTATGGCAAGAGAGAAATACAACGTTCGCTATGAGGTTTTCTGGAGGTTTGTGGCCGGATTTCTGGGTGTCGGATACAACCACCAAAAGCAAAGCGAGGAGCATACGGCCGCATTCCTTGAGGCCATGGAAAACAAACCCCGAGATATGTTGGGCCCCATGCATAGCAAGCTCATGATGCGCTTGTGGAGCGAAGTACCTGCATCGAACAATATTGCTAGGCTGAGATCTCTGCGTCAGAGTCACTACCAACGGCTCGCCCGGTGGAGCTCTTTCGAGGTCACAGCTTATGATAAAGGGGAGCTTGCAGGGGAGGCAGAATATCCGGATGCAGTTCTATATTCTCTCTTGAAAGACCGAAGTTCTGACGTCAGACGACATGTTCTGAATGTCATTGCTCAGCGCAGAGTCTCGACAAGTGTCACTGACTTGATAGCCTCCTGGGTAGACCAAGTCTCCGACGATGAACTGAATCCGGTCTCTGAACCCTGCTCAGGAATTGCCGATCACTGTCCCCAAAGGCTCACGAGATTCTTCTTGTGCACCTGCATGATGAATCAAAAGTGGAGGAGTCCGACTTTAGAGGCGTCCAGGTACCGGCCTTACCACAGGATCTTCTGAGAGCAATTTTAGATTGTCTGCATTATGGACCAGCTGGTTTGAAGGTGGCAGCACTGGAAATTCTGTCTGAACAGCCACCTTCATCTCTGCAAGCCTATGTCGATACCATTGCCCATGGACTTTCAGACCCGGAGTCAGAGGACGTGACATCCAAATCTCTCAAGATACTGGAACGTTTGGATCTGTCACTTGAGATCTTACAGTCCATGACCTATCTTGTTTACAAACAAATCGGTTCTTACCCGTCGCCATTCGACATTGTAAAGAAATCATTATGCCGCCATTCGCTGGTGTCTCCAAGTATTCTAGGCTATGTCTGTTCTTTACTAGACCACAGAAGCTTCATCGTGCGAAAATTGGCTGTCCGGGTTCTGGCCCAGCATCCTCTCTTGCCACCCAGTACAGCGGACTGGCTTGACCAAGAAGTGCACCTCGGTGATTGTCTGGTAAAGGATCTACGAACTACGGTCTGGCAGCAGCTCTTACCATCTCAAAACATTCGAGAGGACATTGTACGAAGGTTGAAGCATATCGATCCCGCAGTGCAAGGAGTAGCTGCCTTGATTCTCGGCGGTCGATCAGATTTATCTAAGCCAACATTTGAAGCGGTGGCCGAGTTGTTGAACGACACAAAGTGGTCTGTTCGAGAAGCAGCCGCCAAAGCTCTACGTGGTCAATCGGAACTTCCACACCATGTGCTAGATCAGATGGCGGGCTTGCTAGAGGATCATCATCCACTAGTTATATATCAGGCAATCAAAACCTTGACAAAGTACCCAGATGATGAGCTAAAGTATCTCGATGATGTGGTACTCAGTCTGGAAGACCCAGATCTCTCTGTGGCTTACAAAGCATCCGAGGCCATCAGGAAGCACCCAAAAGTCCCGCGCGAGTTGCTTTATCATCTGTTTGCTCAGATGATCGATCCGCAAGATCACCATACGTCAAGGTTCGAACCAATATTCCGGAACGCTCTCAGGCGAGGTCTGCCTCCAGATTTGGGCAATAGACTCCTAGATCTAGTGGAATCGGCGGATATAGAAGAAGGAGAAGGGGAAGGAGACGTTGAGCACATCTTGGATCTTCTCGGAGCACAACCATTCCTGCCTCCTGAAAAGCTCCTCCAGCTCAGTGAAAGATTTGTGACGAGTGATGACCGGATCGCTAGTGCGGTGGTCAAGATTCTCGTGACTCAAGCCCACTTGCCGCCGCCTCTTATCCTTGCGCTCACGCGATTCCTCGATCGTGCTGACAAAACGCTGGTCCTCGATGTCACATTATGGCTGCTGGGACAGTCCGAGCTGCCCCTCGAGGCTCTCGCCCTCATGGCAGGAATGCTTCCCACCGTTCCACTACCGGGATTCGCGGCGGACGTCTTGTCAAGACAGCCTCCCTTGCCGAGCGAGATCATGAACCTCGCACTCTCCGCGTTTCGCCTGGCAACAGACGAACGCTACGCCGAGACCCACGAGGTGCTCGAGCGCAATGACGCATTCTACCGCATGCTTCCCCAGCTACCTGTGCATGACCTCCAGCGGCTGTGTCGGATCTGGCTGCGGCGGAGCTTCGGCGAACGAGTGAATTTCTACTTTCGTGACGAATTCCTCGTGGTTGACACCCCGGATTTTCAGGGCGCGATCCCGATGCCGCTGTATCAGCGGATCAAGCTGCGGTTGATCTTCCGGCTCACCGTGGTGGCATGTACGCGGGCCTCGGCGATCGAGCGGGTTCGAAGCCGGATCCGCGGGTCAGTTGCATGGATGAGGGGCCACCGAGCACTGGTTTTGGCTTTTGTGGCGGCTTTCCTGGCTGTCATTCTCAGGTGGGCATTATGGTAGACCTGATTGTATGATTTTCGGGTCTGTGGTTCGTTCTCGAGCGTCTGCCGACAACTACATGGCATGCACGTCGCGCTCCCGAGCGCGTGGAGATGCTCCAATCTGGTATGCATGATGTGTCCGGTAGTTGTTTAGTTCAGCAGCAGCACGGTACGATACATGACAACGTGTGTGAAGGCCAAAGCCGACACTTTCTTTCATCTTGGATATGTCTGCAGAGCGTGAAGCTTTTTCAAATTCCGCCCAATGTTCTAATCCCGGGTGCATTTTGACCTTACATCCTCAACCTAACATCGATACTACACTGAATCTGCAGTGATGTACACAGACGGTCTGGTTACTAACTAAATCCCAGTACATTACTAGGGACCTGATGAAGAAACATGCTGTCAATCAGGATTGACTCTACTGGATTCTTCTCTTCTAGACTTTTTTTCTTACGCCAGATAATTCAAAGAGTAAAGAGCGGCGTCAAGTTTTGACCGAGAGTGGAAAGGGGAAAGCAAGTCCATGGAAGCGTCGAGTAGATTTCCGCAGGTGGATTAGTCAATGACGAGTGAAACCCCTGGTCCTAGATTGACCCTCCTGCCATGGTACAGGCACCCCCCCCCCCCCCACCCCCCATGCTGACCACACACGTGCTGCTGCAGCTGCAGCTGCAGTGCTATAGCTCGCAGGGTCCACTCCCCATTAAAAAGCACCGCGAGCTGTATTATCTCCCGGAGAAGAACCGCGGCTACGCTATGCGGATGATGATACTGTTGCCGCGTGTTGTCCAATTAGTCACCTATCTACACGAGCCGGGCCTGGCAGGGAAGGCAGGCAACCTGAGCATACTCCTCCTTCTCTTTCATAATCTTCATCTCCTATGGGCCCTCCCATAGACAATCGATTGGTCGAGAACTAGCTTTGTCGGGAATTGTCCTCCGAGATTCAATTAACCCATGAATGATTGAAAATTGGACACATGCATTGGTACCTGCAGAAAGCCCCATAAACTATTGGGGATTTAATCTACTATTTCCGGGTCTTGCTGCGCCTGGTTGTATAGTGCCGGTGGGGATAACTCGGCCGGTTGAAGGGTAGCTGGCTGGCTGCTGGGTCCCGGGCAAAAGGGGTTCTTTCTGCATGGAACTTCAATGCAAAAGAACTAGTGGGACAGGTATCGCAGCGGGCTGAGCCTAGTAAGCATAGTATTCGAACTTGGTCGGATGTCAAAGTATAGAGAAAGTTCTTTTTGAAATGGTCTGGTCAATATGTACAAGAGAAGAATATAGCTCAAAATTGATATACCGCGCTGTCTACCATTGCTCATGCGAGAGGGCAGACAAGCGCTAAAGGCAACCTCTCTAAGGAAGTCAACTTGAAGAAGTGTAAAAAAAGAGTCAAAAGGTACGGCGTGACGTCGAATCCCTGTGTCTTAAGGCAGTCATCACATCACATCACCCACCGCTTTCTTAGGGTTAAGAAAAGTTAGACGAGGCCGTGACGGACGATCCCGACGACACGCTGACGTTGTTGACGGTGATGGTTGCGCCGGACTGGCCGGTGACGCGCACATCGACGGTGTCGGTGCCGAACCCGCTGGCGTTCTCGAAGTAGTTGTAGGTGGAGCGGGTGGTGGACTGCCAGGTGCTGCCGCCGTCGGTGCTGACCTCTAGGCTGGTGACGGGCTCGTTGCTGTTCTCGACCTGCATGGCGAACCAGTAGGCGGAGGTGCCGCTCTTGTTGTTCAGCTTGATCGGGGTGGTGATGCCGCAGTCGACGTACTCCCAGTCGATGGAGATGACGCCCTTGGAGATGTCGGCGAGCTCGGCGAAGGCCGTTTGGAAGAGGTCCAGGTGGTTGGAGTCGCATTCGGGGCATTCATCCACGATCTTTGGGGAGGGGGTGTTAGTTTGGTTTGGTTTGTTGGGGTTTAGGAGTAAGGTCTGCTTACCATGGCCTTGATCTTGTTGCCGCTGGGGCCCGTGACCTGGACACAGGAGCCGCACTGGGCCGCGTCGTCCCAGCGGGGAGAGCCCAGTGCTGTACCGTACAGGCCGGAGGGGATGGTGTAGCCGCTGAAGGAGCAGGCGCCGCCGTCGACATTGCCGCCGTAGAAGGTGGCTTCGCCGGAGAACTCGGAGCTCAGGCTGCTGCTGGTGCTGCTGGAGCTGCTGGAGGAAGAGGAAGAGGACGACGCAGAAGAGGTGGCAGCGCTGGCGGCAGTGGTGCTAGTGGAAGAGGAAGTAGCCTTCTTCTCCTCGACGGAGGCGACGGAGACCTGGGCAGCTGCAGTAGTGGCAACGCTGGCGGCGGTGGTGCTAGTGCTAGTGGTGGATGGCTTCTGCTCCTCAACGGAGGCAACAGAAACCTGGGCAGGGGCAGCAGTAGTGGCAGCTTGGGTGTTGACCGTCACAGCCTCAACGGTGGAAGTGGGCTGAGCAGCGGCAGTAGTGGCAGCCTGAGTGTTGATGACCACGGTCTGAACAGATGAAGTGGTCTGACCCGCACCAAGGGTGATAGTCGTGGTGAGGAACACCGTAGTAGCCTCAACATCGGTGAAGGTAGAGGTCTCAACCGCGGCAGTGGGAGTGACTGTCGCATAGTGCGTGCTGACAGCAACATCATCGTCGCCACAATCCCACTCGTCGTCGTCGGGGGTCGCAATAGGCCGGGCAGTCACAGAGGAAAGGGCACCCAGGGCAGCAAAGCCCAGCGAGGCAAGACGTTCGTACTTCATGGTTGATGTGAGGGGAAATGTGTTCGAAACAGGCAAATAATGAATAGAAGGTTGGTCTCTTGTTGGACTGCCGATATGGCAAAAGAACGTGGAATCAACACGGATGAAGTTGGTTTAGGAAAGAATGGACGCCTGGATATCAAATCCCAGGACTATAGAACTGCTGTTCCGGACAGAGTGGTAGTGGTCAACGAGAGATGGAGAGAAGGAGGATAGAAAGAACGAAAAGAGCTCACAACGCGGGATCAAGGGAATAAAAGGAACCCCCAAAGCACAGGATGTTTGCCCCGTGATCCGGACATTATGATGGGTCAATTTCGACATCATGATTTTGCCCCATTGTCAGCAATATCAGGGAAATGAAACTACCAGGGGCAGCAGTCAACGGGCCGAAAGGCAGAGAGAGTGTGGCCACTGGGCAAGGCAGCAACCAGCGGGAAATGAGATCGTGAGGTGAAACACTGGACTGGGGATCAATTCGATCGTTCAATTCGATTAATGGATTCAAGTGCGGGCAATGATATATTGGCATTTAATTAAACTACTCCGGTCAGACCCACCCCGGAGATTTTGCTCGCAACGGCGAGTTGGGACCAGTTGGAACCAGTTGGGACCATTTGGGACGAGTCGTGGCTCTAGACTGTTATCAGCCTAAGCACTAAGCACTAAGCGCACTAAGCGGAACTGTCTCAGAATCCCTTCTTCGAGTTTCGACCCAGGGGGAGGCTCTCGATCGTCTGATGATTCTGAGTTGATGTTCATTGTTCACATTCAAAAATTCACGGTCCACCCCAAGAGACATGTTCTCCTGAAATTGTGCTTGGCGTCAAACGACTGGTCACTGCTTGGATGAGAAAAAAAATTCTGGACAATTTCGGAGCATCTGGCAAGTGGGTCGGTCCATCCCGTTCTGGCCTCCCATCATTTAGGATACCCCCTGGGGCTACAGCACAACGTCGAATTATGGAAATGAAGAAGAATTTATATTTCGCATCGCAGTGTGGATCATATCCATGATGTGCACTCCGCCTACTTGGAATCCCACATCACCTCATTCAATCTCAGCAGAGCATCCGCACTGGCCTTCTTGGCAGCCATAAATTCCTCCCGGTTGTCCGCTCCTCTGGGTCCGAGCAAAGCATCCGAGAAGCAGAGATCAATGAGGATTTTGAGCTCTTCGTACGTGAAGGGTTCTCCGTTTCCAGCGGCCAGCGCTTTCTCTCCATGGGCAGCAAAGGATTCCTTCTCTTCCTTGGCGTAGTCTAGGGCTTTCTCGGCGCCCTCGAGGAACCAGTCCAGGAACTTGGCGCTGCGCGGGAGCGCGACCACCTCGTGGTGCTCCTCGTGGGGGCTGGTGGTTCCGTCATGAGCCGGGTCCTGCATCGGATCGATGATAATGTTCTTTAGGTTCTGTTGCAAGACGAGAACGTCCAATTGGAGGCGCAAGGCTCCGTTCTCGTTCATAGCGCCGATCAGGCCGGTGTTCGCCACAAATGTCTGGTCGATGAAGCGAGCAAGCCCAGAGGTAATGAACCATCTCTCCGATGATCCGAGGTAAGTGGATATGTTACTGTCGAAGCCGATCAGATCACCATTCAACTCTAGAATCGTGGGCGATGCAGCAGTGGGCTGATTCATCAGAATATGCCACCAGTGAGTGGTGCTGCTGGGAGACGGCGTCGTAGGCTCAGAAGCGCGCGAGTTTCGAGGATTGGGCCCTGCCATCGTCTTCTTCAGCATATGGATGACGCCACACCGACAATCGATGTGGAGGGCGAACAGAGCAGTGTATGCCAGTTCGCGCAGTGATCCAAGAGTGTTGTCGAAGATGGTTGCTGTTTCTTGGCTCAAGGGCAGATATATCGGCTGACTGACACCATCGACCTTGGACTTCATTGCCCCGATCAAGGTCCAACGACGGTTAGGAGGCCCAGTTTCCGGGCGTCGAGCTTCCGAGGTCGGGATGATTTGGCGCAGCTGGGCCAGGTGACTCGCAAACCATTGCTGTATCTCAGTCAGTATATCAGAGAACTAGTGTGACCGACTGAGCAAACGAACCATGCTATTGTGAAGAAGCGACAGAGCCACCACGGTTTTGGGGTCTGACACGATGTCGTAAGGCTCTAACGGGACCTCGGAGGTCAGCTGGAGAAGCAGCTCGATTTCCTATCTTTCGTCAGCACGGCTCATACTAAGATTATTCACGAAACCATACCTTATCGACAAGTGTCCATTTATCACTCGTTTCGTTTCTCCAGAGCTCGGCAACGACATCATGAACGTCTCCAGCCTCAGCAAAGCCTGCAGCGGCCTTGAGCCGGGGCTCTCCCTTGTCTCGCGGAGACTTCTTGGTCACAATTGCTACCATTGGAATTAATAAGCTGTGCATGCATCAAGATCGTGAGAGTTTCTCACATTTGTACCATCCACAACACTTATCGTAGTAAGTCACGATCTGAGTAAGAAGCAGCTGTGTGAAGGCTTGATCAGGAGGGATACTGGATAGCATCTTGCTAAAGTCTTGAATGATTGACATGAGCTTGACCGCTCCCTGAAACGCAGTCAGTAACAAAGCTCGGAATGTCCATGCCAGAAAAAGTACCTTGAAGACCGGCCGGGGCGAGACGGTGGACCATTGGGGGTCTTCTGTGAATGCATCGGGCGAGACGATAGTGAGAGTGCAGAGGTCTGTGACTGTATCATCGAGTTGGGGCAAGAATACATTGACCAAGAAGTCATCTAGGAAGGAGGTCAATGTGGTCATCGCGAGATCCGAATCTACCGGCACGATCTCCTTCAGCCGTTGAATGAAAGAAAGAGAGGGTGGCAGCACGAGACTGATATTGAATACACTCGGTTCAATGAGGATCTTGTGACCAGTACCCGAGTTGCCTTGCCTGGCATCAGAGGTATCAGTCACTGCGAATTTCTGATTAGACTTGGTCACCAAGCCCGGCACAGATGACCTGAGAATCTCGTCCAGTTCAGACTGCTCGGCTTGGATTTCTGTGGTTTGATCTGTTTCCGACAGCTTGAACATTTTCTGCGATCAATTAGTATTCAGCAGTCGTCATTGTGGCTCTCCTCACATACTTTGTTCTTGTCTCGCATGCCCGTGTACATTTGACGCCTAGCGTCGTCTTCATCCCTGGGTCGGTACTCTCCATCAGTAGCCAGGTAGTCATGCAAGAGCGAGCGAATCTACACAGGTGTTGTCAGAAAATAACCAGCAGTACCGCGGTGTGATCGCCTACCTCGCTCTGGTAAAGCTTCCAAAGCTCCTTGAACCCACCAGCAAGCGTGTTGCTCTTCGGGATGCCCTCTCGTGTAACAATGGCTGCGATCACGTCATGGACGACACGGTGGCCCTCAGCAATAGACTCGAATTTGGCATACAATGTCCACAAGAACTCGGTCAGCACGTGACCACGCTTCTCGATGGCCTTCGATGCCACGCCGCTTCTGCTGTCTTGGGCTGCAAAGCCACGGGTAGACAACTCAGGGTAACGTGCGTCGATCTCGGCATTCGTTTTGTCCACAACGGAGAACAATTCGACGGGGAGCCTCTGCTCGATCCGATCGACCGCGATGTCAAGATTACCCATCTTGTTGAGCGCTTCTATAAGTAACTGAATGTAGTAGAATGTGTCGGCTTCGGGATTCCGAGAAGCATCCTCCACCATCGGGTTAGAGGCATCCAGCTTGGCCAAGAAGTTGTAGACCGGGCGTTCCCAGGCGTTGTTACCAGACCAGCTGGATGCATTGACACCGTTGCCCTCTCCCTCGGCAGTTGGGGGTTTCCATCGATTGGCGCAGTAAGGAGATTTCAGGTACAGATGATCATGCAGCTCTTCAATCAAGATATCCGTCAAAGAAGCCTCCTGGCTACCGAAGTACGCGCGAATGTCCGCCAGCGCCCCGATGTTCTCGAGTTCAGAGCGCCGCAACAGCCGTAGTGCGTCATGCAACACTTCAACGGCGGCAAGGAAACGCTTGTCGGAGATGCGGGACTCCAGCTTCTCCGGCAGCGATTGGATCTCCTGGATCTGGCTGAAGAGCTGGATGATATCGTCGTACTTTTGCGAAGAGGTAGCCAGCCCTTTCAGCTCGGGCTTAGTGGACAGTAAGCCCGATTTTGCTCCCTCAAGGGCGTTCTTCAGGTTCCGCACACGAGTCTGTGACGTCTGGATACTGGTCTGGATCTTATGGTATGTACCGATAGAACTGTTGAAGCCCTGATGGTGTTCTAGCGAGCGACATCAGCAAAAAGGTGTCCACGAACCATCATCGTCAGATCCCACTCCCAACAAGTCCCACTCACCATTAACGACCGACTTCAGCGTCCGCTGTATCTGGTCATGGATCTCCAGGAACTCCGGTTCACGCTCAGCCTTGCCCAACGTGCTCGTGTCCATCAGTTGCAGCGCCACCTGCACCGGAATACAACTTTCAGAAGCCACGAAGTCCCATTCCCGTTGAACCATCTGCAACACATCTGCGAATTCGGGAAGAAGTCAGCCCCAAATGGTATTTCCCAAGCAATCCCGACAACAACGGAAGATAGCCTTTTCCGCTCCAGATAGGTAGCGTTATCGCACCTTCAATGGCCTGAGAGCCTCCTCCCTGCGCCCCCGCGCGTCCAGCAGTGTTCATTACCCTATGCTCTCGTTCTCGTTCTCGTTCGCGTTCCCGTTCGCGTTCGCGGCTGCTGCTGCCTCCCAACCAACTCGTGTCCCCACGCGCCCGACCGTCTCGAGAGCCCAACGTCGCCCTCTCGGCATCGCCCTCCCTGGTTCTGGACCGCGACGACGAATGCTCGGGGTCGCGATCCCATCGGTCACGGCGTCGCTCCGGGGATTGAGCCGGCGACAAGGACGACTGCGACGCCTCCGGGTAGAAGCCACCATAGCCTCCAGGCCGGAGATCGCGGCCCCCTGATGCACCGCTGCTACCTCCGGCGCCACCACCGCCTCCCCCCCCTCCTCCTCCATATCCATTCATCCCCAAGCTATTACTCCCGTTGCTCCCGTTGCTGCCGTACCCGCCATCACCGCGATCGTAGCGGCTGGTGTCGGAGTAGCCGTATCCGTTCGCGTAGGGGCTTCGGCCGCTCATGCCAGGTCACTTGTACTCGTACTTGTACTTGGAGGAATTCGATAATGGATAGGTATTCGGGAAGAGCGATTTGCGCTTTTCTGGTGTGCACAGTGTGTGCAAGAAAATGTGGTCGGTCGGTCGGCCGGTCGGTAGGTCAGTCGGCTGGAATTCCCCCTCGATCTTGACCTCCGTAAGTCTGATCTGAGCACTGACGTAGTGGAATTAAGCAGGAGGTGACACGAGCATGGTCGTTTGTCGGAGAAAAGCGTGGAGTAAATTCGGAGGTCGCGAGCGTTCAGGACCACAAGATTCTAGAAACGAGAGGCTTTCGTGGTTGGATCGGGTTGCGACAGGTCGTAGTGAAGGGATGCGGGATAAGATTGTTGTAGACAATCGGAGCTACAAGTGGAAACACCCGATTCCGCGAGGTGTCGCTTGGCCGGCCGTTTCTCCACATTCCGCCGCCCTCCTTCCTCCGGCTTGCTTGGCCTGCCGTCCACGGTACAGCATCTTTTTATCCCACTCGAGAAAGAGTCCCTGAAGCCTTCGACTCTCTTAAAATATATCGTATTCCTAGACTAGACTCGAGCAAATGGCCCTATGATCCCGGTTCCGGCAAGATTACAGCGCATCGTGGAGCACAACTTGAAACTCGACAACAAGGCTAGGTATTGATCTAGGTATAATGCATTGGCCCCAGGCTCTATATGAGGTTCATGGTATAAACAGGAGCTAACAGGCTCATTTGGAAATTGCCTTGGTTTCCCGCTGAAGCCAACCCCGGGTGTATTCGTCGTTCTCGAAGAACTTGTGTGTCTTTTCCCAGACCTCAGCATGGTAATCATTCACCCACTTGAGCTCGGCATCAGTGAGAAGAGAGGGCTCAATCAGATTTTGACCGATAGGAGCCATCGTGACGTGCTCGAAGCCCAACCAAGGCTTGTCACCGAACTTGTGCGTCGTCTGCACTTCGCGTGCCATGATAATGTCTAAGGCATCGTCAGCTACCTGCACCTTACTTGCATGTGCGTATAGGCTTACTCTCAATACGGATACCAAACTTTCCATCTTCGTAGAAGCCGGGTTCTGCTTTTGTCAGCGTCTAGAATGTTGAAGGTGAAAGGTCTAACCTACCGTCGGAGATGACGTTGCCAGGAGCAATGGGAACTTCAGTGTACTGCACGCGCGTGCCAATGCCAATGGGCCCTTCGTGCACGTTCTAACACAGAGTTAACAAAGCAGGAATTCAGGGAGACTTCTTGACACTCACCAGGTAAGAACCGACTCCATGACCAGTTCCGTGCAGGTAATCGAGACCCTCCTTCCACAAGTGCTGTCGCGCAAGAGCATCAAGCGCAAAGCCACTGGTGCCCTTGGGAAATACCGCAGTGTCAATCGAGATAAGACCCTTCAGCACAAGAGTGAATGCCTTCTTCTCAAGCTCTGTAGGCTTGCCGAAGTGGAATGTGCGGGTCACATCAGTTGTTCCATCCAAGTACTGAGCTCCGGAGTCACAGAGGTAGATGGCGCTAGGGTCAATGATGGCGCAGCTTCCCTTCTCGGGCTTGTAGTGGATGACGGCACCATTAGGGCCCGTGGAGGAGATAGTGTCAAAGGACAGACCAGCAAACAGATCGTGCTTGGATCGGATCTGCTCCAGCTTGTCTGCAGCATCCACTTCGTCCAGAGTTGTCTTCTTATTGACCAGCTCGTTCTCGAGCCAGGCCAGGTACTCCGACAAGGCTGCACCATCACGGATGTGACACGCCCGCATGCCTGCGAGCTCAACTTCATTCTTGACCGCCTTGGCATCGCCAATAGGGCTACGGACCTCCTCAACCTGCTCCTCGCCTCCAAGGCTAAGGCTCAGAGCCCAAGAAGCCCTGTTAGATACAAGGAACTTAGAAGACGCACCCTCGGCTTGCTGCTTCCGAGCCTCGCTTAGTGCTTTGGCATCCGCGAAGATCGAGTCATAAGGCTTGACCACGACGTCTTGACCAAGGTGGGCCTTCACCTCTGGCGTAAGCTTATCATCATCGACGTAGATGTCAACAGTGGTGGGGGTAACGATAGCGTATGAAAAGAACACGGGGTTGTAGGGAATACTGGATACGGGTCGTTTAGCTCAGAACCGAGTGCAGAATGACGTCGTGGCAAAAGCTGGGTGTGAGAAACTTACTCAGTGCCACGAAGGTTGAACAGCCAAGCAATCTCATCCAACATTGCTATCGTTCGTTAGTCAATACGAATGTAGAGGGCCAATGTAGCCCGCCAGGTGAAGACCCACAGATAACGAAGCCAGCAGCCTTCTTATTTTCCAGTTCCTTGCGCAGATCCTGGATCTTCTCCTGGAAGCTCTTGCCAGCATACTTCCCCGGATGAACAGTCACCTTCTCCCGCGGAGGAGCAGGTTTGTCATTCTTCCAGACCAAGTCAACAAGATTCTGCTGGACGCCAACAAGGGACGATCCCTTCTTCTTCAGAGTCTCTGAAAGACTACGGGCGCCAGCTGAGAGCAGTTAGCTTAAGGATATTTCCTGGTCGCAAAGCGCACTACCTCACTTACAGGCTGTAATCAAAGCTGGGTCGACACCAACCACCTTGCCACCCTCAGCCTGCTCCGTGGTCCTAAATCCAAAGTTAGCTTCAGAGGTAGGATAGCCATTATCATTTAACCTCCATACCATTCTTGCCAGGTTGGAACACCCTCAACGCCCCGCTTCAGCAGCGCCCAGTTGCTGTCAAGCTGCTTGGCAGCCTGGTTGAAGTAACGGCCGTCTGTGGACAATGCTGCCTTGGACAAGGAGATGATGGCCGTACCAGCCGAGCCGGAGAAACCCGATATGAACTCTATCGAGCGAAGTGTGAGTTATATGATTATCGATCCGGCGCCGTAGACAAGAGTCGCGGAAAGGGTATAAGGTTGGTATTCTAACCTCGACGGCCGTCGCATGGCGCAATGTATTCCGACTGGTGACTATCTTCCGAAGGAACGACTAAATGATGGGTAAGAATCTTGACGTCAACAGATACTGTGAGTTCATTGGGGTTTCATACTATATACATCCACCTTGTGCTCTTGCATCAACTGCCGTAGCTTGGCCAGGCGCTCGGAGGTGTTCACGGTCTCCATCTCGATGATGAAGCGCGGGGCGGAGGTGGAAAAGGGCCTCAAACGGGGAAGGGGTAACTTGCGAGCCGATCGGAAAGCTGATATCCAAGAAAGGCGGATTGGAGGGTGCGAAAAAAGCATCTACTGGCGAGGATTTGCAAAGGACAGCTGCAAGTGTCCGGGGGAGAAGGTGGGATTCAAACGAGCCGGGGTTGCACAAAGCACGCAAGGCCCGTGATCAAAGGTAGCGAGGAAAGGTGGGGGGTGGGGAGAGAAAGGCAAGGGAAGGGAAAGATACAACGGTCGTGTGCACAAGAGCGAGCCAGAGTGGAGGATACTAGCTGTTGACTTAGTATTCTATTCGATAAGGTGAGTTGAATGGTGGTGGTGAGTACGTAAGGGAAGTCCAGTTCTCCGTAGGAGCTCCGATGGCAGATTAAAGTGGGACCCTTTGCCGGCCTTCCTTTGCCGACTGTGGATGTGGGTAACTGTAACTGTAACTGCCACGAGAGATCGGTATCGTCATTACCGGACGGTAACTTTCTTTTTTTTTTCAATTTCAATCCTGATTTCTTACCTATACAAGTCGTACCCCTCAAAAGCACGAAGATGACTATGCTGACATTGTCGCAAACTCAACCATTGTAGGTTCTTGGGATTGAGGTCAAATGGGGTTAAAATTTGGTGATGAACCGCATTCTTTGACCAAGCGTTGCTGAAGCGATCATGGGCCGTTGGTTGGGAATCAAACAACGTCCTGCAGATGTTAACCCAGCTGGTCACATGCTTCTCTCAATATCATCCCTCCCCCCGACAACAACTGGAACCTTGAATGCCCTGATCGTCATCATCCAAAGCTAACCATTCTTCAACTAGAACCACTGATTACGGTAGCCTTCCCCCTCCATCCCACTTCTCACCGCCTAACCTTTCGGTGATAGTGTTATCAGCACGTGACACCCCTTAAATATCGATAGTTATCGCTCATCATCTACTATCTATATTCTTCTTTCCTCTCGCAAGGAGGCCCTCAGTGTTGCGGCCATGTCTGGGGATATTCCAGGTCAAGCCTCAGATGTGCACCTGCTCATCAATGAGGCAAAGGCAGTAAGTTGAGTTGTCTTTCCGAGCCAATTGAGGGATCGAGGGCTGAAAGCCATTCCTGGTTCTAGCTAGTGTCGCAGCTCTATGATCCGGCAAATACTGGCAACCCCGCCAAGATTAAGGCGATCCAAGAGCACCTGCAGAGTCTTCAGAAAGGCCCTCAAGCATGGCTCATCGCAAATCACCTTCTCGCTGAGGACAACACTGACCTGAGATTCTTTGGAGCTCTGACTTTTACTGTAAAAATAAATCAGGATTGGTGCGTGTCCTCCTAGCGACTTCATTGTGCGAGACCTTCTGACTCCAGCCGTAGGCAACACCTGAGCACAGAAGAAGCCCAGGAGCTACTAGGACGGCTGCTTGATCATTATGTTATGTTGGTCAATGGAGGCGAGCGTTCTTTAGTCGTACGAAAACTAGCTTCCAGCTTAGCGACCATCTTCCTGAAACCCAACGCTCCTTGGACACGGGCACTCTGCAATCTAGCGGCTTCCTTAGCAGATGGCAAGTATGTCTCGGAGGAACATTGCAAGGATGTCGACCTGAGAAATACCGTGCTCCCCGCGTTGTCTGAGGGCCAGGTAACTTCCTTGCTCTACTTCTCTAGTACTCTTGGAGAGGAGATTCACAAATGGAGCTCCGAAGCCCGTCGCAATCGAGATGATCACCCGGTTTCTGAGAACATCAAGGATGCTTTTGTACTTGTCGACGTCGTTCTTGGTCACATACTGCAGCAGGTTGCATCAGGGGCTCACTTGTCTGAGGATAGTCTGGGGGATGAAGCCATTAATTCCTACCAGGTGAGATCAGTTGTCTTCTGTGCTCCTGTCTCATCTAACATTTGGTGTAATAGACATGGATGTCCGTCCGAAGCGCATTTCAGCTTCGTGACACGATACCTGTATCGCAACTCGCTCCTACTACGACCTACGTGATTCAATGCATGAGGATTCCAGTTCTGTCGAAAACTGCGACCCAAGTCGTGGTCGAGTTGATAGATTGGCGGGACACAATCTTCACTCCAGGTCATATCAGCGCCATCTTGGACTATATTGTTTGTGACTATGGTACTGCGCATATTGCTTCATTGATGGAGGGCGATTTCGAGGATGAAAATTTGACCTTCTTGGAGCTTCTCCTGGCATATTCAACACTACAGCAACGGGATCTGCTAACGAAAGCATTGGACCCGCAACATGAGAAAGTACTCGCTCTGCTACACACACTTTTTAACGCGCCTGGCTATGCATCGGTCGACGATTCGGCTTCTCCTTTGGTTCTTGAATGGTGGACTGAGGTTGCCGATGATCTTCAGGAAATATATGTGGATTCGGAAGATCAAACGGGGCTTGGGCCTGCGAAGCACAACCTTGCTCGTGCAGCATTGGATTGTTTCGAGAAGCTCAAGTACCCCAGTCCAGCAGAGTTGCAAGACTGGAGCGACGATGAACGCAGTGAGTTCGGGGCTTTTCGGCGGGACGTCTGTGACTTTCTTCTGGCGATATATCCAATGCTGGGTGTAGACCTGGTTCAGGTCTTTCAGGAGCGAGCGAGATCGTCGCTTCAACAGCAGGATTGGCGAACGTTCGAGGCCTCCATCTTCTGCGTTGCTCAGCTCTCTGAGGCTGTCGATGAGAACCAACACGCTGATGAATGCCTCAATTCAATATTCTTCTGTGATGAATTCGCAAACTTATGTGAGGGGACCGGAGTAGTCATCCCAGACAAACCACGTCAAACGTTGGTGGATATGCTCGGAAAATATCAGTCATACTTTGAGCGCACACATGCTCTGCTTCCCCGGGTGCTAACGTTTCTCTTTGCGTCCCTCGAAGTTGGTCCCTGCGCGTCAGCAGCGTCCAAGTCGATCGCATATCTCTGCAAGTCATGCCGCAATGCTCTTACGCTGGAGCTGCCTGCCTTCATTGGGCAATTTGAGCAATTTCGCTTCAAGCCCACAGCTACGGCTCACACTATGGAGAAAGTGCTGGAGGGCATCGCTGCGATCATACAAACCGTACCCGAGGATGGCGCAAAAGCCCAGTACCTCGAGCAAATCCTTCGGATTTTCCATGAGCAGGCAACCGCAGCCCGTGAAGAAGCTGCCAATGGGCTCATTGAGCAAGCACAGAGCCGTGCCCAGCTCGTGCTACGATGCGTTGCCAGCGTTGGCAAGGGTCTCCGAACCGATGGTGAGATCAACTTAGACTCTCACGAAGACAAGGAAGCAGATGCTTACCCGCCAACTTTCTGGAATATGGGCGATGGGGCTGTTGTACAGAACCTCATCATGCAGTCCATGCAACTCCTCATGACTGGTTTCCCTGTGGATGTGGCGATTATCGAAGCTACCTGCGACATACTAAAAGCCGGCTACACTGAGCGGACGGGCCCCTATGTGTTCCCACCGATGATGACTGTGAATTTTGTGAAGAGTATCCCCCTGGGTAGTGCGGGTACCGATATGGTCATGGGCACTGCCTCCGCCTTTCTTGCATCACACAGCTCCCATCCACAGCGAATTCGTGATGAGACCGTTGCGTTGATCGTCCACGTTTACGAGACATTCTGCTGGATGCATGAGAAACCAGAGTGCTACGATCCCGAAGTCGCCAACAGCGGGATCGATTTCCTGACGCGCTTGCTTCCGAAATACCACCCTTTCCTCTTCGCGCTCACCTCTATACCGCAGGAACCCGGCCCGACGGCCACTCAGTCGCGACCAACTATTCTAAACGCTATCTTGAACTTCACACTGATCTCACTGCAAGGCCCCGAACCCCTTCCGCTCCGCTCCGCCTCGCAATTCTGGGTGAGCGTGTTGAACCTCCCCGGTGATGCCCCACCCATTCAGAATGCCATCCGTGAATGTCTGCCTGCCCTCTGTCGGATTTTGATGACACAATTCGCCGGCAGATGTGCCCGGTCGGATCTCGAGCACCTGTGCGAGGTGCTTCGCAAAGTCATTTTCAAGCAACAGGGTGCGGCTCGGCCGCATCTTACTGCGGCGTTGGCCGAGCTGGATGAGGCCGTTGATCAACACCAGCGACCAGCCGTCACACCAGAAGAACGACAACGCTTCCTTGCGTCATTGTTGGCCGCAAGGGGCGCCAGAACACAGACCAGTCAATTGGTACGCTCGTTCTGGGTCAAGTGCCGGGGTGACTCGTTCAATTACATCGGATAGGGATCGTAGGATAGTCTGAACAGTTTCAAGCAATAACTATTGGACTTGAGGTCCATTCGGAACAGGGTTTGGTGCCAAGCAAATCATAAAGACTCTATGGTGTCGCAATACCATTGTAATATGCAGGTCATGCAGAAAAAGTGTGAATTGGGGGGGGGTCCAATTTGTGATGCGAAGAAGGAACGAAAAGTGTCGGCGATTTTGGAGTCTCAAAGGTGGGCTATCTGGAACAAGCCCTTGAATTCTTGGTGGTTGAATGGTTGAACTATCTGAGTTCTCAAGGGGGGCAAACTCGCTTAGTAGTAAATCGCCTCGGATCACATGGGCTGGATTACTCAGGAACGCCGGTAACAATAATAGTCTCTCTCCTTGAGTGCCAGACCGCAGCAGCCTACAGTTCAAGATCTCCGCTGAGGCCATGTTCAGTGCTACCAGTAACTACATCTTGTGTTTTACTTTTCATGTCACTAGTGGAACAAGCCAGATTGTCTGCCTCAAGGCATCACTACAGCACTATGGAATTTGCCTCCAAGCGGGGGCGATCGGCTTTTGGCGGACCGCTGATTCCTCCGCCACTGAGGCGGTGCGTCCCAATTCAATGCGCCTGAAATTGGGAGTATAGTAAACAAACAAGCATGTAGCCGAGGACTCCATCGAGCAGTGGCCAGGGCGGAAAGAGAAGGTCCTATTTATAGGGCCCTGCCAGTATGACCTACCGTGTGTGGCTGTATACTGCGAGTTGTATGCATCTGTCCACCAACTGGTGATTTGCTGTCCTGCAAAATCTCCAATCACTCTACCTCAAACCCCGCCTGCACTGCACTGCACTGCACAATGAATGCATCGAGTCTCAGGATTTCCAATGCCAGCCATGCAAAATCACCATCTGAATCGGGTGGGCAGGGGGATCATCATCCAATGACGCGACGTCATGCCCTACGAGACTGCCGATAATGCCCCCTTTTTGTGTGGGCTTGGTCAGTGCTCTCAGCGCCCTCGTGTTTCGGCTTAAACGCGATGGTGGATCTGGCGCCTGGGGAGCAGCAGCATGGACAACATAATAAGAAGTCGTCGCCATGTCTCCTCCGCCGCGTCGCCCTGACCCTGCATCCTGACCACTTCTCACCATGCCGGTGATCGCCAACACCCCCGAAGCACTCATCGCCCGCACCGATTCCTGCGACCCGGAGACAACATGTCAAGGGTTGACCAACAGCGGCAAGCCATGCCGGCGCGCACTCGGCGATCCCACCGACCGATACTGCTGGCAGCATAAGGACCAAGCTGCCACCGAGTCGCCAGGGACGAGCACGCCGTCCGCCATGAACCCCAACAAGCCGCGGACGAGCATCGACACCCTGCTGGACCGGATCGGGATCCTGAACATCAACGACGGGGCGTCGGAGAAATGGCGACCGTCGCGCCCCACCACCACCAGCAACAAACCGCCGAAGCGACAGAAGAAACGCACCATCTGCTGCTGCTTTGAGGTGATCGAGGAGGAGGAGATCCGGCCGCCCAGGCCCGTCTCCGCGCGGCCGCCCTCCCAAGCGGCTGCCCCGGGCCCCGTCCCGCAGGCCAACCTGCTCTCGCCCAACAGCCAGATCCCCACGCGGCCATCCGCGCAGACCTCCTCCCACTACTCCTCCACCTCGTCCGGGATCCCCGAATCCTGGATCCCCGCCGACCTTAGCGCAGAGGCGGCCTCGACGCTGGCCTCCGAGCTCGACAAGCCGATCTCCGAACGCGACGAACCGGGCTACATCTACATGTTCTGGCTGACGCCGGAGGAGACCACAGGGAATGGGGGAGGCGCGCGCGGTCCGCCGCCGGCCGAGGTCGCCAGCTCGCTGTTGCCACACCACCACAAGTCGAGCGGCGGCGGCGCGCGCGACCGCGCCGTCAGCGACGCGATCCGCACGGCGCGGGATCTCCGGGCGTTGACCTCGGCGCCCAGCGCCACCAGCCCCGGCACGATCCGGCTGAAGATCGGCCGGGCCAACAACGTCCAGCGCCGGTTGAACGAATGGTCGCGCCAGTGCGGCCACCACGTCACCCTGATCCGGTACTATCCCTATACGCCGTCGACGCCGCAGCCGTCCCCGGCGCGGTTTGGTGGGGGGACTGTGCACGACAACGCCGCCCTCGAGCCGGGCCGGAAGGTGCCCTTCGTCCACCGCGTCGAGCGGCTGATCCACCTGGAGCTGGGGGATGTGCGGGTCCGCGACATGGGCAAGTGTCCGGAGTGCGGACGGGAGCATAAGGAATGGTTCGAGGTGACGGCGGAGAAGAGCTCGCTGAAGCGGGTGGATGACTGCATCCGGCGCTGGGTGAAATGGGCGGAGGTGCAGGAGAAGCAGAGCCGGTAGGGTAGGCCAGCCCGTAGCTGTCACGGTGGTATACGTGAGTCTGCAGCGTTGACCGGTCATTATCATCAATATCATTATACCCCGACACGCACCCATAGAACCGAAACACAACCAACAGTACACCTCGCTAAGCAGCACAACCTAATATCGATATCTGTTGAAGACACAAGCATCCCACAATAGAAAGCATCAATTTTCCATCGCATCGCAAGCAATCCTCGACTCCATACCCCAACCATCCCCGTTAATAAACCATCGAAATCACCTCCCATCCCCAATCCCACATCCATACCCTCAACCTAACCCTTAACCCTCCCGTCCCCCTCCCCCCGTCCTCCCTCCGCACCCCCCCAAACCCCCAACCCCCACCCAAACACTTCTACAGACTCCCCCCTCAAAACCCTCCCCACGACCCTCCCCAGCACAAAAACCGCCCACCCAAAGCCCCAAACGCCCACCCCCAAACACCCCGTCCCCACCAACACAGGCCCCATCACCAACATCGCCAAGCCCGCGAACACCGCCCCCGCAATGAAGGCCGCCACCAGCACGCCGCCCAGGAACAGGCACACAGGGATGCCGGAGCAGAGCACCTGTGCGGCCAGGAAGGTGGCGAGCACCGGGTGGGCGAGGATGAGGTGTGTGAGGCGGGAGAGGGGGCCGGTTGCTTGAGTAGCATCTGTAGAAGTGGGAATTACAGTAGGAGTAGCAGTAGCTGTTGTGGTGTATTTGGTGTTCTTGGTTTTCTTGGTGTTTTGGGTGTCTTGGGTGTTCTTGGTGTTGGTCTTGGTGTCATCGGTGGCGTCGGAGGTAAATGGATAGTGATGGTTGTGGCAGGCAATGTCATTGTCATTGTGACGCTGACGCTTACGGTAGTCAATATTATCGTCCTCGAGATATTTCATGGTGAGCGGTTGCTGTTCGAGGAGGGCGTTGTGGTGCAAGATTGGGGCGTCCTTAGCAGGCTGTTGCTTCTGCTGCTTCTGCTGCTTCTGCTGCTTTTGGCCTGGTTCTTCGGTGGGATGTTCCGAGCGTCCAGGTTCTAGTTCTGGTTCGGGGTCTGGTTCTTCGGACGCGAATTGCGAGGGGATCATGGGGTCGATTGCTGCCATTGTGGGAATTATTCGTCTTTTTTCTTCCACTGGGAATAATGTTTTTGGTTGAGTTGTGTCTGAGGATCAGTCTGGGTATGTTGACCGTCAGATCCGAATCGGAGGCAATGAGAGTTGTACAAACGACAGAACAGCTCAGCTAACGTAGGAACCGTTGGCTTAGGGAAGGAGCAGTTCTTCCAGAATATTGTGCCTACCAAAGTAATCCCGACTAAAGGCAGTAACTACCGCATCGATTGCCCTGCGGACCGGACCTTGCACTAACTAACTCAACACCCCCTCGCGGGAACTACTGCCCGTACCCACGAATCACAACCTGCACGAAAAAGTGATCGACTGTATTCGTAATCCCGTCACATACCGTACATTGTACAATACAGCAAGTCACCTGACCGTCACGGGGAGTAACCTCCCTGGCCCCCGATCACGGATGGCGAAAAACCACTCATCTGTTAAGGTTCGGGTGATCAGGGATCCTCCCCTTGCAACAAGATTCGAGAAGCACACTCGCGCATCTGTCGCCGATAAGATCCGGTTTCCCAGTCTGTGGGTTTTGGGAGACCCCCAATTGATAGGGATTGAGTACGAGAATTGCATGTCACCTGCCTCAGACACCCAAGGTTTGCTCGGAAGGTCGTCAGAATGGAAGGCGAAAAACATGGCCAACAGGTGAAGAGAGTCAAAGTGAGCTGTTCCACGGAAATCGCCGCGGTTGCAACAATAGGCTAACTGACGATGGAGACCCATTCACCAAATATTGGGGCCTGGAATGGATTAGACACGGCTCCACTCTTGCAGTCTAACTTCCTCACCGGGGAAAGCTTCGATGGGTCCCTACGTGGACAACTGGACAGTATTCGAAGAAGTTGCTCATCATTGCTCGTATGGATTGGAATGTACAGTGAGAATGGGTAGGAAGAAAAATATCTAATGCTAAAAGCCAACCAGCTGTCCCAACTTTTTATCTCTCAAAACGCCCGCGCGATGGTAGAAGAAAAGACAACAGGACATGTACAAGCGACACCGCTTACCAACCGCGCTTGGCCAGCTTGTCGGCCTCAGGCAGATGCGCAACATTGATACCGACCATGGCCTCGCCCAGACCCTCGCTCACCTCAGCCAGGACCTTGGGGTCCTTGAAGTGAGTCACAGCCTGGACAATGGCCTTGGCGCGCTTCTTGGCATCACCGGACTTGAAGATGCCAGAGCCGACGAAGACACCGTCGCAGCCCAGCTGCATCATGAGCGCCGCGTCGGCGGGCGTGGCAACACCACCGGCGGCGAAGTTGACCACGGGGAGACGGCCCTTCTCGGCGGTCTCGCGCAGAAGCTCGTACGGGACCTCCAGCTGGCGGGCGTAGGCACGGAGCTCGGGCTCGGGGTCGGCAGAGGACTGCAGGATGGCGCGAGCACGAGCAATGTCGGCGTTGACGGTGCGCATGTGCTTGACAGCCTCCACAACATCACCGGTACCAGCCTCACCCTTTGTACGGATCATAGCGGCGCCTTCGGCGATACGGCGGAGAGCCTCGCCCAGGTTACGGCAACCGCAGACGAAGGGGACCTTGAAGCCGTGCTTGGTAACGTGGTAGACATCGTCGGCGGGGGTAAGGACCTCGGATTCGTCAATGTAGTCGACGCCAATGGCTTCGAGGATCTAACAGCATGACTTGTTAGCGTCAACGTCCACGAGAAACTGGTAACTGCTCCTACCTGGCACTCGACGAAGTGGCCAATACGGGCCTTGGCCATCACAGGAATGGTGACAGCCTCCATGATCTCCTTGATCATACCCGGGTCGGACATACGCGCCACACCACCCTGGGCTCTAATGTCGGCGGGGACACGCTCGAGGGCCATAACAGCGGCGGCGCCAGCCTCTTCGGCAATGCGAGCCTATGCAACTTTCATTAGCATTGACAGGATTGATCGAGCTTCCCAGAGTAAAGCATACCTGCTCCGCATTGACGACGTCCATGATCACACCACCCTTCAACATCTGAGCCAAACCGGCCTTGACAGTGAAGCTGTCGGTAGCACCGTTCTGTTGAGCAGCCATTGTGATAGGGACTGAGGGGTGAGATTGGCAGAATTGCTGCGGGAAGGAAGATAAGCTTGGAGATGGACAGAAGGAAGGAAAAAGAAAAGAAATGCCACCGAGGGACCAAGATTAAATATGAACGGAAGGAAGAGAGTTGGTTACCTGGAGAGACTGGCCAGACTTGCGAGTGAGTCAACGAGGATGAACTGATTATCTCAGCGTCGCCGCCGAGAACACCCACTTCACTCCCCGACGAAAGTTCAGTACCTCATCCTTGGGAAAACAGTACCTCCTACACCAATGACTGCGAGGTTTCCGAGTTTACCCCTCGTTGTTCTTCCCCGCCGGCGACTGAGAGGCTTCCTAGGTAGTGGGGGTTGTTCAGCCCACTTCCACTGGTTTTCTGCCCCTCGTCAGTGGCAGGGCGGAACTACGGGCCAATCATTGCGTCGCCGTGCCTCTGAGCCTTCCCTTGACATTTTCTAACTTGCCACTAAACTCGGAATGGCGCTTCGCCCCTCCGTTTAGCTTTCCGCGGGTTTTGGTGGCCGCGTTTTCGTATCGTCACCTCCCGCTTATGTAAGATATCTCTGCTGTTCGGTCTGATCAGCATCGGTAATACAAATACAGCAGCTGCCTCAGGCGCCAACTCGAGGTCTGGAATATGGGTGGCTTGAACTATGAATATACCGAGTAGATCAAGACACTCACATATTGAAATACATTCAATTCCTGTGCACTGTTAGATAGGACGGACCTTAAGCGCTTTCTTCTGTCTACTCAAGCAATTGGGACTATATGCTTGCCCACTTCCAAAATATCCTCTCTGCTAATCATCCTCTCCAATACACAACCACCCCGGACCGACCCCAGTGACGTCAGCCCACTTCCTCCCTCGATCCCTCCCTCCGCATCTCCAACTCCAACACCACCAGCACCTTCCCCCCTTCTACAAACATCTCTCCTCAACCCCGCTCCCCCCAACTCCAATTCTCTTCAAATTCTCTCATACAATCCAGCAAAACAAACCCCAAGCCCTCACAACCCTCCATCCGACCGACCAAAAACCAAACCCAAACCCAGACCCAAACCCAACAACCCACCCAGGAAAAACAATGGCATTCCTCCTCTCACGCACAACGACCACCCTCGTGGGCACCACCCTCGGCCTCGGCCTCACCTTCACCCTCCACCCCCTCTCGCCCTTCCGCGCCGCGCCCCTCCAATGCCAATACTCCGCCCCGTCCGCCGCCGCCGCCGGCACCCCCGAAACCAACTGGACGGTGCCGTCGTCATCAGACCCCACGATCCTCAAACAAGGCCGCACGGGCCCGATCCTCACGGCCTCGAACATGCGGCAGGTGAGCTTGGGCAGCGTGCTGGGGCTGGTGGTGGGCGTGGGGCTGCGGGCGTTCTCGCGCGTGCTGGTCGTGTTGATCGGGATGGGGATTGTGGTTGTTGAGGTATTTCCCCTCCCTCCCATCGTTTTTTTAAGCCTGTCTCGCAAGGGGCGGGCGGGGGCTAGCCCTTGGGTATTAAGTAGGTGGAGTTTTGGCTAACTAAATGTTCGATAGTGGGCCGCGGCCAAGGGGTACAATATCCTGCCCGTCAATACGGTCCAGAAGTACGTGAAGCGGGTGGATTTGCAGGGCGCGGTGTCGAAGCATATCCCCTTCAAGTTGAGCTTTGGGTTGACGATGGGATTGGCTGCTTTTGCGCAGTTTTAAGTTTTGATTGTTGTGGTGGTGGTGGGTGCTAGTGGGTGGGTGAGAAGAACGGTATTATGTAGAATAAAATAAATGAGGCCGGACTAATTCAACTGAACTTCATCCAATCACGATTATATAGATTCAAGATTTTGGTTGCTGTCTTATACAGGGTATCATTATTGCGATGAGTCGAGCCCCAGGAAATCCATTCGCATGTGCTCCCGTCTTGGAGCACTTCTGCTGCGAACCAGGGCTGGCTCAAGCCAAAACCAAGTCCTCCAAAACGCCCTCCATCTCCTCCCGCGCCAACGGCACGCCCAGGATCTCCATCCCGCTTGCATCCATCCGGGACGTGATCATCTGGTGATCGTGGAACTCCTTGAGCAACGTCCGGAACATCATCTCGGAACTCGCGATGAACTCCTCCGCCGCCTTCTGGTAGAGGGCGCGGAACTCGATCCCGGCGGCGGCGGCGTCCTCCCCCCGCGCACCACCTGCACCTTCCTCCCCCTCATCGTCCGACAGATGGCCCTCATCTGACAGGGACAGAAGCTCCGTCAGCAGCAGCTGGTACAGGTTGCGCGCGTTCTCGGGCAGACTCTTCAGGACGAATTCCACACCCTCCTTGCCGCCGACGCGCTGGCCCTTGCGGCCGAGCAGGGCGCTGACCTCCTCCACCACATCAAATTCCGCGTCGAAGGGGGCAAAGGTCGTGCAGTCGTGGAACACGAAATTGAACTGGTCCCGGAGGTTCAGGTCCCACATCAGGAGCACGTTGGGCGTGTCGGCCGTGGCGAGGAGGTTGATCTGCGGCGTGGCGGCCAGGCGGGCAAGGAGGGCTTGGTTCGTGGCGCGGCGGAGGGAGGGGGCGTCGATGGAGTTGATGAGCACCGTGATGGGGGGACTATCGGAATCGCGGGCGTTTAGGCTGGACTGCAGCAGCTCCAGGACCTCTTGGGGCTGCGAGCCCATCTTCGACGGGATGTCTGCGCCCAGCACCGCTGTGACAATCGTCGCGAAGATGGACCGTATCGAGACGCCTGGCGTGTGGCCGTTGACAATAACGACGGAGGGGGGTGAGATCGTAGCGGTGTCGTCGTCTTCATTGTCGGGGGAGTGGCGGCGGTATTGCCAGTCGGCGAATTCCTGTAGCAATCGACGCTTGGATCCGTAGCCGTACAGGCAGATGTTGAACCCCTGGTCGAACTCAAAGTCCCATTGGGGGAACGACCGGCAATGCAGGTCCAGCAACAGGGCCTTTTCCTCCTGGAACGGATCCACCCACTGCGCCATCTTCTCGAAATACTCTTCGTGCGTCAGGAGGTTCACCTTGCTGAGATTGCTATTCGACGTCCGCGGCGGTCCCGCCCGGTTCTGGAAGAAGTAGCGTTCGTGCGCCGGGAGCTCGCCTTCGGGCGTGGGAGAGCGTTTGTTCTTTGCGCCCTTTGGTCGTCCGGCTCGACGTTTCGGGGTCGGTGCTGCTGCATCCCCGGCTGCTGGCTCCTCGGATCCTGCCTCGACGGATCGTATCACTCCATCTCCATTGGTTGCCGAGGTTGCTGGCGTTGGTTCCTGAAGGGCCGTCTCGTCATCGTCCTGTAGGATTTCCTCCGCAAGGCGATCAGCGCCATCCCAGATCTCATCGTCGTCTTGTTCCAGCAGCAGGCGGGCGCTCTTTTTCTTTGCGGACCGGTCGGCATTTCGAGCCTTGGACGGGGTGTCAGGCGCAGTTGTCTGTTTCGTGGGCGTCGAGAATAAAGCCTTCGCCTTGTTCTTGTGTGTGGGAGTCTTCAATCCCGAGGCTTTCAGGGTAGCTGGAGTGTCCGCGGTCGGCTTCTTGGGAGTCGACTTTGTTTTCTTCGCTGGGGTGCCTTCAGGGGTTTTTTCCCTGGCCGCATGCCCGTTCACGGCGCCATTGGTCGGTGCATCGGTAGTCCTCGGCCTCTTCGGCGTCGAGACAGGCGGCGTTTCGTCCGTATCTGGTTGCTTGCGTTTCATTTTAGTTAATTTGGTTGGGGAAGGTGAGCGGAATTGGGTCGGTGAAGAAATACCATCCAGACAACAACACGGAATAATCCCCGGGTTTAACTAAGAATAAAAGAAAAGAAAAAAGAAAACAATATGATGCAAGGGGGTTTCACCAAGTAAGCTCGAAGCACCACAGCTTTCTCTTCCCTCTTCACAAGGAATTGAGGAATGCTCTCCCGTACGGTTCAACCCTCGTGGCTCTGGCTCTCTCTGGGCGCGTCTTCGAAGCGCAACCGATAGGACCGAGGGTTTTTCCGACTCCGCGATATCGGAAGCGGCATTTCATCGCCGCGCATCGCATCACTGCGGGACCGGCCCTGGGAGTTTCACTCGCCGATATAATTCACGCAGCAAAGAAAGAGCTTCTGTCCATCGTCTCGATTGACAACTCTCGTCGTGGTTATTTGGCAGTGGTCTCGCGCGTCCACCTCGCCTACGCAGGAGCTAGCTGGAAGCTTCTGATAAGTCAGTGAGTCATTTTGTTTACCATTTGCTTTGAGTCATTTTCGGGGCTGTCTACTGCAAGTGCCTCCGTGTATATCTACCCAATCTCCCAGACCACGTACCCTGGGGGTCATGAGGACCAAACCTTCCACAACTATATCAATTGCGTGTTGTTTCTACAGTTAGTGCTGGGACCCTAACTAAATTCTCACTTTTTCCAGCCCAGGAAGCCCCCTTCCAATGGCTATTCCCGCGCAATCGGCGGCCACCACCATGGCTACCTTCACCCGCATGGTGAAGGGCCAGGTGCGCCATTACTCCGCACCCCTGGACATGGCCATCCCCGCCTCCAAGCAGAAGTACATCCCTTCGTCCGGGTCCTACCCCAAGGGATTCTCCGTATCGGGGACTCACGTCGGCGTCAAGGCCTCCAACACCAAGTTCCCGGACCTGGCCCTCATCTCCTCCGAGACCCCCTGTACCGCGGCCGCGGTCTTCACCACCAACAAGTTCCAGGCCGCCCCCGTGCAGGTCAGTCGCAATATCCTGCAGACCCGGCAAGGCCAGGGTATCCGGTCGGTGGTGATCAACTCTGGGTGCGCCAACGCGGTGACCGGCAAGGGCGGACTGGAGGATGCGACCAACATGGGCGCCAAGGTGGATGAATGCCACGGCCTCAGCGGGGAGGAACCCAGCACCCTGGTGATGAGCACCGGAGTGATCGGACAGCGGTGCGTATCTCCCTCCTCCCAATCCCTTCGTCCCTCACCCTGAAAACTAAACCTAAATAACCCTCTGGTCTCCCCCAAAAACAGGCTCCCGATCTCCAAGATCCTCTCCAAGATCCCCACCGCGCACTCGACCCTGTCCTCGACGCACGACAGCTGGCTCAGCACGGCGCGCGCGATCTGCACGACCGACACCTTCCCGAAGCTCCTCTCCACAACCTTCACGCTGCCCAGCTCTCCGGGCCGCACCTACAGCCTGGCCGGGATGACCAAGGGCGCCGGGATGATCCACCCGAACATGGCGACCCTGCTGGGCGTGCTGTGCACCGACGCGCCCATCACCGCGGACGCGCTCTCGGCGCTCCTGAAACACGCCGTGTCGCGGTCCTTCAACGCCATCTCCGTGGACGGCGACACGAGCACGAACGACACGATCGCGATCCTGGCCAACGGCGCCGCCGGCGGCGCCCCCGTGACGAACAGTCAGAACTCGGACGACTACCGCGCGATGCAGACGGTGCTCACGCGATTCACGCAGTCGCTGTCGCAGCTGGTCGTGCGGGACGGCGAGGGCGCCACCAAGTTCGTGACGGTGCGCGTGCAGAACTCGCCGGACTACGACTCGGCCAAGCTGATCGCCAGCACCATCGCGCGCTCCCCGCTCGTCAAGACCGCCCTGTACGGCCGCGACGCCAACTGGGGCCGCATCCTCTGCGCCGTCGGCTACACCCAGAACGTGAAGGACGGCGTCGTCGTGCCCGACCGCACCAGCGTCAGCTTCCGGCCCGTCGACGGCAGCCCCGAGCTCAAGCTGCTGGTCAACGGCGAGCCCGAGCAGGTCGACGAGGCCCGCGCCGCCGTCATCCTCCAGGAGGAGGACCTCGAGATCGTCGTCGATCTCGGCGGCGGCGCGCTCGGCCCCCAGGGCGCCGGCGGCGAGGAGGCCGTCTACTGGTTCTGTGATTTCAGCCACGAGTATGTCACCATCAACGGGGATTATCGGACTTGATTCCACAAATTCCTTTTCCGGTGTTTATCACGTCTGATATGGGTGGAACGAGGCGATGTGGGTTTCGCTGGAATCTTTTCTCAAAGAAAAAAAGCGCAATTAGACTGTTGGGGGATTAATTATTCTTTGGATGCGAGCCTTAATATGAGTCACGGTCATCTGTTCGCCTTTTCCATACACAACATCCTAGCCGAGTAGTCCATCATGACCCATGAACGATGCTGGACACTACGTTGTAATGCGAACTACTAATCCTACAAGCAGAACAAACTAATCAATCGGTTCCCACCCGAGTCACCCCAGATGCTCAATGCCCTTCCAATGCAATTTTCAGGTCTTTGATCGAATATGGTTACAGACCAGGTAGTGCTATGTACAGCTGTGGCTTTTCAACTTTTCCCGCAGGGAGCAAGGAAATATCTGCCCTCAAAAATAGGTGACTGGCCATACATTCATCAAGAATTCAAACCATCCAGATTGCACAGCCACAGCCGCGCACTACCTGGTGAAAATAAAAAGATATAAAAACATAAAACCCACAATCCCTCTTCTCATGGTTCATCAGAAAATGTCCCTAAGCCTCCCTGCTTAGTTACCGGGGACGAGGCCACGGAGGCCGGCGCCAATGTCGCCCTCACGGGCGGCAATCTCAAAGTATCCGTAGATGATGCTAAAGTTGGGTTAGCGATGTTTCAAACAATGCAAACAGACTGTAAACTTACGTCACGGCGAGAAGGATACCAGTACCACTGCCAAGAGCACCGAGAAGGTCAGAGGCAACGGAGAGGGCACCAATACAGGCACCACCGAAAGCAGCAGCGGTAGGGATGACACGCTTGAGCTCCTTGTACATGCTCTGCTCACGGTGGCCGGCCATCACGAGACCCTGGTCCTTGAGCTGCTTGGCAACATCACGAGGAGCAGAGCCAGAAACCTCGATCCAGGTCTTGGAGAAGAGAGCACAGGCAACGAGCATGAAGGTGATGTAGACAGCAGTGTGGATGGGGTCCAGAAGAGCGTCCTTGAAGTTCAAGGGAGGCGACATGTAGTAGGCGATACCGGAGGAGGCGTGGAGCTGAGCAGTTCCGTCACGGGGCTCCCAGACACCGAGAAGTCTCACGAGGAGGTTGTCAGAGAAGCGGGAGTACAGCATCTGGCTGATCAGGAAGATGTTGGAGCACAGAGCGGACTGCAGCATGATGGGCATGTTGGAGGTGTAGAAGAGACGGACGGGGTAGGATCCACGCATTCCACGCTGGCGGGAGGACTTGACGGGGATCTCAACACGGAAGCCCTGGAGGTAGATGACGGCGGCGAAGACCAGGAGAGTGGCCAGCAGGTTCATGACGTTGGGGAGGTTCTGGCGGTAGAAAGCCTCGCGCAGAGCACGCTGCTTGTCGGACCAGGTCAACAAAAGGTGGAAGAGAGCGATGATAGCACCCTCGAATTCGGGGCCACGGCCAGTGTTGATGGTCGTGGGGGAGAACGCCTTCCAAACGATGGACTCGCAGATGTTGGTGGCAATGAACAGAGAGATACCGCTTCCAAGACCGTATCCCTTCTGCAGAAGCTCATCCAGAAGAATAACAACCAGACCAGCAACGACAAGCTGAACGATCAGGAGAACGCAGATACCAGCACCAAGGTCGCTGGGCTGGCCGTAGAGACCAGTGAGAACGTACACGCAGGCCTGGCCGAAGGACAGAATGATAGCGAAGAGCTTCTGGGCAGTCTGGTAGAGCTCGCGGTCGGTCTTGAGGTCAAGGTTGACATCGATGAGGTGGGTACCAGCGAGGAGCTGTGAATCCACGTTGTAAGTATGCGATTTTCGATCAATGATGCGGTCTGAATCAGCTTACCTGGAAGACCATGCCGGAGGAGATGATAGGGGTGATACCCAACTCCATCAAAGTACCACGGTTACTGGCCAACATCATACGAAGCCAGTAGAGAGGATCGGAAGTGTCAGAGGAGACAATACCATACAACGGCATTTGACTCATGACAAGGAAGATGAGCAGGGTGAGCTGCGGGCGATCTATTAGCTCGGACCATCTCGTCGATATTTTACAATGTGTCACATACACCGGTCCACATCAACTTCTGGTTGAAGGGCACCTTGGTCTCGGGGGCTGCCACCTCCGGAAGGAGGGGCGTGAAGGGCTTGATCAGATCGAGAAACCGAACTAGTATTAGATGTCAGCAATTGTTGAGCCATTGAGGAAGTTGGTGGATCGCTGTCGCGAAGATGAATGCGATCGCGTGCAGAACTCACGTCCACTCATTGTGACTGTCTTTTTCCCAAGATTACTGGGCTAAGACGGTACAAGAGAAAAGGAAAAAAAGAAAGAAGAAGCTGGAGGCGAGTACCAGCTAAAGGAATGGAGGGGAAGAAATACAAAAGAAGAAGGGAAGATGAGAAGACAGGATGGAGGAGAGGGAAAGGGAAAGGAGAGAGGGAGAGGAAGCAATGATGAGGTTCGGGGAGCGGAGGAGGAGATGAGAGGGAAGCGGGAGTCGCCTCGCTGGCCACTTTCACTCTCCAGCCACGCTAACCCGTTGAGGCCACTTGGTCGCTTCCACCACCGACCACAGCCGTTTTACCCCATCCAGGGTCCTTCCACTACATTCACAAGAAGTCATGCATCTCCTCCAAATACTAAGGATATTCTTCATCCACAGAATTCTGCAAGTTGCTATTCGCTTGCTGAATTTGTATCCAATGGACTGTCATTCATTTGACATATATGAAATTCGTAATCTATCTTTCAGCACAGGGTATTGTGTAGACCTTCCAGGTGCAGTTGCAAGGTATAATAGTACATATAGTAGCCTCAATCCTCCCACATATCAAGAAACGAGCCAGCAGCTTCGTTTGCTTTTGTACACTCACACAACTTGTACTTATGCAGCTTCCTTGTTCTGTTCACTGATGATACTCGGGGCTCACATAAGTCCTCCCCAAAGAGCCATAACCAAGCTGACGGTCAGGGACCAACCAAGCATAAACAGTCATCGATCACATTCTCCAATTCTCCCAGCCTTTCCTTGAGGCCTCTATTCTCCTCCTTGAGGATGCCCAGGACACTCCAAGCTTCAGAGGAAGGGACACCATGGCAAATGTTGCACTTGGAGGAGTTGTTCCAGGAGCTTGTGATGCCCTTAGGCGTGAGGCCCTTGATGACCCGATCGTACGTCGATTGGCGCGCTGGTGGGGTCGGAGCAGGTTTCAGCTCTTTCTTCGGACTCGATTTCACAGGTACTGATGTGGGGGTCGACAAGGTGACCTGGGAGATGTTTGGGGATGGCGCAACGGTTGAAGCGGGTGACTCGAGCACCTCGCGCCGGGAGAAGACACTCTCCGCAAGACTCTCGTCTCCAGAGTCAAACCCGGAGTCGCTTGTAAAGGTACCATTGCTGGCCCGTTTCAAGCTACGCTTGGGGGTCTGAAGCTCCGCGGCAAGGTCGGATGTGCTGTCATCGTCATCACTTGATCTGATGAGCATAACACTGCGGCGACGCGCATCTTCCTCCTTGCGACGCAACTGCCTTTCCTGCTCTAGTTCTTCGGCCATGGCCTTCATGGCTTTCTCCTGCTCAATGACCTTTTCGGCCATGCCGTCCAGTTGTATTTTCAGGTTACCTATGCGTGTTCGTGTTATCTCGAGTTCCTCTTGCTTTTCGCTCTTGTCGGCCAAAACTTCGTGCAAAGCAAAAGTCCGTTGCTTGTAAGCAGCTTGTAGTCGTCTGAGAATGGTATCTGCATTGCTCCGTAATGCGTCGAAAGCGTCCCGGCCTTCTAAATCACTGAACCCGGGAGGGAACAAAGCAGCATTAATGTCGAGATTCAGAAGCTCGTCGTGCGCAGGCTCAGGGAGCTCAAGCCTGGCTTCCCCTTGGCGTTTCAACCCGAAGAATGAGAACGGACTCGACGAAGTGACCTGCTTTAAGGGCGAAGGTGCCGTCATCCGCTTCTGTGCCCGGCTAGTGAGGCCAGTCGGAGCTGTGGGCAACACGTACGGCTCACGAGCACCTCGTCGCTCCATAGCGTCCTCCTCGTCGTCCAGTTCGTCGGCCTGATATCCCACTCCCAGATTCACAGGCTGCGATTTGCCTTGGAACCAGCCAGATAGACGTTTCGCACCTTCCTCAAGCCTGCGGCGTGCAGTGTTCTCAGTCGAAGGGTTGGGACGAGGTTTCGCGCTGTCGAGGTCTTCGAATGTTTTGGACTGGTCGGAGAAAAGCTTTCGGGAGGGAAGAGGGGCGTGCCGCTGTATAATCTCGGTGTTTGACCGGCGGTGGAGGGACGCGTGCGAAGGATATTGTTTCGGCGGTAGTGGGGATACGGTATCCGAGCTCTGTGCTAATAAGGTTGCAGGGATGTTCAGGTGGGACGGTCGAACAGCAGCATCGTCAGGCGGGCAGCTTCCATCCTCAGTCCCGATCGGGGCCATTGCGGGCGACGAGGGTTTCAGGCTGTCAACAGCAGGCGTGGCTGTAGATGACGGGTGTTCGACGTCTTGTAGCATGACTGATAAGTCGAAACCTGACTGGGTGGTGGGAAGGGATGGGGACCTGGAATGAAGAAGGGATGTAATCTGTCGCACGACTTGGACACGGACTGGAATGCCACGTCGATATGTTGTCCGCTCCAATGTACGGTCACGTATGCCGCACTCGATAGTCAGCTAAGAAGCAAAAGGGGCAATGAAACGAGTAGCTCCCGAAGCTCTCTCTTTTTTTTCCGTTGCAGTCTCCTTTCAGCTTGATGCGGGTGACAGCGAACGCAGGATGGCCAATTGACAGCGGGTAGCAGCAGCAATAAATCAAGCCTCGATGAAGTTCCGTACGGCGAATTCAGTGACTCTTGGGGAAGGGGGCGATCTAGGGAGATGTTTATTCAGGATGATGGAATCGGCCGCCGAGCGATAGCGATAGTGGGCGAGCCCGCACGTGCCCCTGTCAGCGACCAGTGTTAGGGATCCTGCACGTTATACAATAGTCGATGGATCAATATCATTAAACTTGTGGACTAGAATGCATTAGGCTGTAGTCCGAATAATCGAGAGGTGCGCAGTATCAGATGAGGCCCCGAAAACGGCTGTTTACATCCAGACGGCGCACAATCTCGCGAGGTTGGGTGTATATTCTTAGCAATGCTCAACCTGGCCAGCCAACCAGAAAAATTACGGTGGCTGGATTGGGAACTGCTTATGAGGATTTTCCCACTATCACCATGAGGCAATGGCGATTAGCTAGCAAGTCATAAGAGCAAAATGAGTCGATCCAGCAGTGACAGGCTGTGTTGGGCCGTTGTCGTTGTTGTCAGGGCAGTTCCATTGGCCCGTGGAAGAAGAGTATTGATCGGGCAAGATACATATCCACAGTCCGCAGAGTCCACATTACACTGCTCACTTCTGACGACGTCATTTGCGGTCGTGACCAAAATACAATGGTTTCTGTGACGACTGAGTGGGCTGGTAACTCATTGACGCCACCATCAACGCAGCAACGAAAGCACTCAATCTCTTTCCCCCTTTTCCATCTCTTGACCTCCGAGGCCAGATGTGAAGGTCTGGATTCTTGGGGTCCCCGTTTCATGCGGATTTTGGTCTGAAAGGGCCCCGCGGCCCCTGAGGAGAGATTAAAGCAATCTCGGGGTAGGGGGGATTGCCTGCGCGACATACAGGAAAGGAGGCGATCCATGCGCAAATGGTCGCATCGGCTGTCGGTTGTCAGGAGTACCTCTGTGTACCTGCACTGTGTAGGAACAACATGACTGGCCCATCGTCGGAGAATATAGGTAGATCATGAATCGTACCTTGGACGATGGCTTTGCGGTAAAAGATGCGAACCATGGGAGAGTTGAGGAGGAATCCGTCCTCCCGTCGTGGGTGATTTAGATAGACTTCTGCCTAAGGCGAGGAGGGTCACATGTTCTTGCTTCTTCTACAAACTAATTCAGCTTCTGCCAATTTTCTAATAACAAAGCATTACTCAATCCGATATTAAAGGCAGACTTGCTACCACTATGTCTGGACATTTAACTTACTTTCGTGGTCCCATCGCACACAACGGCGTCAATCACTCGATTCAATGGAACCAAACAGCAATTACATACTAGTCTCAAACTCCAGCTTCATCTCTCATCTGAGGACTGTTGATAAAATCACACCGATCAAACAACTTTTCCCACGCTAATGCTTGCTGTGCTGCTGTCATCACACCGACGTCCCCGTCTCTATCTATTGCCACCTCCGACAACCCCAGAGGACCCCCGATGACCTGAATCGACAGCCTACTAGCACTCTCGCTTGATCGCTGCCCATCGCGCATAGTAGGATATGCAGATGACCATTTCTGCATACCAGCACCCTCTCCTCCGGGGCGACCTTCATGCACAAACCCGACAATCGCCTTACTAGCCGTCTCACTGAGCGCCAATTGATCCAACGAGTTATCTGCACCCCCTTCTAAGTGTAGGTTATTGAACACATATGGGATGTCACTGAGATGTGCCACTCTCCACATAGGTACTCCCATCGCTTCAAAGACAGGTGTGAATCTTGTGGCATTGTGCTCGTACAACCAGATCCGCGATGCGTTCAAGCCTCCAGTCTGGGCATACTGCCATGAAAAATCCAATACGGGGCAGGTAAACCAGATATCTCGACTCATCTGCGCCGCACGGTAATATTGCGGCGAGATTCCGCCATCATAGTCCTGGCGGACCATGTGGTTGAAATCTTCCACTGGGTACAATTGCAAGAGTTTCTCTTTCGTTGATCGAGAGGCCGTGTAGCCAAAGCCCGAAGCTACCAAGGACGTCTTCGTCTGTGGATGTCTGCGGAAATGCATACCAAGCCCCATCATTGGTCACCCACGATGCTACTGTGGGAATATTCTTGACGAATTTACCGGTACGCATCAGTTGAGACGGCCTGCCGTTAAGATAGTCATTGTCGATAGTCGGGTAGAAGTATCCTTCACCGAATGGGGGACGGGCTTTTCGGGCCTCATTGACAGTTACATTGATCAATAAGTCAGCTGGGACCGCCCGCAGGCATTCCAAGGTCTCCATGGATTGGCCATCATCGTTTTCGGCGCACCCTACTTGCCTGGCTATGGCGACAGTGTTGTTCGCAACGAAGACCGGGTCGCTGTTGAAGTTGACACCGGGTGTACCGGACATCATCCTGTGTTGTGATAGTCAGTATGGGTACCTAGTGCTGTCTATAAATGGCTAACATTGCTTGCTGGAAAGGGACGTTTCGGGAGCCGTTGAATGATGTCAGATGCAGGCCGATGTCGCTGGCTCCCACGCTCTGGCCGATGGCAGTCACTGAATGAAGTGGTCAATCATCGTGCGTCTGAGTCAAGGCCGTGGAAGTGATACCTCTATCTGGGTCACCCCCGAATACTTCAATGTTATCCTGGACCCCTGGGACATATCAGTCCCCGAAAGTCGTTTGGGATACTTTGACGAAGGCATGAAAAATACACTGCAAAGCAGCTCGCTGATCGCGCAATCCTGCATTTGTCTGCTTGGTCTCAATCATTGCCTTGCTCGTGGCGAAGCCAAATACTAGGCGACTCAGTATTCGCAAGATCGCAGAAAGTCGAGCGGCTCTTACTTCCTAGTCGATAGTTGATACCAACATAGATTAATGGTTTCCCTGCCGCAGCAGCCGCCCTCACCAAGCCGTCCGGCGTGTACAATATATCGGAGGCTGAACCCAGTGCATGGCCTCCTATTGCGAAATACAAGTCGTAAGAAAAAATCTTTTTTGCTCCATTGACAGAGAGGGCTGGACAAACCTCCATGTATCCAGACCGCAACTGGTAGCTTCGCATCCCTCTGCACCCCTGAAGGTCGAGCAATTCGCAGGCTCAGACAGTTCTCACTTATATTGTTCACTTGGCTGGTGAAGGGCAGTATGTCTCCCACGCCTTGAGGACACCAGGCACCGGGCTTGCTAGCATCAATGATGGATCCTTTGGGCGGGCTTACTGGGACTGGGGTTGCAAATCGTCGTCGACCGGTTGGCTCTTCTGCATAGAACACATTCTGGAAGTGCTCGACTCCAGGAGTACGACTTCCAATAAATCTGATGTTGCGAGTAAAGTCTGTGACCGTTGGTGGAAAGATGGATGCACTAAGAATGGGAATGTTCGCTCTCTCCAAAAGGTGATGATGGATCTGCGAGTAATATGCTATGATGAGACTGACCGCCACAGCAACAACGCCAAAGAGGAGATTGATCCTGAAATTGGTCATAGCTCGAGATGTTAAGTATGGTTGTTGAGAAGACTACTATCAGCAGATGCTTACAGGCCATAGCTCACAGAGCAGCGTGAGAATTGAGGATCAGACGTGTCGAGTGTGTTAGTTCAATTAGTGCTGACTGTTAACCGGGATGTCCGGTTCGCATTTCTTTCTGTGTTCTGCATTCCGACGGCAGAAGCGATATTTCCCAACCCACGAAGTTGAATCTCATCTCTGGTTCTTCAATTCTTTGCAAAGCACCTCCCATATGAAATGGTAATCTGCCATGTGCCGTTGGCTCCACAATCGGCCCCGCCGAAGATGACGACGATCCCTTCTTCACCTCCATTATTGCAACTGATAATTATCTCAACAGCCGAGGTTTTCCCCCGATATTCTGCGAGTCATGTATCAACTTCGGCCGATGCCATATCAACGGCTCAATGCTGCCAAACCCCCGTTGAGGCGCCGGGTCCAATAGCTCACGCTAAGTTTAGCCCATCGTCGCCATGTGGGAATATTATCAGCGGCCGCGGCAGCAGAATCTGTCGATCTTGCGAAAGCTGTCACCGGATTCGTCTACGATCTAGGCGAAGCGCGTGAAAACCCAATCTGAAACAACGACAGCGATTATCCTACGGGGCTAAGTTCTGGTTATGGACTCGACATGGTATTCACCAAGAACCCTTGAAAGGGTGACCAGCGACAGGAGGCGTTATGGGAAGGGGGTCCTGTCTATATAGTTCCACCTTCATCGCCGGCTGAATATGATCCCACCCATGTCCACGTGAAGAAAGCATGTTGACATTCCTACTCTTTGCCCTCCCGGCCGCCGCGCAGCTGTCTGGCGCCGTCGGCCCCACGACTTCTTATGCCTCCAAGGCGGCTAACAAGGTCTGCAACATCGTCGACTACGGTGGCTTTCCCGGAAATGGCACAGATATCGGCCCCGCCTTGTCATCTGCTTGGAGCGACTGTGCCAAAGGCGGACTGGTGTATATCCCACCGGGTAACTTCTCCATGGCGACGTTTCCAGCGCTGAAGGATGGTGTCTCGTCGGCCGTACAACTAGACGGGGTGGTTCATCGCACTGGGGCCGAGGGCAGTACGATGTTTTCCTTCCGCAACTGCAAGGACTTCGAATTCTTCTCGGGTAACTCCCGCGGTGCTATACAAGGCTATGGCAACGAGTACTTGTCGCAGGGCGAGTACGGCCCACGTCTCATGCGCTTCCAGGAGATGAACAACTTCTCCGTGCATGGTCTCGCACTAGTCGACTCGCCTGCGTACTACCTCACCCTAGACACGGTCAGCAATGGCGAAATCTACAACATCATCATGCGCGGGCCTACTGTTCTTGGGGGTACTGATGCGATTGACGTCTGGGGAGAAAACGTGTGGATTCACGACGTCGAGGCAACCAACGGCGATGAGTGCGTGACGGTCAAGAACCCTTCATCCAACCTCTTGGTTGAGAGCGTTTACTGCAACCTCAGCGGTGGAATGGCGATTGGCTCCCTCTCCACGGGGACTGATATCCATGACATCCACTACCGACACATCTATGCGAACGATGCGGACCCATGCTTCATCAAGTACAATGGGGGCAATGGCACGGTCAGAAACATCGTCTGGGACACGGTCACAGTCCGTGGGGGCGCTTATCCGCTGTCGATCGATTCCAGTTGGGGATCAGCACACGACGGAGATGGAGTGGAGATTACCAATCTCACCTTCAAGGTAAAGTGAAATTTCTGGGGATCGCGAGCCCAAACGCTAATTCTTCACAGAACTGGCATGGATACAATTCGGACAATGCACGTCCGGCCATTCGATTGCAGTGCGGATCCGAGGTACCATGCACCGATATCAGTCTTGAAAATGTGATCATGTTCAGCGAGGATGACTACGTCGTCTACGCTTGTGAGAATGCCTATGGAAAGGGTGCATGCTTGGAAACGGCCTCGACCGCTGCCGCGACCGGTTATACCGCACATCAGACGATGACATCTATTGGGTAAGCTTTCTCTCTGCAACAAGTTAAGTCAACACACTAACCCCTTGTCACCAGGGTGTATACCACTACCTGGATGATCGATGATATTACCACGGCGATGCTGGCCAATACGTCCTATACCATCCCTCCTGTGCCAACAAGCTTCTATCCGGGCCAGTCTCCATACTCCGCTCTTCTGCACCTGAGCGGACCTGGTGGTCTGGGTGCAGCAAGCTCTTCAGTATACGCATCCAGTACAGCTGTGGCAGGATCGTCAGCACTTCCATCCAGCACAGGTGTGGCTGCCAGCCAGCAAAGCTCAAGCTCGGCTGCCCCTAGCCAGACTGCTGGCGTTCCTGGTCAAGAAGGACAGACTTCTTGCTCATCGGATTACAAGGAACCTGAACACGGTTCAAAGCCCCATGACCACAAGGCGTTCCATCTGCATAAGGGGGGTCACCAACATAAAGGGGGTCATCACTAGAGCCCTCACGTGTAGGTGCATGCGGGCAGTGAAAGGTTTGCTACTTTCTGGTGTATAATATCTGGCTTGGAGTATGTCCTCGCTTGCTTGTTGGACAAGAATAATAATAGTGTCTAATTTTCATCATGCGGTATTGGCTCAGAGTCGACGCTAATTCTATAAAGTACTGGGTAGTACACATATGCAGTAATACGCTGATGGTCGCCGAAGTCACCAATATCAGGAACTTGTGCGAGGAACGTATATAACTCCTTCTGCACTCGTCTCTTGAAATACCCGGCGTGTTTCCTGGGCGGCCGATTCGATTCGCCGGGTCTGCATTCAATTATCTGAGACGTTTGCGATAATTCGTCATTGCTGTCTTCTTCGAAGGAGGCTGGCCGGGTACAAGAACGTTGCTATCTAGCGCACTGCCACGCTTCGTATGTCTTTTGTCTTTGCCCTCACAAAAGATAATGTGGTACAAGCTGCCTCTGAAGGCCTATATACAAAACTCTCCATCCTTTCTTCCTATCAGTTGACATCCCACAGCTCATTTCTGTCCTACACTAATCTGAGATCTGAGTCTGCGAAAGCAAGGTGTGTTCTACCCTGTGCAAGGTACCCAGCACCTATGTTTGAGCCCTTACATAGTGTTGCTAGATGTGTGAATGGCATGAGATCTTATTCCACCACGGCTGTCTTAACACTCGTGATCTTATCGAAAAGTATACGCCGGATGCGACTTGCACTCGAAATACTACAAATCCTCAGCGAAGGATACATATGTAAGCAAGGGCCAATCAAATCAGGTGACTCAATACAAGGCAGATTTAAGTGTAACCCTCCAAAATCAATCCTTTGCAACCATCAATGCACTTCTCGTCTCTTTCCAAAGAAATCTTTCATCATGGACGAGGTCAACCAACACGTGTTCAGAGCTATTCAGAGCCTGAGAACAATCCGGATCGTTGTTGACGTGCCTATCGAACTCTTAGCGCCTGGCAACTACCTGGCTTCAGCCTTCGATTCTATTAAGCTTTTCACGACAAGCTGGAAAGGACATTACGCGGTCCGGGAAATTGTTGTTGACATTTATCCACGGCATGCATACATTGTCATCGACACCAACAATCACCGTTATGACTTCGAGGTCGCTCACTTGCAGCACTTCACTATTCCCGTTCACATTCTTCGCTTGTCAAGGAAAAGCAAGAATTGGTCTTTCTTTAGACGAGAATTAGAGGATCGACGAGTCGCGAAGGACATTGCAGAGCTACACAGGCGCAATGGCTAGAAGCAGCCCCCTTTCTTTGCGGATCATATTAGAGGGTCTGTGTACCTCTCTCCCCGTACAACCTGAAGGCACAATGAGCCAGATGTGATTTGTTATGCATGCAGCGTCGCGTGTTTGCGGAAGAGGATCGCTTGCCTTGTTTTGTTGTTTTTCGATCATGCGCCTCCGCTAATATGATGTTCAATTTGCTGTCTCAAAGCATGTACAAGGGTGGCCTTGAAGCGCTGGATCCGCCGGGCTAGATCATTCGGACTGTACAAGAGCGTCTGGACTCTGGCCAGAACTATCTCCGCGCAATTCAGGCCCCCCCCCCCCCCAAAAATATGCTCAGTCAAGCTCTGGAGATCCCTTGAGAAACCAATCATCTCAAACCTCTGTCACTCGGCATACTGGCAACAGCTTGATCTTACGTTCACCGGGCGGTGATTACCTCTCCGCATACAAAATCGGCCATATACGAGAGTCTACATCAGCATGCCAGTCGCCGAATCCACCCTTTGAGCGCGCCGTTGATCTCTGCCTTAACCTGAGACCTCCAGGACCAGCTTTCTCCGGATCTGGTCACATCCCTTGGCCACTGAAATCCATTCGTCAGCGGAGTCCCATTTTCTACCGTACAACATGGCTGTCAACCCAGTTCGCCCTATGCCAAGTCTTCAAAGGCCAGGCCACCGCGGCATCGACCGAGTTCCGTACAGCTCGACATCGGCGCGGGAATCCGCTGGAGCATCACTTATTTTGGGTGCAACTACTCCATCATCTTGGAGCTGATCCTGCACTGTATTCCATGGCATTTAGAGTCCCAAGGGGCGCGTTTTCCACCTCCATGGCAAGAACAAAGGCTTGGTTCCAGAACACGAGCTGGGCATCCATGCAGCGGTGGTTCTTTACTACGTGGCACGGAGCGCTTAACCCACTCTATCTTCGAATCCAGCTGCTTTGATATAGCGAAGGAGGTGATCATTACAGGATGGAGCGTATCTCCCAGCAGGCAGAACATCGCTCGGCCGATCATCGGCCCTCGCCGCGATCCTCGGGTCAATGTGCTTAACCCGGGATGTCTTTACTACTATTCTTTTCCCTGTACATATACTAAGATCAACGAGTCGAATGGGTTTATTTCATCGCTGCTTTGGTGCAGGGGTCTCTTCCACCGATAGCTTCCATCCATTCGTAGTCCAGATGTCTGCTCTACACCACAAATGCCACCTGCTGCGATGCTTTGGGGATCCCTTTCGATTCCAAGCCTGGTCAGTGCGTAAAAGCCATACACAAGTACTATGTATCTAGAGGACCCTACTAGGACCCTACTAGGACCGACTGACTCCCTTCAAGCACTCGAGCAACAAGGCTGAAGTGATTCCACATGCTATCCCATCGATGAGGTCATTTCCTCACGTCCTTAGGTAAGCGAGCACAGCTAGGCGGTGAAAGACCAGCTATTCTGCCCGAGCAATCTCCCCGATACAACGGCTTCAACGGCGCAACATAGCACCGCGATAACAGCTTTCGACACGGCATACCATCGCTGGGCTACTCGGCCTGAATACCCGGTTACAAGTTTCTCTGTAATCTACCTCCTGTACATCTTCCTCTCGTCACAGTCGACCATGGCAACCCCAGCATCAAGCGGACTCAAGTTCCTGAGCAATGCGCTCGCGACTCCCGAACAACTGTCCAACTCGTCCTCCTCCATCGACGGGGTCGCGCCCGACCTCGAGGCCTCAATCCGCTTCGCCGGGGCCCTCCTCACGCAAGCAGCGGGGGTGTACCTCCGGCTATCGCAGGACGTCATCGCTCAGGCCATTGTGACATTCACGCGGTTTTGGATCGGATCCGAAGGAGGGAGTCTTCGGATATACAACGTGAAGGTTGGCCTTACCCTGTCCCTTTACTCCGCTGGAGCTTTAGCTCGTATCGACCGGGCCCTACAAAATACAAGAACTAGAGTGGGACGCAAACTAACGGACTGAATCAACTACGCAGGACGTCTCCGCCGCCGCCCTCTACCTCACAGCCAAACTCAGCTTCCAGCCGACCTCCCCGCGCTCGATCCTCAACGTCTACGGCTTCCTCGTGTCCAAAGAAGCCTCTCCGCTGTGGTGCACGAACCCGAGCCCCGCCACCAAAGAACCCCCGAACCCGGAGACCTACGTACTCACGGAGGGACAATATCAGGCGCAGCGGTTGGGGCTGATGCGCACGGAGGCGCTCATCCTGCGGACGCTGGGGTTCAACACGCACGTTGCGCTGCCGCACACGGTCTCTCTGACGTATCTGCAGACGCTCGGTGTGACGGCGCCGGCGGTGGCCCGGCGGGTGTTCGCGCACCTGAACGCGGCGCTCATGTCGCCGCAGCTGCTGTACGTGACGCACCAGCCCAATGCGCTGGCAGTGGCGGCGATCTACCTGGCGGCGCGGGAGGAAGGCGTCAAGCTGGTGAATAGTGAGTGGTGGGAGGTGTTCGATGTGGACCGCGAGGAGCTGGGCTTCCTGGTGGTGGCGATGCGGAGTATGGAGGGGTTTGCGACGGCGGAGTTGGAGAAGTGGAAGGGGAGGGCGGTGCCGATGACGGTCGAGGAGGTCGAGGCAGAGATCGAGCGGAGGCGGGCGGAGGGGGAGTGAATTGAGGGGGTGAGCAGCGTGGTTTGAAGCTAGCAGTTTCTTCGAAGACTGAGAAAGATACAGCTTGCTACTGGCTGACTTGGGGACTCGAGCCGATTGCTGGAGATCGGCGGGTAGCGGTCCAGCGTCCAAGCTCCAGGTCCGGGTCCGGGTTGCAAAGAACAAGAGTCCCCCGAGGGTCCTCACCTGGCCGGCTGGCGGATGGGGAGAAGTCCTGCTATCCGGCTGGGACCTATTCGTGTCGCCGTAGCGGCGCTGCGAACCCGGGAGGTGGCGCTCTTGGGTCGGGGACGCACCAGCTTGAGAGGCAATCGGACCTAGGACAGTATTGTGTGAGTAGTGTATGACCAGAGCAAGTGAAATGAGGTATTCTTAGGCACCCAAATGATGAAATCTCGCACTCAAGTAAAGACTCACGTGCATAGTGTCGCAAGTAAAAAGTAACAGACCCGTAGTCATCAGCCACATGATAAGTAACGATAAGCCCCGCGTGCCGCAGGGCCGAGTCAGCAGCGGGCGGGATCAAACGTCACCCCCTCATTTCCCCCTACTTCCCTTTCACCGCCAACCTTTCTATCTACAACAACCACAACTTCAACCACAACTACAACTACCACCACCTAACTAAACTACTCTTACAGCAGTCTGAACAAACACAGCACCAAGCACGCCTCAACAAACCCAAACCCACACCCACACCCACACCCAAACCCCACAACCTAACACCAACGCAACCCAACCTCCAGATCCCACCCAGCAACCCCTCCATCCAGTTCATCACCCACCTCACTTCAACAAACACCAACCCCCCTTCTCCCCCGCCGAACTCTTCTCACCCAAACCTCAAAAAATGAACATCCTCCACTCAACCCTAAGCACCTGGCGCGACCGCCTAGCCCCAATCTCCCGCACCTCCACCTTCCGGACGACGGGCCAAATCACCCCCGAGGAGTTCGTGCTCGCCGGCGACTACCTGGTCTACAAGTTCCCGTCGTGGGCGTGGGCGGACGCCTCGTCGCCCGGAAAACGCGTCTCCTACCTACCGGCGGGCAAACAGTTCCTGGTGACGCGGGGCGTGCCGTGCCACCGGCGGTTGAACGATGATTTCGCGGGGGATGCGGGGCGGGAGGAGGAGATTGTTCGGGATATGCTGTTTGGGGACGGGGAGGATGCCGCAGGTGATGATGAGGAAGGGTGGTTGAGGACTGGTGGTGGTAGTGGTGGCGCTTCCTCCTCATCACCAGCTCAGGGCGGTAGCGCTGCCGGAGGAAGGATAGGGGATATTCGCACCGTCGACGAAGCGGGGAACGTCGCGGACCATGCCGATCAAGAGGAAGAGGAGGAAGACGAAGATGATATCCCCGACATGGAGGATGAGGATGACGATGAGGAGGCGATTATCCGGGAGCCCGTGGGGAAGAGCTCGGGGCTCTCGACGTAGGTTTCTCCCCATCCTATAACAAACCCCCCCCCCAATCTGGAGAAATCAGTGCTAATGACGACCCAAAAGACCCACAAGAACCTACAACCTCTACATCACCTACAGCAACTTCTACCGCACCCCGCGCCTCTACCTATCGGGCTACCTCTCGCCCTCGGAACCCCTCCCGCCCCCGCTCATGATGGAGGACATCGTCGGCGACTACAAGGACAAGACCGTCACGCTCGAAGATTTCCCCTGGTTTGACGGCAACGTCAAAATGGCCACCGTGCACCCCTGCCGCCACGCCTCGGTCATGAAGACCCTCCTCGACCGCGCGGACGCCGCGCTGAAGATTCGGCGCGAGAAGCTGCGCGCTGCCGCCCAGAAACAACAGCATGACACCAGGGTGGAAGGGCTCGTTGATCCCGTGCGCGGGCTTTCGGTCCACGATTCCTCCCCAAAGACGGAGAAACACGGCGATGAGTGGGAGGTGCTGCAGCATGATCATCACGACGACGAAGAAGAAGAAGAAGAAAATGAACAGTTTGCGATCCGCGTGGATCAGTATCTGGTGGTGTTTTTGAAGTTCATTGCCAGTGTGACGCCGGGGATTGAGCATGATTTCACGATGGGAGTTTGAGTTTCGTTTGTGGTTTTTGTTTTTCTTGGGTGTGTGTGTGTGCTGAGTTTACCTAGGTAGGTGTAGTAGGCATAGGAGTTGGGTTGCGGTTTAGGCGTTTGTTTTTCATTTCATGGTTACTTTGAGGCATGACTTTACTCATCTACTAACTAACCAAACTACCATTTGCGTCTAATCTTATCTTTTCTGTTGTTGGATTCTCTGGTCGCTGATGCTTGTCATCTGCACTCTCTCGAAGGGATTGTTTGTTTATTTGCCCTCGGCGAGATGTGACGGTCGTTCGTTGGCTCCCCTTCTCAAGCAATAAGAGATAAGTCACAGCCCGCCACCGGTTCAGCTTCCCCTCCACTCTTTCTTCCAGCTTCACTTTTGTCACAAACTGCAAAACTTCTACTAGCGAGCGAAACGAGGCATGAAGATTGCGACTGAAATCTGAAATCTGAAATCTGAAATCTGAATTGAAATTTCCCAATCTGGAATCCATAGTGATAATAGATAATTCCATTTCTAAACCCCAAATAGACTATCATTTTCAACAATGTAAAACCACAACAATAGATAAATAAGAGGTCATCATGATTAGAAAGGCCATATAAGAAAACTAAAAAAAAAACGTTATCAACCATTCAATCTCGACAAAAAAAAATTACACATCATGTTAGGAGTTGGACAGATGGACACGACAGTAAATACTCCGCTTTTGCTCCGTTGAGAAGCAAACAACACATGATCAGCCAGAAATTTGTATAGAGAAGGGAAGTTTGAAGCAAATGAAAAGGGAAAATGATCGCTGATTGATGAGAGGGGAGAAAGACGTGCTTGAAGCGCTGCGTGTAGTTGCCACTATTCCACTGAATCCATCTTCAAAAGGGATCTAGGCAGGACATTGACAAGTGTAGGCGGGGAGTGGCGGGGACACAGGCGCAGGGGCAGGGGCAGGCTTGTTTTCGTTCTCAGGGACTGTCTTGGGCTCTGTGGCGGGGGTTGATGCGGGGCTGCTGGGAGCGGCGGCGGGAGCGTCGGGGCCGGGCTGGGGTTGGGTCTCGGGGGCAGACTCAGGCTTAGCTTCGGGAGCGGGAGCAGACGCCGGGGTAGACGCGGGCTTTTCGGTCTCAGGGCTGGGTGCTGGGCCGGATTCAGCAGGAGACTCGGGGCTGGACTCAGGCGCGGACTCAGGAGCAGGGCTAGGAGCAGGGCTAGGAGCAGACTCAGGAGCAGGGCTAGGACCAGCTCCCTCCTCAGACTCGGGAGAAGGGCACTCCTCAGCAGGTTCCTCGGCACCAGGGCCCTCAACTTCGGGAGCAGGGGCAGGGCTAGCAGGGTTCTCAACAGGAGAGACATCAACCGGGGCGGCAGGGGCCGGGGCAGGGGCAGGAGCAGGGACCGGAGCGACAGGCTCAGAAGGACCCGCAGAAGGCTTTTCCTGGGGAGGAGTAGGAGCAGTGGTCGGGGTTTGAGGGGACGGAGGGGCAGGGACGGGTGCACTTCCGGGCCCTTCATGGGTAGGAGGAGCAACAGCAGAAGGGTTGGAATTGGGTGCCTCCGAGGTCTGAGGAGCAGGAGCGGGAGGGGCCGACTCATTGTGCGGTGGTGAAGGAGGTGGTGATGCCGGCTCAGTGGTCTCCGGATGCTGAGGCTTGGGCTCGGGCTTAGGCTCGGGCTTAGGCTCGGGCTTAGGCTCAGGCTTAGGCTCAGGCTTAGGTGTCTCCGAGCTCTCATGGCTCACATGGTAGAAGTTACCCATGTTGACATTGGGTCCATCAGGAATCCCGATATTCAAAGACTGGCCTGCATCGGTGCTGTCCGATTGATGCGGGCCACCGTTCTTACCATCACCGTTCTTGCCGCTGCCTTCGTGGTAGTGAGAGGAGGCGGCGTTGCCTCCAGTGTAGCTGGGACCGTCGGGGATTCCGATATTCCAGGCCTGGCCTGCAGCGGTGCTGCTGTCCGTTTCATGCGATCCGCTGTCCTTACCGCTGCCTTCGTGATAGCGAGAGGCGGCGGCGCTCGCCGTGTTGTAGTAGGGTCCATCGGGGATGGAGATATCGCTGCCGCTACCCGCAAAGCTCTCTGAGTCGAATTGCCTTTTGGCCAGGGTTGTGCTCTGTGATATGTTAGAATTGTCCCGGACGTTGAGCTCATCAGGCCGACTTACCTTGGAGGCAACAGGTGCCGACAGAGCGGAAGGAGTGACGAGAGCAAGGCACAAGAGTGCCGAAAGGCTCTTGGAGTTGTACATGGTAGTGATTATCTGTAAAAAAGACTTGAGAAAGAATGTGATTGCAGATTGAAAGAAAGTCAGCAAAGTGTCAGTGAGTGAGTGTATGGGAGAGAAAGAATGGATGCTGTGATGAAGACAGCCGATGATGAGTCTGAAGAAAGATCAGCCCAACCAGAATCCATCAGGTCTTTATATCCTGAAGCTGGGCCTTGGAAGGGAGTTACCCTGGGATAGCCCTTTCTAGGAGGTTGTTGTACCTTGTAGCCATTGCCAGGCAACCCATGGGTCCAAGCAAGGCCCACGAGACAGTGGCGTCAATTGATCCAAGATCTCGATCCAAATAGCTCTCATCTTATCAGCAGCAGCAGCCACACTCCGTCCGGATCGCCCTAGAACAATTTCAGTCGCAGTCCTTTCTTCACCAAAGGGGCTAAGGAGATAGGGTGGGGATACAGCTTGCTCCGGCCGGGGTCGATGCAAGGAGCCGCAGAGTCATCGCTGCTGCTCGGCCAACAAATTAATCAAACAACAAAAAAGTACTCCGTAGTGAGGCACCGATAGAATAAAATGAATTTAGTAGTTACACATGGTTGCCGATGCATATGCAAAATGAAAAGGTTCAGCATCTTTCAAGAGTCATCAGTCATGGTATCCAATTAAGAAGCCAAATTCACCCGTATGACACCACAGAGGGCGAATGGCTCCAAGCATATACT